CAAGCTACTGGGACATATAGTTGGAAGAAATGGATATCGAATGGATATGGCGAAGGTGGAAAGAATATGCAAGTGGCCACAACCGAAAACGTTGACTGAGGTGAACCAATTTGTGGGGATGGTACAATATTACAGGCGGTATATTCCAAACATGTCTGCTGTGTTATCTCCATTGAATCACTTGAAGAAAAAGAACGTCGTTTTTAAGTGGGGATCGGAACAAGAAAGAAGTTTTCAAGAATGCAAGGAGTGGTTGATGGGGGATGCTGTTTTAGCACATCCGGATTTCTCAAGGCCTTTTGTACTCTATACTGATGCATCTAATGTGGGGATTGGAGGAGTGCTATCACAAGAAGTTCCGGGAAACAAGGATTTACTCAGGCCAATTTATTTCGGTAGTAAGGCGTTGTCACAACAAGAACAAAGGATATCAACATATGAAAAAGAATTCTTTGCTATTGTGTATTTTATTCATTTCTTCAAAATATATCTTATGGGGCACAAGTTTACGGTTTACACTGATCAAAAGAGCTTACAATACCTGATAAGATTTAACGAAGAAGCGTCTGCAAAGGTTGTTAGGTGGCAAGGTTCCTTACTGGCGTACGATTTTGATATTGTCTATCGAGCCGGTAAACTCAATTCGAATGCTGATGCTTTATCTAGGTTAGGAGGTAACAGTGATGAGGATGTAACTCTTGAATCGATCATTCCGGACTATCACTTACCCTTGAATGTAATTCGGGATCGAGAGGATGATATGGTGTCTACTGGTAAAAGGGCTAACACACATGAGTTCGCGTTAAATGGACAAGGAGGGATGTCATTGGAGTTGTACTCTGCACTAACCCAATATATACTAACATGGGCTTACCCCGACCAAGCTTCCATCAAACAACGAAAGGGGATTAGGCATCAAGCTCGGCAGTATGAGGTTATTGGTGGATTGCTGTATCGAAGGCCCAACAAAGACTTCTTAAGGAGGAAGGTGATCAAGGTTACTGAAGTAATGCAGGTGTTGAAAGAGAATCATGATCATGTTATGGCTGGTCACCAGGGGGTTGCTCGAACTTTCGATCGTATCAAGCATCGGTATTACTGGCCTGGATATTATGATTCGGTAAGAGATTATGTTCTTTCGTGTTTAGTATGTCAAAACTTCGGACCGCGTAATCCAGTAGTTCCATTACATCCAGCTGGCCAACAAAAAGAAGGATTATTTAGTGTAATATCAATGGATTATATCTATTTACCTCTCACTAGTATGGGTCACGTGGGAGCTTTGGTGATTGTGGATCAACTATCAGGATGGATGGAGGCATATCCATGTACTTCTCAGAGTGCTGGTTTTACTTGTTATTGTCTCTTTCAATGGTTCTCCAGGTATGGCGTGTGTGCTAAGGTGGTATGTGATAATGGATCACATTTCAATGCTGATGAAGTTAAATCATTGATGATTCGGTCTTATGGTATTGAGATAAGATTTGGAGTGCCGTTCTATCCCCAAGGCCAAGGTAAAGTGGAGCGCACGAATGGGATCTTAAAGGAAATTATCAAGAAATATCTGTTGATCTATAATCAGGAATGGGATACGTGGTTGCCAGCGATATTGTATGTACTGAGAACGTCATTAAGAAGGGACTATGACTACTCCCCTTTCTATCTGGTGTATGGAAGGCAACCCCGGTCATATACGGACGATGGAAGGGCCGAATTCGAGGCAAGCTGGAACGATGAGGAGTTGGTGTCTTACCGTATTAACGAAGTGGTACGATTGAATCAAGAGGTTATCCCACAGGCATTACGACGAGTAGAGGTGTATCGGAAGAAGATGCAAGAGCAGTTCAACAAAAGGGCCAAAGCCAAGAAGTTTGCTGTTGGAGATCAAGTCATGGTCGAAAGTCGTGATGTGAAGAACAAAGAAACCTTTTTGTTAAGTCGTTGGGTTGGGCCCTACCATGTCGAGGAGAAAGTGGGGAATAACGTGTATAAGGTGCGAGATGAGCAATTGGTGTTTCCGGGACTGTATCATGCTAATCAAATGAAGTTGTATAAGGCTAGGCCAAGGTTGTCGGTACCGCTATTGTTTTACTCTGGTGTTTCTGCTGTTACAGAGTAAAAAGGGGGTAATGTGGTGAGCGGTCATAGAAAGATATTTAGTAAACAAAATGATACAAGCGGTCACAAGCTGTAGTGGGGTGTGAGAAGGGTATGATCCTATCTTTCTCTAATGGTCGAGGAACTACTGTAGTACTTGGTACTACAGATCCTTATTCATAAATTCACATTTTTATTATTAAATAAAGTTTTCTTTGGTTCGTTTTCTATATATAAATTCGAGACTATATCTTTTTACATATCATTGCAATTTGGTGTAGTTAAAAACAACGTTTAATTAGAAACAGTTAGCTAGTCACAAGGTAGATATAAACCCCTCGCAACAGCTCCCATCGATTGGTGTTGAGGTTGGATTAATCCAGCAGCTTGGGTTGAAGGCAGTGCTGACAATACTACCTCGCCTACTAATTATGCCGTCGGATTATACAATATTTAATTTTTGCTGTGATAACTTCATTACTTTTTCCCATCATGACTAGTAATTGAGTGGTGTGTGTGGGAAGAGAACACAATATTTATTTTATATACATCTGTAGTGGAGAGTCATACTTGATTATTCCAAAAGTTAGGTGATCATCCCAAGTTAACATATTTGAAATGGGTTTCTGGTTATTACTCGAATGTGAATAGAGGTGCAAATGTTAATCGATAAAAATCGCACTTATTTACGTCTTTCTTTGCACATTCTAAGAAACAATAACTATTTTTTTTAAAAAAAAAGTGTCTTTAATCATTGCCGCAGTCACCATAATGCAATTGGCCGATGGATGAATTTTTCCTGTTCAGTGTTTAATTAAATAGAAAAAAAAGTATGTAATGTCAACTAGGTGTTTTGCTGCCCATTATTTTAGGCATATATTGATAAATGTAGAGTTTTTAGCACATGGATCTGATGAGAATTCAATGGGCGATTTAATGGTAGTTATCCTATTTCAAAAAGTAAGAAAATAAAATGCTAAACTTTATCTCACCCGAAACAAAACCAACATTTTTTTTTTTTTTTTTTTTTTTTTTTTTGACAAAAGAGTTGAGAAAAGTGTTATCTCGCTCTTTTGGACCTCGGGGTACACATTTTTGTATCTTTAATACCTGTGAAATTAAATAGCGCACCAAAGGCTGTAGTATTCCTTAATCGACTTATATGGAGAAGACTAGTGGTTGTCAAAGCCGTTATATATTTCAAGGCTTACACTCCCTCTATCGCTTGGTTCGTGTATTCATGTTCTGACTTGGGTTAGCAGCCTTAGTTTCAAGAACTCTTATCGCAGTTTTACCACATTTTGTTCTTTTAAGAGGGAATATTTCCGAGCATATGGTCCTGACTACGAGTAGCTTGTCAAACCAGATCTTGGTTTATAAATGCCGGTCGATGATTCAACCTCCTCATTCATAGACACCCATATAAGTAGTTTAATGCAGGAATTATTTTTGTAAGTGCTTGTGTCTTGCTTTGTTTACGTCTACTTTATAAATATCGTTTAGTTTAAAGTGGTATATGTGATTGCACCAAAATTCAAATGTCCAAAGAAAAGATTAGCAGAGCAGATTAACAATAAAAGAATCTGTATTGTCTCTGTCCCGTTCGATTAGAGCTGAGTGAATATATACTTGGAAACATCATGTTTAAGGCTGTCTTATTTGCAACAGACAAATAAGAGAAGCTCTTGTCATATCATCACAAGATAGCTTTTTTCGTAAAAGGAAATAAAGTAATTGCTTCAGGTTGCATTAAATTTATACATCAACTTTCCCAAGTATTATCGGTGCAAAGTGAGATGTTCTTACACTAAAAATTAGCCATGTACAATGCTGTTTTACCGAAATACATATAATTACCTCTGGCTGGTGGCTATAGATTACGATGTTTGATTGTTAGACTACAAAAAATCCATAATATAGTCGCGGCAACCCGCCGATAAAGCGTTTAAATAATGCGGGAAATTGGTGGTTTTTTATGTAAATGCGAGTCAGATATTGAAAAGAAGTTATATGGTATACCGGAGTCTGTTCCAAGTAATGTTTTAAATAAAATAACCAACTTGTAGTGTAACTAAAATTTGTAATAGGGATCATAGCGCCCGATGAGTATTGTGAATGTTAAATATGTCCCTACATACACCCTCAGTCGATGAAAACGCATTATGGATACACACAGTTGATAGAAAAAACAAGTACATTAGTTGCTTAAGGACTGTATGAAGTAAGACATGTCAAATTTTAGACAATGGTAGGTTGAGGTTCGGTATGTTATTAATGGTCGGAACACCGCAATGTAGGAGAGCAAATAGCTACTGGTGATAATCATAACGATGTATGTATTATTATGTATGTAGAAAAACTTCATAAATACAGTTTCAGCTCACAAATTAAAGTAATGTACGAGAGTCGCAAAGTGTGTCATAGATCAGAAGAAAAAAAAGATGCATCAGGAGGCTTTAATTTAAGGGGTTGTATTAAACAACGCCGGATCTTATTGTTCAATGCATACATAAACTTTAAATTTGTTAAATGAATTCAACAAAGTTATAATCTAATATGCTAAGCTTATGTCTGTTTTTTTTTGTATATACAATTAACTTAGATCGTATCGTAAATATGTTTTAGGATATATTGGTTTAATTGAAACGTCTTACAGACATTTGGTAAATGTGACTTAAACACGTTTTTTAACGATAAGTAATGATAAAAAATTGACTGACAGTGCGAAATCTCTAAGAAGCTGTCGCTATTAATATTTTGTAATTATCCCTCCATTCTTCATTGTTGGTAAAACTTTTCTTAGCATTCATTCGGATGTGGTTTGTCCTTCACGAGTTCAAATACCGCGCAGAATGACGTGCACATATCTTTGAGATTTTATCTTTTTATTTGTATCTCCCACAGTGATTTTGTTTTCCTTTTTCTTACGAACTTTTTCTATCTTTCGCATATACTGTATCAAACAGACCCTTTTCTTACCCCCTTTTTTTTACTTTTGGTGTAAATTTTGGTTTTAGGTCAATAGTAAGTGCAACATGCTCTGGTCATTAGATGGTGGTTACTAACTGATAAATAGCTCTAGCATATAACGCGGCAATATATATAATTTCCCAAGTGCCAAGGAAAAACAAAGTAATCAAGAAGTTCGGAATTCACATCTGAAAAAACCAAAAATACAGCTCAAGAAAATGACACAACTATGGCGGACCTCGAGGAGGGGTCTGTCCTTGCTTTATATTACGCTATTGTTCATAACTTTATTAAAAGGAGTTATGGCACAAACTATTCAAAGGACTGGATTCGATAAAACTCCTACCAAGTTCTTTTATTTCAAAGATTCTCAGGTAAATATTGGCATCATTTTTTTTTCTTTAAAAAAAAAGGGTACTTTTATCTAATTTTCATATGTAGGTAATTCTTTGGCTTGATGCTGCTTCACATACCCTTTATCGAACAGAAAATCAAGGAAGAAGTTGGGATAAAGTAACTGATATCGGAAGAGATGAAGCAAATTTTGTTTATGAACATCCATTCGACGCAGATAGAGTAAAGTTTTTGTAAATGATTGGCCGCAATTTGTAAATTAATTTTTGATATGGAATTAGGCTTATGTATTAGGAAAGAATAAAAGACATTGGAAGACAACCGACAAAGGAAAGACATGGCAAGAGTTCTCCACACCAGTTGAACCCGCTACTATTGGCCCTCATTTGTCATTCCATGCTGAAAGACCCGGTTATGTCTTATTTACGGGTTTCAAATGTAAATTGGGATCTTGGACTGGTGTGGATTGTCATCAAGAGGTAAATATATAAAAAAGCAAGAGAGAGTATTTTGGACATTTTTAACCTCTTTTTGTACATAGACACATTACACACTTAACAATTTCGAGGAAATCACATTGCTGCGTACACATACCGCCAATTGTATTTGGAGTCTTTCAAGCGCCCGTTTCGAAAATGCGCCCGTAAAAGAAATCATGTGTGTCGAATCTTCCAAAAAGACAGGTTTAACCAGTATATTAAACCCTGATGAATTTCGCCTGGTTCAAACCGAAGATTTTTTCCACACCGAACAAGTTGTTGATTTTAATACCGGTAGAGACATTAAGGGTGTCATCGATGTTAGCGCTGTCAACCGGTTTATTGTGGCCGTTGTTAAGCCATTCCCTGAAAAACCCGATATGATTTTTTACATCTCGCAGGATGGCGAATCATGGCACGAAGCTATATTTCCTGAAGGTGCTAATTTGCATGAAAAATCATTTACCATTGTAGAGAGTCCCGGATCTTCTTTATTTGTGGACGTTTTAGGTGGCGGTACCAGTCAGTTTGGCTCTTTGTATAAGTCCAATTCAAATGGTACCTTCTTTATCAAAAGTTTAGAGAACACCAACAGAAATATGATGGGTTTCGTTGATTTTGAGCGTATTCAAGGCGTTGAAGGTATTTTGATCGCCAATATCATCGCAAATCCTAGACAGGTCGAATCTCAAATGGATCACAAAGAAATTCGTACACGCATGAGTTTTGATGACGGTGCCAGTTGGAAGCAGATTAGAGTTGTAAAGGATACGAATGGTAATGACATGAGATGTTCAGAAAGAGAGGTACGTGAATAATATTGATAGTGGCAGAAAAAAAAACTGAAATGGGTTCAATTTAGTGTTCTCTTCATCTCCACTCTGTTACATCTAACCATAACATCGGTCAAGTATCATCTTCTGAATCAGCCGTCGGAGTAATGATGGGCGTAGGAAACTACGGCGCCAATTTACTTGAATACGATGAATGTGACACTTTCTTATCCACTGATAGTGGTATCACTTGGAAAATGGTACGAGAAGGTGCTCATAAGTATGAATTCGGTGATATGGGTACTTTGCTTGTCCTTGTTGATGATGAGAAAGAAACTGATCATGTTTGGTGGAGTAAGAACCGTGGTGATACCTGGTAAATTAACCTAAAGAGGGATTTATCTAGCTTTTGTATATTAACCTATCGTATTTATAAGGGAAAAACTTAATATCGGTATTTCCGTACGTGCCAGAATGTTGACGACCGACCCCGAATCCTCCTCTCGTAATTTCTTATTGGTCGGCAGTTCAGTGCGTTCATCTGATCAAAATGTTCATGCCATTCATCTCGAATTTGCCAGCGTCTTCTCTCGTCAATGCCAATTGATTGAAAATGATGATAACAAGAGTGATTTTGAAAAATGGTATGCCCGTGATATCACCGACGGCCCTGATTGTTTGATGGGTCATGAACAAATGTTCTATCGTCGAAAGTCTGACCGTGATTGTTTTGTCGGTCTTGAATTTAAAGATCCTGTTGTTGAATTGAAGGATTGTCCTTGTTCTCGTGCCGATTACGAATGCGACTATAACTTTTTAAGCAATCCCAATGGAGAATGTACGCGTATTGGACCAGATCTTATCTCTGAAGATGTGTGTAAGTCAAAGGATGATTATTATCCTGGATCAAGTGGCTATCGTCTTATTCCAGGAAACACTTGCAGACTTGGCAGTGGAAAGGCATTGGATGAGCCTATTGATCGCAGATGTGGTGATAATGTCGGTGGTATTATGCCTTCTCCTTCAAAGGGTAGCGGTAACAACGATTTGGCTAAACCATCCGATGACACTATTTCCAAATACACCATTGTATTCAAGGATGAAATTGAACAATTCATCTACTTCCGTAATTCAGAAACTATCTTGGTCCGTCTCCAAAATGGCGAATTATGGCGATCTGGCAATCAAGGAGTTAAATGGACTCAAGTACTTGAAAATGTAGGTCGTATCACCAACGTTATTTTGCATGAATTCGATGATAAGCGTGCGTATGCGCTCCTCGAAGACGGACTTCATATTACTGAAGATGAAGGTGCTAACTGGCGTTCTGTCAAAGTGTCTTTGCCCCCTAGCCGTCGTGTCAGCAGTGTATTAGATTTCCATCCTCAGGAAAAGAACTGGTTAATTTATATTGGTCAATCCAATGATCCCGAACCTCACTCTGAAGCATATATCTCTCGTGACCACGGTAACAGTTGGGGTAATCTCGACTTGTATGTCGAAAAGTGTATCTTTGGTCGTGATTCCAAGTTTGAAATTGAAAAGGAGACCATTTTCTGTTCTGCCTACGACAAGAAAGATATCGGAGGCGACTTAAGATTGTTGCGTACCACTGACTGGGGAACCACCACTACTTCTTACTTTGATAATGTAGTAGAGTTTTTTGTTGTGGAAGATTTCATGGCTGTTGCTTCTAGTAACAAGGGAGATCTTACTTTGTTTGTCAGTATCAACGGCAAGGACTTTGTTGAGGCTCAATTTCCTCCTGATCAATACATTAACCGAAACGTAAGTGACTCTTATATATATATATATATATATATATATTTGTTAGCGGAGGAACTAATTTTTGTTTTTTTTACTCAGACATTCACTGTATTGCAATCCACCACACACTCTATCTTATTGAATGTTTTCAAATCTACAGGATTCGGAACGGCCTATGGTTCTCTTTATAAATCCAACGAAAACGGTACCTTTTATCACTTATCTCTTGATAACACGAACGGTGATGGGCTCGGTTTTGTTGATTTCGAAAAGATCCAAAGTGTCGATGGCATCATTCTTGCCAACCAAGTTTGGAACGCAGATGAATTAGTGGGTGGTCCTGACAGGGTCAAGAAAGTGCGTACAATGATTAGTTGGGACGATGGAGGAATCTGGCAGCCATTGACACCACCTAATTCCTATGACTGTTCTACCAAAGAGTGTACTCTCAATCTGCATAGTCGTAGTGATATTCATGGTCCCGGTGCTATTTATTCCTCTAGTAGTGCACCTGGTCTTGCTATGGGTGTTGGTAATGTCGGTGCTTCCATGAACGCCTATACTGAAAGTGATACATTTTTAACGCGTGATGGTGGCCATAACTGGATCCAAATCCAAGAAGGTGAGCATCTGTACGAATTTGGTGATCAAGGATCTATCTTGGTCTTAATCCGCGATGAAGGACCCACCAATGAACTTTTGTACTCTTGGGATCAAGGAGAAACATGGCACTTTTACAAGTTTTCCGAAGATCCTGTTCGTGTCAGCACTTTAACAACCGATCCTAAATCTTCCACGCTTAGATTTGTCATTATTGGTCATAGCCGTGCATCCGATCGCTCCCAGTTTATCACCACAGTTGACTTTTCCGATGTCAAGCAGCGTAAATGTGTGATTGATAAGAGAAACGAAGATAAGAGTGACTTTGAGCGTTGGATTCCTAAAGATGATGATGGAGATGACTCTTGTCTCTTGGGTAAGAAGACCGCTTATTGGCGTCGTAAGAGAGATCGTGTCTGTATTGTTCAAGCTCAGTTCCAAGAGCCCGAAGTGGTTGTTGAAAACTGTGAATGCCGCGATATTGATTTCGAGTGTGATTTTGGGTTCTGGCGTAACAAGGAGAACGAATGTGTCTTCAAGGGTCGTCATCCAGATAGACCTGCTAAATGTCCCCCTGGTCAAACTTTCAGAGGTAGATCCGGATACAAGAAAAACACCAAGAGTTCTTGTTCTCGTGGTATCAACCTTGAGGATCAAAAGGAGTGGGATTGTGGAGAAAGTGGCGGTATCGTCTCCAGCTATACTGAATTTACCGATCGTGTTGTCGACTATGTTTACTTTACCGATACAGACCGTGTTGTAGTCCGAACTCAAGATGGTAAGATTTGGAGAAGTGATAACGATGGTTTCAGTTGGAAGGAGCTCTTCCCTGGTCACAAGGTGGTAGCAATCTATCAAAACTCTCACTTTGATCAACGTGCTTTCTTTATCACTACGTCCAATACTCATTTTGTTACAAGTGATAAAGCATCTAGCTTCGAAGAGATCCGTACACCTTTAGCACCTTTGAATATACTTCAAGGTACTGTCATGAATTTCCATAACGATGATCCTGATTATGTGATATTTATGGGCGAGAAGGACTGTTCCGGTCTTGCCGCCAACTGTCACTCTGAAGCATTCTACTCTCGCGATAACGGTCGTAGCTGGGCATCTCTTGGTACATACATGCGTAGCTGTATGTGGGGAAGAGAGGGCGCTATTATCTCTACCCACCGTAATTCCATCTTTTGTGAGCAATATCGCGAACAATCCGGTAACCAAATGGGTCTCTATGGTAATGCTCTTCAATTCGTCTCTTCGCAAAACTATTTCCACGATAAGAAAGTCTTGTTTGATGATATCGTCGGTGTTACCGTGTTTGGAAAGTTTATGGTAATTGCTGCCTCCAAAAATGGAGGTGCTAACCTCCGTTTGCATGTCAGTCTGGATGGTTCAACATTTGCCGCTGCATCGTTCCCTGCTTCCTTCGATTTGTCTCCCGAGGCATTTACTATTATGGAATCTGCCAACTCCATGTGGATTCATGTCTCCACAAATACACACAGAGGTAGCGAATACGGTACTATCTTTACATCAAACTCCAATGGCACTTATTATGTCAGCTCTTTGGAGAACGCAAACCGTAACGAAATGGGCATTGTCGATTTCGAGAAAATGCAGGGTATTGAAGGAATCGCTATTGCTAATGTGGTGAAAAACCCAGGCCAAGCCAATAAGGGTGACCCCAAAAAGTTAGTGACACGTAAGACGGCTGATGCAGGTGGACACTGGAACGCTTTGACCCCTCCTCAAAAAGATAGCAAAGGACAATCATATGATTGCATAGGTGAAGATTGTGCTTTACAGTTACATTGTTACTCCGAACGTCAAAATGCTCGTGATCTGTTTAGTTTATCCAGCGCTGTTGGGTTGATGGTAGGTGTGGGTAATGTTGGAGCCAGTCTTTCTCCCTACCGTGATGGTGATATGTTTTTGACTCGCGATGCTGGTAAGACCTGGACTGAAATTGAAAAGGGAGCTCATCTTTGGGAATTTGCCGATCAAGGAGCCTTACTGATTTTGGTCGATAATGAACAACCCACCAACTTTGTAAAGTTCACTACAAACGAAGGTTTGGGATGGGGAACCTATGAATTTGCTAAAAGAGGTGAAAAGGTGCTTATTGAAGATATTATTACGCAACCCGATGGTACCAGTCAAAAATACGTCTTGTTTGGTATTAAGAATGGAAAATCCGTTGCTTATCATTTGGATTTCAGTAATCTTCATCCTACTAAATGTATCTTGGATTTCGATCGTCCCAATGATGATGATTTTGAATTATGGAGTCCTGAGGATACGAGAGGTGAGAAATGTTTGTTTGGTCGTGAGACACAGTATTTCCGTCGTATCCAGGATCGTGATTGTTATATTGGTGAGAAGTTAGTACAGCCAAGAGAAATTGTTCGTAATTGTACCTGTACTGAAGAAGATTATGAATGGTAAGTGACATAAAAAAGGATGCTTTTATCTTTTTTTAAAAAAACACTAATCCGATATTGTAGTGACTTCAACTATGTACGTGATTCTAATAACAAGTGTGTATTGGTACCTGGACTTCAACCATTAATACCTGTCTGTGACGGTACTACCGAATTCTATTATACTTCTTCTGGGTACGTGTAAGAGATCATGCCTATAAATTCGTTTAAGTTAACACATTTTATGCAGATATCGCAAGATCGCAGCTTCCACTTGTCAAGGAGGTAACGAATTAGACAAGTTAGGAGATAAAATGTATTGTCCTGGTGTAAGTCGTTCCGGTCATGGATGGGCTGCCTTTGTTTTCGCTCCCATCCTTGGTGCTGGTCTAGTATTTGGTGCTCTTCAATATCGTAAACGTGGTGGATTTGGGTAAATAACACAACTTTTTTTTTGTTGTCATGTAATACTAAACGCTTAATTCTATAGTCGCATTCGTCTTCCTGATGGTACTCAACAAATGGGCTCTAACATCCTTGCCAGCCCTATTTTTACCAAGATGGTAGCAGCCGCATTTGTAATCCCTGTAGCCATTATTGGTCTTTTGTCTCGTATATCTATTCCACGATCACTATCTGACCTTGACTTTAGTGGTGTTCGTTTACCTTCCTTCATGTCTAGAAGACGTGGATCTGGCTATAGTCCGCTAGGTCAAGATGAACATACCGATGTTTTATTAGAAGATTATGATGGGTCAGAAGAACGTTTGATTGACGAAGCTGACGAATTTGATGATGCCGACGAGTTTTAATGATTAATAAACTTTTTTTTTTGTTATTATTTAAATGAAATTTGTTATGTCTTTTGATGGATGGGAAAATATGTTGGTATCCTTATAAAATATGTTTGATTGGGTTGGCGAAATCTGTCTAGGCTTCGTGTGTCACGCTTCAAAATTATTTTTTATTTATTTATTTGTGTATGGCATACAGATTTTCATAATATTGATATAGTTGAAAAAAAAAATATAAAATTTCCGCTGGTTGTGTAGATGAATATCTTTACTGGTTAAGACAAATACGGTTACAATGCATGTATATTAGATGATAATATCAAATCACATGACTCTTGTGAATTGTCCGTCTTACTGATATACACATTTATGTTTATGATACTAAGGATGAATTGATGTTTAGTTACAGAAGTTCTTTAGGGCTTTTCACCCAATGAAGCCAGAATAAGCTTGTTTATAAAAGTCAGAAATGGTGGCTTTGGAACTCCCCTGTTGTCGGCGCAAAGGATAATAAAGAGTGAAGTTTTTGAGGGGTATGTTGTATGTCGATTACTGTTTATTTACTTTTAAGACATACCATTTGAAGATATCGAAGGCTTGGATGGTTTCAGTGTTTATCCGGGAGCCGTTTGAGCAATCATCACTAAGCAATATCTTTTTTTGTAATTTTTTTAGTAAGCTTTTTATCTACTCTTGTATTGATCGCAAAATACAAAAAGAAAGTAACACGTGTATTACATGAACTATTTAATGTCCACAATTAGGAAGCTACTTGGATTGATAATCAAAGAACTTTGGTTTCATAGCATTTTTTTTAAGCCGAGTGATAAAAAATGAAGCAATTGTCAAGTGAAATAAATATGGTGTCAAAAATCCAAGAAAATGACGTGACAATATCTGTTTTTTTTTTACGTATAGTTTTATGAGAAGTCCACGTAAAATTCAGTTTTGACGGTGATTACATGCATAACCTATTTCAGCATGATGTTATTGTTCATTTATTATTGTACCACGCTGTTTCTTTTGTAAATAGGGCGTATTTAAACCCAAGATAGAATTATGCATTTTTTTTTTTTGGATGCAGTAAACTTGCACTAAATTATCATTGGGATGCTGCTTTATAATGTTGTTTTGTTTATCTGTAACACCGCAACTGCACATGAGTCCGAGAAGGCAACTCGACATGCGATCAGTGTACAAATCTACGGGGAAGGATACAATCGAGCCAGAAAAAAAAAAGGCCGGATTACACCATCGAAAGGCTCACAGCCAAAAAAAAAAAATATAACCAAAATGATTGGTTGCAGTAAAAAAAACAAGTGTAAATAAATCTTTTTTTCTCTCTCACTCAGTTATTTTAATCCTTTTCTCTTACTTTCTTTTTTATTCTGTCCGTAAATAACATAAAGGGCATGCATCCAAATTCACATCTCCACCAATACCTACAAGCAGGGGCCGGCAATTCACTCTCTGCCTCGCTTCAACAACAGCAACAACCAGGTAATAACATGAACGCGTTGTCTCAACATTTTCCTGCCATGAATCGTTCAAATGGAGGAAATAATGCCGATCCTTTTGTGTATGCCCAAATGATGAATAATCAGGTTGGCTCACAAGCTATGCCGATGTCAGCTAATTTCGTCATGCAACAACAACAACAGCAACAACAGCAACAACAACATGAGCATCAAACCGCCCAAAAACTGCAACAATTAGATGAAGAAAAGATTTATGGACTCGTTGTGGAATTACTCAATCCAGCCACTAGAGAACAAGCTTTATTAGACTTGAGTAAAAAGAGAGAGCAGTACGAAGACTTGGCTTTGGTTTTATGGTATTCATATGGTAAGTGCTGTATAAACGTATATAATATAAAACGATGACGTTGCTAATATAGTACGTATAATATAAGGTGTGATTCCTGTATTACTCCAAGAGATTGTTACGGTATATCCTTTATTAACACCTCCTACTTTAAGTGGTGGAGCATCCAACCGTGTCTGTAATGCACTTGCTCTTCTTCAATGTGTTGCCAATCATAACGAGACACGAAGCTTATTCCTTCAAGGTAAAGAAGATAGGGATGATTTACGAAATGTGTATGAACAATAACTAATCTAGAGAACAATTGTAGCCCATATCCCACTCTATCTTTACCCCTTTTTGAACACTACGAGCAAAACTAGACCTTTTGAATATTTAAGATTGACAAGCTTGGGTGTTATTGGTGCTTTGGTCAAAGTAAGGAGGATTAAAATAATATAAGGGAAATTATAGGCATTTAACTCACATTTCGTCATGTAGAATGATAACCCGGAAGTCATCAGTTTCTTATTATCGACTGAAATCATTCCACTTTGTCTTCGTATTATGGAAACCGGTAGCGAACTATCAAAGACGGTGGCTATTTTCGTAGTTCAAAAGATTCTTTTAGATGAGACTGGATTGGTAAGAAATGGGGTTCTGTTATATATAAACATATGCAATAGGAGTATGGGATTAATTTATTTTCGATATTAGTATTACATCTGTCAAACATATGAGCGTTTTTATGCAGTAGCAACAGTTTTACACAACATGGTCAATCAACTTGTTGAGAATCAAGCTATGCGTCTTCTTAAACATGTTATTCGATGTTATTTAAGATTGTCAGAGAATCCAAGGTAAATTGCTTTTTTTTTTTATATATATACATTGTAGCCCTATATATGTAGTTTAAACTCGTTTCATAGAGCACGTGAAGCGTTACGTCAGTGCCTTCCTGAACCACTTAGAGACTCCACTTTTCATCAAGCTTTAAAGGACGATGTAGCCACCAAGCGTTGTTTAGGACAACTGTTGCTTAATCTCTCTGACGGTATCAACTAAAAAATAGAGAGAGAGAAAAAAAGAAACTTACCAGAACCCATCCCAAAACACTTTTTACATAACAATTTTTTATATTTAATCATTTTAATAAGCAGGCGGCTTAATAGATGTAAATTTTTTTTTCTCACTTTCCCCACCATATGATTCCCTTTCTACCCCCTCTACCTCTGTAAAAAAAACCCAACAACCAAAAAACACAAAAAAACACAAAAAAAAACTTCTTTCACCTCCCATTTTTTTTTTCTGAAAAAAAAAAAAAAAAAAAAAAAAAAAAAAAAACCACTGTTCACATATTTTTTTTTTCTTCTTTTCCCTCACCATAAACCCATTATAAACTTTTACATATAAAACTACAACTTTTTTTAATTCCTGCAAACAAACAAAAAAAAAATCTTTCTTAATTTCGAAATCAGCAAGAATAGCTGCTATATTTGAATGAGACGACATTTGATCCGTATGCGTGTGTCTCATGCTCACATATGTATGTCTCACAGTATCAAATGATTACTGTTTTTATCTTTTACTATGCAACCCTAATTAGATCCAGGGCAAAATAGTCATACCACTATATTTATTGTGATTTATAAAAAAAAAGCTATTATTAGGATACGTTCAGCTTCGTGGTATTACGTTTAAATCTACTCTTGTTCAGTAACCGACTCATTTTCTTCCTCATCATCATCTTCTGCTGCCGCTGCTGCTGCTGACTCTTTTTGGAGCACTTTCATGACATTATTTATATGATAGCTATAACTAAAGAATGACTCAAATACATGTTGAATTTCGCCATCATTATCAATAATGTATGTTGTACGTCTACCGAGAGAAAAAAAAAAGGGTTAGGGTTCTTTCTCGATAGTCTAGAAGAAAGGCTACTTTACTGAGGGAAACCAAATAGTAATTTAGGTACTTGGAAAGCCGTACGCAATTGCCCCTCGGTGTCAGCCAGCAACGTATAAGGTAATTTTTGCTTAATGGCAAACTGTTCGTGTGACTTTACACCATCAGCGCTGACACCAACAACCTCAACGCCCAACTTTTGAATTTCCTGTAGTGTGTATTATGGGTGGGTGGGACAAGTGTTACAAACATTTCCCAATTTTGGTCAAACCCTTATATTTTTTTTTTTTTTTTTTACCTCAAAGTTATCACGGAATGCGCATGCCTGTTTCATGAAAGAAAAGTGATGAGTATCATGCCTCTTTTTATACCATCTATTTTATTTGTTACCTCTTTACTACAAACATAGGTATTGTCCTTTGGATAAAAGAACAAAATAACCGTAGATTTACCAATAAAATCAGATATATTGATGTCTTGGTCGTGCTGATTCTTTACGGTAATATCAGTAGGGGCTTGTTTATGAAGTAAAGCGTGAGGTGCCATGATTTGAATATATTAAGAAACTAAAGAAAGGGCGATTTATCCGACCTTTTTGTACCTTTATATTATTCTCTTCTTCTTTCACTTGCACTCCTATTTTATCTACCTACTCTCTTTTCCCCTATACGTGATAAACCAAACTGCATTCAATGTTTGAATAATCGCTAAAGGATGAATAGCAGGGGAGTGCAAGTGAGAAACAAAGTATTCAAAAGGGGTCATTGCTGTCAATGAGGACAAAAAAAAAAAACTTCTGATGTGTCACAACTCGTTATTCTGTATAACATCATAAACTTCCCAGGGTCATATTACACAATTCTTCATTTCGTTAGTGTTTTCTAAAAATGGATCGATCAGTGTCATCTAAAAAAGGGAAGTCATCCGTTTTTGGGAAAAGCATTTTCTCGGAGCAAGAAACTTTATAATCACACTATACACATAATGAATAATGCGAATGTTTCATGTTACTACTTTATCAATGCTGAAATTGGTTAACGTTTGACGCTAGTCTATAGATACATACATGCTGTATATAACGTGCTGCTGCTACATAGACTCATTTAAAATGCGTGTATAAAAGACGAAGATCATGCACATAGTTGTATGCACGGACGTTCTTACCCCCCAGTAAAGATCGCGTCTCTTATGAGGAATAATGGTGGGCTTTAAACACCTCACTAAGGTCCTTTTCTCTATAATATACAGACCTTATCCAGGAGTCTCTCAAATATAAGCTCTTGAAGAGTTGTCATTGTTCTTGGCATAAATAGACTTTATTTGACTTGAGCGTCCTAACAACACACCAAATTGTCTTTCTAAATGATGAATAGCTTTATTTTTTTTCTGTTTCTTTTATGCAACATTTTATTAATCATAATTTGATTTTTATGTAAAGCAAGCTATGGCTTATTGTTCAAGCAAAAGTGCGGTTGGTTCATGAGGATTTAGCAAGAGTTTCAGTGGTTCATGATTAAGGAGCATGCTTTGTAGCTCTTTTTCTTTTTGTCTTGCCATGTCTCTGATTCCTACGAATTTATTCTTCAATGCCTCAGTCGATAAAATCATGTTTTTGGCCATTTTCTTGACCCGTATGCGATGTGCTTTGTTTTTAGAATCATCAGGACAGGTATAGTTCATACATTTTGAAATTGATAAAACATAGTTTTCTATCTCTGAAGACATTCCGTTAATTTCAAGCTGTAAGCATACAAAATCTTTTTGTAATCCGTTCATCTTGCTCAATAAATCTTGTGCGTTCTTGTCGATTTTTTTACAATCCATTTTTCCATAGCAGTTTTGTACAGCAGCGATGAGTATGGGAATACTAAAAGCTGCAAGACAAGCAGACCCAAAGTATAAAGGATTTATTGTTCCAAAAAAATCTGTTGCGACAGTAGAAAGACCACCAACGGTAACAGAACCTACGTACTTACCCTTTTTGAGCGTTTTTTGATTTACTTGATCACGATCATAGTTTATTTTGTCTTTTTCTGCCTTAATTTTTTGTACAGATTCATTATCAAGCTGCTTTGAGATGAGTTTATCACGACATCTTTTAATTTCTAGTTGATCCAACATTTTAGTCATAGTCAACATAAGTTCTTCTAACTCATCCATATCAAAGTTTTTGGTGGCTTTGGCTACTTTAAATTCGACATTAATCTCATTTAAAAAATGTATGCTTCTATCACATTGATTATGTAATTCATGAATAGAATGATACACCAAACGATGCGCTTCACGGACTTTTTCAGCTAAAACGGCTCCAGTCTGATTGTGTACTTTATTAAATTGGTTCCATGAGCTGATACCTTCTTCGAATCTTCTCTGTAAGCTTATCATATATATATATATTTAAAGATGAAAAAATATCAAAAGAAAAACAAAGACACAAACATCAATACAACGGGCTTTTCTTTTATAGGTATAAACTAATTTATCGTGAGAATTAGAATGCGGTCGAAATATAGTGTCTATCGTCATCTATATATAAAAAAGCTTTCTGGTAAATCGCTGTTATTGGATTATTCATTGTGTTTGCCTTTCATGGATTTGAATAATATGCATGTTCATCCCATCCGGGGTTCACAGTTAATATCTTTGTACCTTGCATGTATCTCTTTGACAAGAATTTAAGGATACAGCATACTAAATGTTTGGTTATACTCATTGATTATTTATACAGAAAGTATAAATGTAATAATTACCAACAATATGATGATAAAGGGACGATAAAAATGGAACTTGATCAGGAGGAAAAACATGCTTTTTGAGAAATACATTAAATAGATAGCATTAATCTTGAAGACAAAGGACTTCATCCATCTTTAAGTCTCTAAATATATGCGCGCTAAGGCTTTATTTTTATGGGACGAATAAATTAGTCTTCTTCATACACTTTACGCAACATTTTATTTTTTATTTTTTATTTCCGTTTGAGAGCAAAATTTTCATATAACATGGATTGATTCTAACACAAAATATTTGTTAAAAAAAGAAAGAATGGTAGTCTTATTGATCCAACAAGCGTGCAGCAGCTTCGTTCTGATGGGGCAAAAGTTGAGGTGGTTCATGCTCGAGAAGCATACTTTCTAATTCCCATTCTACTGATCTTGCCATATCACCAATTTGTTCAAACTTTTCTTTTAATGCATCAGTGGACAAAAGCATACGTTTAGACATTTTCTTGACTCTAATGCGCTGTGCCCTAGCTTCGGGATTATCAGGAGTAGCGTATCTAATACATCTTTCAACTGATGCAGCATAGTTTCGAATCTCCGAAGGCATCCTGTTCATTTCAAGTTCTAATACTACAAACTCTCTTTTCAAATCATTCATCTTGCTGTTTAGCTTTTGCATAGTTTTAGAAAGTTCATCTGAATCTTTTTTCTTATATTGGTTCACCAAATCTGTGATCTTCGCAAGAAAAGAACCCCCGCCTAAAAGACCGGTAACGGTACAAGCAGTATAGCTCCAAGCTACATGGCATAATGCCTTAACTAAAGGACCTCCGAGAGCGCCCACGACCAAGCCTGCCCCTGTACCACGAAAAAACATTTTTTGACTTACTTCTTTACTACCTGCTTTTAGGTTAGATTCCTCATTCTCAACCATGACATGGCTTTCTTGAAGTCCCTCTGCAATGCCCCGGCTGCGCGTTTCATTATCTTCAACATAATCCAATATCCTTGTCATAGTCGCCTCGATATCTTCTAAAACTACGATATCAAAACTTCTCGTGGCTTTAGCTATGTCGAATTCTACACTGATATCGTTTAAAAGGGCCAGACTTGTATCGCAACTATTAGCCAAGTCCCGAATAGAATAATAAACCAACAAATGCGCATCATGAACTACTCTGGTCAATACATCTGCGTTATGTTTGTGCTCTTCAATAAATGTAATCCATAAGTTTATTCTTGCATTAAATCGTTGGGTTAGGGTTTTTTGGTTCTGTTCCATTCTTTTTTTTTTAAAAAAAAATATGTTAAAAAGAAAAGAAACTTACAAAAAAAAAAAAAAAAACTTATAAATATCGACTAATTAATCATGAGAATTAAACAGGTCGTACGCAAGTTTATGATCCATTGTCTATTGCTCTTATTAAAAAGATTCTTTTCAATGTTCATAATCTGTTCCACAGATGTGCAAAATTTTGCAGTGATGCAGAAATCCTGATATATTACAGTTTTCTTTCTATAAGGTTTACATAAGATTAGCCTAGAAGGATAGCGTGTGGCTCATCAAATAAATTATTAACAAACTATCACAGTGATCACGCAACATGCCGTTAGCTATGCAGTGACGAGAAGGAATGGTTCCTGCACAATACACGCGTAAAAGCGGTATAAGTGTAGCTCACGTAATTTAGTTTTTCGGTTGCGATTAATATGATTTCCAATCCCGGGTTTCCAGATATTTAAGTAGACTATGTGCTTGAAGTGAGAAATATTTCAATATACAAGGTATTCTTAAGTTTATCTTAAGAGGGTATAATCTTCCAAAAAGGATGACTTCCCTTTTTGGTTGCTAAGTGTAACTTTTGATTGCACCTTTTTTAGAAAACGAGACTGGGAAAGAGAAGTGAGAACGTGGGAAACTTGTGTTCAAAAGTTAGTGTAAAAAAAAAAATGACACAATTTATGTTTCAATTCGCCGCTTTATTTACCGGTTTCCAATATTGCCACGCTTCTTTGATTTCTGCCCAATCCCCATTATGAAAGACATGGATTGCGTGCTTCGGGATTACAAATACAATTATTTTTTTACCAATGACGCGTAGTTTCTCCCGTCACAAAAAAAAAAAAAAAAGGTTTAAAACTTTTTTTTTTTTTAATGGGTCTGTAAACTTTTATCTTTTGATATATACACATTAACAAAAATGACTTCTGGATTCGGTACCCGTGCTATTCACTCTGCTCAACGCCCTGACCCCACCACCGGTGCTGTCATCCCTGCTCTTTCTCTTTCCACCACCTACAAGCAGTCCGCTGCTGGTGTTCATACCGTGAGTAAAAAAAAAAAAAAGTATAAAATTAAAAAAGGGGTATTGGGATATTAAGCAAATACAATAGGGTTTTGAATACTCCAGAAGTGGTAACCCTAACCGTAACAACTTCGAGGAAGCTATTGCTGATCTTGAAGGTGCCAAGTACGGTCTTGCCTTTGCTTCCGGTTCTGCCACTACTGCTACCATTGTTAACTCTCTCCAACAAGGTGCTCATTTGATCTCCGTCAATGATGTTTATGGTGGTACTTACCGTTACTTCACCAAGGTTGCTGTTCACTCTGGTATTGAAACCACCTTTGTTAACTTGGATGACCCTGCCAACATTGAACCTCATTTCAAGCCCAACACCAAGTTGGTCTGGCTCGAAACTCCTACCAACCCTACTCTCCGTATCATTGACATCAAGGCCATTGCTGAACGTGCTCATGCCCACGGTGCTCTTTTGGTTGTTGATAACACCTTCATGTCTCCTTATTTCCAAAAGCCTATTTCTTTAGGTGCTGATATTGTCATTCACTCTGTCACCAAGTACATTAACGGTCACTCCGATGTTGTGATGGGTGTTGCTGTCACCTCTAACGAAGAGTTCTACAAGAAGCTTCAATTCATGCAAAACTCTCTCGGTGCTGTTCCCTCTGCTTTTGATTGTTTCTTGGCTCGTCGTGGTCTCATGACCCTTGAAGTGCGTATGCAAAGACATGCTGAGAATGCTCAAGCTGTTGCTGAATACTTGGAAACCAACGAGCATGTTGAAGCCGTTATCTATCCCGGTCTTGCCTCTCATCCTAACCATGAACTTGCCAAGAGACAACAATCTGGTTTCGGTGGTATGATCTCTTTCCGTATGAAGGGTGATTTGAACAACGTCAACAAGTTGTTGAGCAACTTGGAACATATTACTCTTGCTGAGTCCTTGGGTGGTGTTGAATCTCTTGTTGAGGTTCCTGCCATCATGACTCACGGTGCTGTCAGCCCCGAAGATCGTGCTATCTTGGGTATCACTGATACTTTAGTCCGTCTCTCTATTGGTATTGAAAACAAGGAAGATTTGATTGCTGATCTTAAGCAAGCTTTATCCAAGGCTTATTAAGATAGTACAACTTCTTTTTTACCCTAATCCCACACACACACACTTCTCATTTACTTGTAAAACATTTTTCTCACTCTCACTCATGTATAAATAAAATAACATGGAGTCTTTTTGTCCTCCTATAAACAAACTGCCCCCATGCATGGCCCTGTCAAAAAAATTATTTCACCATCCACGTCAAAAATTTAACATTATTTTTAATTTGAATGCCCGGTTTATTATAATTTATTTTTATTTACAAGAAGAATCTCTTACGACTAGTCTCCATATCAGGCTTGAATACCCATTCGTATTCACCATCACGCTTGTAAATACCCTTTTGTAACCAACGCAACTTTAATGTGAATTTAGGTCCCAATTCTTGTAATCCGACCTTCTCTGTATCTCTGAACACATAACGATGACGACGTACAAAAATGAAATCACGTTGATTGTGGAAAGTAATCACTTGTCTTCCTTGAAACTCTGGTACTTGAGGTAAAAGTGATTGGAACATGCGGCCGATGGTATGACCTAATCTGGTATTGAAGTTGTTCAGAATCAATTCAGGGTTGTGAGCAGTTACACGACCATGACCCTATTCCTTTGTTAATCATCAAATTTATAAATTCACTGCTGATCCCCCTTTCAAACTACTACTTACGGAAATGGCTTTGGCAGGTGTGAAACTGGTGAGTTTAAAGTAGGCGGAAGGTCCGTTAGGTAAATGTATTAAAGTCACAGCATCTATTGAGAAAAGGAGTAAGTTATTGGGTATTCTCTCACTTTTTGTACTCTTTCGCATCATTCTCTCGGTTTAAATAACATACTGGGTACTTTGCGATCTTCATTGACAATAATAAGATCGGTGAATTCCTTGTCGTTGGCAATCTTTATCACTTGTCTCAACTCATGCTTGACTCCACGTTTAGCGAATTGAGCTTCAGGGAACATGGAGACTAATTCTGCACAGAAATCATAACAGTTGGGTGAAGGGTTTTTGCTGGAAGTGACCAACACTTTGGGTGCCTTTCCGCTGAAATAACTAGCTAATTCGTCGAGTGCTTCATCCTGAGCAACTTCATCGTCTTGCTCGACCATGGTCTCATCGGCCTCTCTTGTGTTATCTAAAGTTTTTGGTACATTCTCTTCCAAACGTTTCTATTGATTCCAGCGAGTCTAACGTTAGATCGTGTGTATTTCTTGTACTTAAGAAAAGAATACAAACCTTCTTTAATTCGGGATTCTTTTCTTCGGCCTTGGCGAGTTGCTTTCTTTTGGTGGCCTTTGCCTTTTGCTTTTCGAGTCTTTGCTTTTGGTAAAGATTCTCACGCTTGTGCTTGTTTTTTAATTCTGAAGGACGGACTGGTTCTCCCATTTTAATTTTTGTTTGTTGGTTGTTGAAAAAGCCTTCCTTTTTCAGTCTGCAAAAAGCTTTTTTTTTTTTTCTAAGGCCAAATTGGAAACTCAGTCACATATAAACAGTCCCGTCACACAATGAAGCCTATCCACAATTTGACAATCATTGATAAAGTAGGTGAGAGAGACTATCTTGATTATAAACATTCATCCTAAGAGCCGCATGATGTGACGTTTTGTTTATTATCTACAGATTTTAACTTTAATGAAGAAAGTTTGTTTCATACAACTATCAATTCCATAAAAGATATCTATAATGTGAGTGCCAAAGGTCGATGTACTAGTTCCATGTTTTGCGCATTACATGCACAATGTTTGTTGTTGATAGTTTCTCTTTCGTTTGTATTAGTAATATTTAAAGAGACATTTTCTTCAAATTTTCTTCCTAATTTTATTTTTTAATGATATAGCTCATCTAAATGGTAAAAACCCAGTTATAATAATCAAATGGTAATAAAAAAAAAAACGGAATATCCGCTTAGGACTTTGGATCGATCTGAAAGTTTTTCTAGTTACAGTTGTTAATATCATTGGTTGCCTGAGTTCCGAAAGAATTATGTCGGGTGGATCTTCGTAGAGGTATGCTCAATCACGCTCTGAACTGATTTACTAGAGCATTCAACAGCCAGGTCATTGCTGCAATATCACGTTTAGTGAAGAACCGGCTATTCATATTATTTAATTGCATAGAGTATAGAAAAAGATGATATCCAAACAGAGACATACTTTTGTATACATGTTACAATTTATAAACAGGGAAAATAAAATGCTTGGCGTTTTTCTTGTGAAATCAACTCCAGATTGCATAATCGAGCTGAAAGAAGGGGTTGTCTTATTTGGTATGGGCAGTAGAAAGATCATCTATAAGCTATTTGATAATGAAAAAAATAAGTTTTACCAAATCTAAACGGAGGCATAGCTCTTGCAAAAAGGAAGAATGTATGGAATATGCAGGATTCGTTTGGGAAGGGTAAACTCTCCCTTTTCTCTGTAGACACTTAATTCAAGTGGGATTTACACAAGAAACAATAAGGGTTGATTCATGTCCTACACACATAGAGAGAAACAATGAAACCTTAATTCTCGGAGCATTTGCGATGAACCCAAAAGAAATCTGTCATAATGAGCGCTTTTTCTACCAAAAAAAAAAAAAAAAAAAAAAGCACCGGAGAACCAATCATACTGACGTAACAAAAACTTTTTTTGTACCTGATACAAAGATTATCCTTCTTTTGTAAATATTTTTCCTTTCTCTCTCTTTCACTCTCTTTTTGTAAAAAATGTCTTTTAACGACTTGGAGCAAGGGTATGGAGTTTCAACCTCCCAAAGAAATAGACCACAACAACAAGGTAACATACTTAATGAAAGTAGGCATGTTGTAATATTAAGCTGACTCATGAGTTTAGATGGCGGAGAAAGTGACTATAAAAACTTGTCGCAAAGAGTGGCTCAACAAGTCTTCCATATCAATGGTAATATCAACAGCATAGAAAGGCTCGTTGGATTTTTGGGAACAGCAAGAGATACGACTGACATTCGAAACAAGCTGTAAATAGACTACATACTCTTTTTTTATATCTTCTTATTCACTTTTCTTATATAGACATGACGTAACAGAAGGCACAAGAGAACTGATTAAAGATACTACAGCTGATATTAAAGGATTATCCCAATATCCAACCACCGATCCGAAAAAGACAGTAATGTATACTTTTGTTAGAGAAGGCCCCGAGCATATCAACTTATACACATTTATTAAAATAGCGTCAAAGAAAACTTGAACAGCAAAAGTTATCTAAAGATTTCCAAAAGGTTTTGGCTGAATTTCAAAATATTCAAAGAATCTCTGTATCCAAGCAACGAGAATATGTTGACAAGAAAAAGGCGACCACGGCTGCTCTTCAATCCCAAGCGTAATATATACACATAAAAGGATATATAGTTTTATATATGTATGATACTAACACACAACTGTTTTTATCAAGTGATGAGGGCGAGGATGAGGTACAGCAAGAGCAACAACAACTACTGCAAGCAGATACTGCTCAAAGACGGGTCCAGATCGAGGCCTTGGATAACGAGATTGAATACAACGAAACATTGATTTCGGAACGTGAGGGAGAGATTCAAGGCATCGAACAAGGTATTACCGAACTCAACGAAATCTTTCGTGATCTCGGTATGCTCGTCAATGAACAAGAAAGTGGCATCCGTAAGTGCTTTTGTTTGTCTTATGTCGATTCTTTTTTAACCCTTTCTTTGTATGTACAGAAAGTATTTACGGTAATGTTCTCAATATTTCACAAAACACAAAGCAAGCTGCGGACGAGTTAACAACGGCCAATCGTCACCAAAAGAAAGCAAGAAAAAACATGTGTTGTTTATTATTAATCATCACGATTGTTGGTTGTGTACTTGCTTTGATCATTGTAGTTGCTAAATAAACATACCCTTACACTATCCGTTTCATCACCCCATCACAGCACTTGTCGGGGGCTATTCCCGAAAATGTTTCGTTAAGGTTTATTGTAAGAGTAAACAGCAAAAAAGCCACACATACACACTGCATGAATATGGAACAATAAAGGATCATCCCCCCCCCTCCTCTTTTCCGGAGAGGAAATACTTTAATAGAGTAGCTATTGACATTTACATGACATGTCTTTTGAATTGGTGCCCAGGAATTTTTTTGATTGGTTGAGTGGTATCCGGTAAATAATGAGAAATCATTTTTGATTCAAAATAAACTAGTTGTAGCCTAGAGTTTCATTATAAGCTATAGGCATTTCGGGCAAAATACAACCAGACAAAATGATGTAGAGCATACACTGTTTTTTGAAAGAATAGTGGACCTATGTGAGTAGGTAGTCCATCTCTACATAAGCGATATCTATAAGCCACTACTAGTGCTTCACCCACTGTCAATTTGAACCTTCAGTCAAAAAAGGATTGGTCTCAATTTCGAAGAAATCATTGGATGTAAATCACTGTTGATCTAAGCTAAACAATACCTCTATTTTTGCGAATAAATGACATATACATCTTCTTTTGTTAAAATGATATCGCGGAAAAAAAAAAGTTGTGGTATCGCACAATTAAAGAAACGAGTATCGTGATGTTTAAAATGGTGTCGTACTGTATACATGATTGTTTATGAGGTAAGACGGCCTTCATGGCAGTTATTAAAACGTCAAGTATAACTTAGCACGCAAACCCTTCATAAGATGATCGAGCAACATTATCGCTAACATCTGAAATTATCTAAGGAATGGTATCTTTGTTGAGCATAAATTCGCAGGCAACTTGGATGCTTAATTTAAGTAAAGAGTTGAGCTTTGGTGTTATAAGAAGAAATATATGTACAAATAAGCGGGCTGTCACTTCTCAAGGGATAAGTAGTCAATCCTAGCTTATGCCGTGTTCAGCAGGCAGGCATAGTTTAACTTATATTCCCAAACCGCCCCCCCCCCCTAAACGATAAAAAGAAGTTGGGTTGCAAAGGTTTATTATGAGATGAAGAGTTCTAGTGCGAGTAATATTTTACTGATTCCTACGGAAGGATGAAAATCTCTTTCTTTCTTTTTCTATTTTGTTTGAATCGTTGAGATGGAGACGTTTGCATTGGAGAATATATTATTAGGCAATTACAACGACGCGTTGTATTAGGTTTATAAGCTTATTGTTAGTAAGAGAGTCTATGTAGTTCCCCAATAGCATCTGCGACAATGTACATATCCAGGATCATAGACACTATCGTATTTATTCTTATTAAACAAAATATAATTACAATTAACTGGTCTCATTGTTACATTATGTACTATATTATAATATAAACTTCAGTGAATATCATTTATTCTGTTCAAAAACACAATATCAGTATGACACAACATTCTCTCTACGATTATGTCTCGAATTTAAACTTAAGATGATGTGTAAAACTGTGACATCTTATAACACATACTTGTTAATCGGGAGCTATAATCCTTAACTTAAATAGGGAGTCATAAGCTGCTGTATTTATATGAAGATTCCAAACACAAAGGACGAACAGACCAACAGTAGTGGCATGGTATACGATAAACCTAAAAGAAACCTACCATAAATGCTGATTTAAAACGCTGTATCTGCAAGCACAGGGAAAGAAGGAATATAGAAAAGTGATAAAATTGAGGTTTTGATACCTCAATTAAGTAAATAAAGTAAGAAAATAGATATATTGATATGAAATAGGTTGTAGTTTTTTTTTCTTGCCTGATAGCCATTTCATTTCATTCCACGCTTTTATTATTAGCCCAGCAGATTTATTTCCATATTGGGACATTTATTAAAGAAAATTGTGTAGCTTGTGCGGTCCTCTCAAGTAAAAAAAAAGATCCCGATTAGGACAATTTTTGTGCAGCACTATTTAATAGCACTTTTTTTAAGGTTAACGTACAGGCTATCTTTTATAATTTTGGGGATATTCTCAGTAATGTATATTGTATGCGTGTAAGCATTGACCACTAGCTTTTGAATTCTTTGGCTGATTGTGTACTACTGGTAATACCGACATAGACTCATCCATTGTGTGCAGTTACATACATAAAAATAAAAGCTGGACGAAACTGAATAATAAAATCTTTGTCTATCCTATGTCAGCAAATAAATGCATAGGATTCAAATCTATAGCTCTTCTCTGCATCACAAATGTGACATGCACACATTCTTTTTTCTTCAAGTAAAAAAGTAGTGTGAGCAGTGAGTAAAAAAGGAGAAAATCAGAAGATAATCAAGACATGAAACTATTTTTAGTTAAGCTTGATGTTTTGATACGGCCTGTCAGTTTTTATCTAATTTATTTTTACATGATCCCTTCTTTTTCTTAATTGTTCTGGCAGGTTCTATTTATGCAACAATAGTCATTCCAAAAGAAATCACCATTAGTAAGGAGAGTTGGATAATAACATCTTCGGAAACAGAACTCCAATTAACCGACATTGATTTCCAACAATCAAGAATGGAAGAATTCTTGTTTTTTTTTCGGCACACTCAAAAGAAATGGTCAGCTCATACCGAGTATAATGTTAAGGTTTTAGGAGTTTTTTTTTTTTGTAGAATAGCTGGGTAGAAGTGGATTGACAGACATTTACATGTGATACCGATACCTCACTTTATTTTTTCTTCTTCTCCCAAGTTAGTCCAGACTTGTATAGATTAGATGCTGCAGTATTTTCGTTATAAATGTTGCCCCATTTGATACGTTCGATGGGAGTTAAGCTATGGATTTACCCAAACAAATAATACATTGCGTAATTGAGAATGTTTGTAAAAAATTCTTCTTCAAAATAGGAGATTGTGTAAATTAGTAGAACCCCCAATTTCATCAAGCTGGCAATCAGTTGATCTTAAAAGTTGTCCCAATCGAGTGGAAAGCAGAGGGTTGAAACGCAAATGATACATAAACAGTAAGCTTAGTTTTTTTATGGGCAGAACCGCTCAGAATACTTAGGAAGGATTTTTGAAGGCCGGTTGATGTCCCGAGAAAAAATGGTGTCGACTATTTTAAAACTGAATTCCTCTTAGGGACTCCATACTGCTTCTATACCTGTCCTGATTGACAGTCCTTGTATCATCAAACATTTTTAAGTCCTTGCATAATTGTATGATAATTGCAAGCGGAAATTTAGTAGGTGTATTAATCAAAAAACTTAGTTTCAGAATGGATGCAAATTAAAATTCTACGGGAGGCACGATGAATTATGGCCTGTTGCGTATACACATATCCCGATATGTAACTCATTATGCACACATTGTAATAGGACGAGTCAACGGCATACTTCTTTATTACCCTTATGTGCGATTAATAAAGCTGAAATTATAACCCGTATATGTTAGACATCTATCAATGCTTATTATGCTGTCGCACTGATCGTAACATTGACCCTGCGCGAGTTTTTTTGTCCCTCGTGTGACCACAATGCGTCTGAATTTTACGCGCGACTTCTATTTTTACAAATTACGCGCTTTTTTCTTTTTTTTTTCTTTCACAATGTTGAGTTCCTTATTGAAAATTGAACGATACCTAAAGTGTGATATCTGGTAAGCGTCCTAGTTTCTAAAACAGACATGACAGTTAACAAGACTAACAGAAAGGGGTTTAGTTTATCCACATTACGACAAACTCGCATTGTAGCAGAATGTGGACACCGTTTCTGCTTGTAAAGTATTCATTTGCTTGAACACAACAGCTCTTTAACTCCTGATTTTTTATTTTACACGTAGCGATTGCATTTCAGAAAAACTTATTGTCATTCCAACCTGCCCAACTTGTGGATTACCAGCCGAAGAATTATTAAAGGATCCCATGCATGATAATCTCGTCAGTTATGTCAGTAAATTGAAAACTGCCCTGCTCAACCATACACTGACGCCATTAGAAGAGTCCTTAAAACGTGACTTATCCGATACTCAAGATTCGGGGGATTTGGAAGACGAATACCGTGATTTACCTGCCACCAAAAAATTTAAGCCAGCAGAAGAAGGAGAGGAAAGAGTAAGACCTGCACGTAAGAAGCCACAGCCAATTTATGTGCAAATGTCGGATGATGAGGATATTCCAGATGCCGTACCTTCCATAGTGGGTGCTCCGTATGTACCACCGCCTTCACAGCCATCAGTGGAGACCATCCAAGCGACTTCACCATCAGCAGCAGAGTCCGATCAAGTGGCTGTGACACCGCCACCAACGCCACAAGATCCTGAGGAAACGGTAAATAATAATAAAACTATTGTAAAAGCTCCCCACTTAATAATGTATATAGGAAACAACAGGCGAGACATGGCAATGTCCTGAATGCGAGTTCCAGAACCAGGCTTGTGTTCAAACTTGTGGTGTGTGTAAAAATTTCAAGAATCGTCATGTTCAAGTGGTAGTAACACCAAGCAAGCGAAAAGGGAGATCCACTCGTGGGCTACAAGATAATTCAGTCGTACCCACTATCGAGCCGAGTACCATGGCAGATCGTTCTTTAGACAGTGCCACATTAGCTGCTGCAGCAGGATCTTCTAATGAAAACGACAAGGAAGTGCACATCATCTTTACGGGCGTAACAGAAAAAGAAATGGGATTGATGGAAGAGCAATTGAAGCATGTGGCCGAATCAAAATTACATATTCACGTAGGAACAGAGTTAAAGGATATGGAAAAGACAACTCATGTGATTGCCAGTGTGGATAAAAAGAAGCAATGTCATCGTACCTTAAAGTACCTGGATGGTGTGGTGACAGGCAAATGGATCGTCACACCGCAATGTAAAGTGCTAAATAACATGGAAATATTTTTTATAAAATCTGCTATTAACACACATATGTACATAGGGCTACTGGATAGTATGAAGGCGAAGAGATGGTTAGGAGAAATAGGGTATGAAATCCAAGGCGATGCTAAAAGCGGAATCACACATGCACCAGAAAAGGCCCGAAAGCGAAGGAATCCATTATTTCAAGGCATGAATTTTTATTTTGCCGGTGAGTTTTCTGAAACCCATAACAAGAAAGATTTATCGCGCTTGCTGCGTGATGGGGGAGGTAATGTAGAGTCTCGTAAACCAGCTGCCAGTGAGGATCCTACCAAACAAGCCATCGTTATTTACAGCAAACAAATAACTCGAAAGAAGTTACATTGGTTAGAAAAGGGTTATCAAGTACGGGACCCCATTTGGATCATTAATTGTATTAGTCATTTCGAATTGAAATAAAAACATTTTCCTGTTTTTTTTATGTATTATTGTTCACAGTGTATGCATCAGTGAATACCGGGGTGTTTTTAGGTATAACCTGGGGTCAGATAGATGGCTGTCCATAATGTCTATCAATAACTGATTTGATAATGGGAGGTATCCATTTGTAACGATTACAAGAAATCCAATAGTATACGAGGAGCAAGTTTACCGATGTCAAAATAATCAAAAAGGTTTCCAATTCTTTTTTTACAAGGTTGATAATAAAGCAAAAGACAGAACGACAATACTCTGTAGTACGTGTAATTCAATCGACAGTGAGAAACTTATTTAAAGCACTACTCAACACAAAGAAATTTTTTCTTGTGTTTTCGTGGTCCTAAATAAAAGGGGTTTTTTTGGTTCCTAGAAACTTTTCGACACATGCTTATATACTATCATTTAATCAAAGTCCTCTTGCATATAATATCTTTTCTAATTTGAGTATCTATAATTTGTTTCCATTTTTTTGTACTTACCAGATACCCAATTGATTCACTGGATGAAGCCATTCGGCGCCTCTTTAATTCGCCCGGTAGGTATTCTTTTTTTGAAAAATTGGTGTTGTTTTGATTACTTTTTTTAACAAAATACAATTTTTGCATATCCTATGTCCAATTTTCTACCCGTAAACGATCCTATGTATATTCATGATCATGTGACTGCTACGTCCTCATCTACAGATCAGAGCACCGAAATGGTTGAGATACAAGCCATGGAAGAAACTATGCTTGAAAATGAGGATAACTCCCCTGAAGCATACAGCCCTAAGATCAAAGAGTTTCAAGTATGGTGCGACGATGTCTATAGACATTCCTCTATTGAGCAACGCTTTACAGTTACAGGCGACAAGCTTCATTTGTTTCTCAAAACTATGGTATGTGCAGTTGTTTATAATATCATGCAAAAACGACTTACATTGAAACTTGTGTAAAAACTTTAGGTTATCAATCGTGTAAGCAGACGCAGTAACCAAGAGGACAGAGTGATCCAATTGGCAACCATCTACGAATATGTTGCTGCTATTACTCACTACTATCAAACTCAAGTATCTCAGAAAACAAATGATCATCCTCATCCAAGATCAGCTTGTATTGCTATCCTTAAGACATGTAGACTGAGAGAAGAAAATGCGGGTAGAGTTGACGAATTAGATAGCTACACTACTACTGATGAAATTGCCAGCCTTTCTTACTATTATATTGGTAAAAATACGTTCCATGATCTTCGCAACTGCACTGCTTTTATTTTGTCGCAGTTCTGTTTTCTTCGTGGTGAATCAGCAAGAGCTGCTGAGCTGCCTGATCTTCAAGTTGTTCATCTGGAACAAGAAGGACATACCCGTTTTTGCCCAGCTTTGATTCTAGCGATGAGAAATGGCAAGACCAATGAGTCTGGTCGATTAGATATTGGCGCGTGTATTCGACATGTAGATATCCGGATCTGTCCATTCATGGTAACTGCCATGTATTTTTTCTCAATGTTCCATGTGGATTGCAAGCCATTTCCCGATTTCACCAAATCCGAAAACTGGTATTTCACCAAGTTGTTGCAGACGAGGGCCGACGACACGAAAGAATGGTCTTACGCTGCTCATCAAATTGCCATGGATAAGGCACTTAAGGCCTGTAACATTGGTTCTTCTAAGGTCGCCCATATGGCTCATGGTGCTGGCGCTCGCCTATGTGATCTCGGTGTTGATGAATCACTGATAAGGCGATTTGGTAGATGAGCGGTTCTTATTTTACCGATCTCCCTCGCCAAGCCATGCGTCATCTGGGTGGTTATGGCACACAACAGGGTACATTTTTCTTGCGAAGAAGTGCCCTCGAACCTCCTGCCGAACTTCAAGCCAAGGTTTTTCCTCAAGTTGATGAATGGATGGATAGATTGAGTTCTGGTGCCATTGCGGATAATGCTGTCGCTCGTGGTTTCTTGCAGCTCCTAAAGACCATGAGAATAACTTTTTTGCAAGATGCCTCGTTGATGATTGATGATTTTCCGCACCACCGTGTATTCAAACATTGCTTATTCCAAGATCCTTTGTTTTTACAATTTAAAAGGTTTGTCATTTTTTATATGGTATTAATAAAATCACTAATTAAATTTTGCTTTTGTATTGAATGTAGTGATCTTGAAAGAGCTATGAGCGAAGAAAATACACTATATGATCTTATTCTGAAGCAAGCCTTTCCATTGTTGCCAAAAGTGGTCGAAGACGGGTTCAAAGCACAGCAAGAAATGATTAGAACTTTGAAGCTTCAAAATGAGCAAATTTTGAAGCAACTGTCAGACCTTAATAACGGTATGATAAATGTCAGAGTTACTGCTGATGTTTCAACAGCAGTAACTGGTTCTGATCTTTCATCACCAATGAGTGTTGATCCCGTGTTTACTGGTGATACAGTAATGAACAATAACACTTATCCACAGAAACGGGAATCATTGGAACCGAATGTCAAATTTAGTCTTGCATGGAGTAGAGATGTAGCGACCATTACGGACCTCTGGATAGAGTACTCTGTTGGTTTACGTGGTAGACATTCCATCAAGAGCTTAAACTCAAACCACCCCAACTGGTTTCTTCCTCACGACAAGAATTTTCATTACCGTCGCATGAGAATTATTAATGGTCTGGAAAAGCATGCAATTACGAAAGGCATCACCATTGAAGCTTGTGTTCGACAAGCCGAGATGAAGAGAATTATATTAAAAAAATCATTGCATTCTCTAGGTAAAGCAACTGGCAGCATCTACGAGCTGTTAATTTAAAAACACTTCTAGCAAACAAGTAATAAAAAAGAACTCTTTCATTAAAAATACAAAAATGTCCTCAATTATCCCCTCTCTCTTTTGCTTTTATGTGAAATAAACTATTAATTGCAATATGTATAGAAAACTTAAGAGTATTTAAAAGATTTTGTTCAGTAGAATATTTGACGTAAAGTTTGACCCGAAATACATCCAATATAATCTATTTATTTTTATTCCAGCTTGGTTACAAAATAGCATGTGTCGTGAGATTATAAGATGGGAGATAAATACAAATCCCGGCTTTATCCTCATATGCACGACTCATGATAGAGAAAAGTGGCAAAAAAAAAATTTCAGCGTTTCCAATACCCCCCCCCCCCCTTTTTTTTCTACCTGAGAGCATGACTTCCGTACAAGTATAGTCCGCTTTTTTAGTTAGAATTCTATTTTGAGATTTTTATTTCAACGTGTGACATGGCTTATATGTATACGTATTATTCTAAGTCCTATTACTTGAACATGACCTGGTTCTCAAAATTTACGCCTTCAAATGTACGACTAAAAAGGGTCATCTTTATTAAGTTAGCTTGGTAACCACAACAAGGCTGTAGCCGATATTTCATTCCCCTTCTTTTTTTTTAGTGTACATGTGGCACCATAATTTTACCAAGTACTATAAGTATTGAGAAGAAAGAATTAATATTTCAAGTTTGAAAATTTATTGTTTATGAAGAAACCTATTATAGAATTTTGTATTTTACTGTTAACTGCTGCAAACTATGTAATTGCAAAAAACGATATCGATAATACTGGATCCGCTCCATGTAAGTCATATATTGTTTGGTTTCGAATTTAATAAAGAGCTCTTTTTATGATTAGCATGTGGTTATCTGGCAAAAAAGATATTTTGTTTTGGAGTTACTCTTAATGAGTCTTCGGAATATCGTTATCCCAGTTACGATTCATATCATGTACTTGATATTAGACTGTATGATGGTGTAACTACGGATGAGTTAGTAACTAAATGGGCAGTACTTCCTACGAAAGCGTTTGGACTGGGAAGTGAAAACCCTCAGTTTACATCACTACCAGATGGAAAGACTTTGTTAATAGTTAGCGGTACTTACTTCAGTACCCCTCAAACATTGGCCTTCAATGGCGAATCTTTAACTTGGGAACATTATAAATCTTTTAACGATCCCATTATTAATAGACCATTTAATAATAGAGCAATGTGCGTCATACCCTTTTGAACTCACATAATATTTGAAACTAATATACAGTATTTTAGTGGCGAAGCAGCCTTTGTATATGTTCCTGAACACGGGTTTGTGCTTTATGGAGGCATAGAATCGTAATGTTGTTTGATGCTTTTATTTTTGCTTGATACTAAAGCTCACTTAAATAGAGGGTTGGGACTTTTCAAGGATAACTTTACTTATCCTGGTGTGAACACAACGAACTATATACCCGACAATTATATGAGCCAAAGATTTATCGGTTATACAAAACTAGAAATACTAGACATTAGAAACAAAAAAGATGTATGTTACTTCATTAGAGTAACAAAAGATTTTTATGTAGACTGACAAACTGGTTTTGATAGCCATGGAGACCGCATATTACTGAGTATAATGCTCCAAAAATGTTTCCTTGTCGCCAAGCAGCAATTTTCGATGCAAAAAATAACATTATTTTTTTCTTCGGGGGTCAATATTCTGGGTTTACAAGTTTCCAAAGAATTGGATTTACCTTTGACACTGTGGTAACATTCAACTTCACGAGTCAAAGCTGGGGAAACCAAATATTAAATGGACAGGGCCCATCTCCTAGGATCGGACATACGGCGACATTGGGTAAATATATTAAAAGAGAAAACATTTTGGTTATATAAAATGTAATGAGTGTATTTACTTGTATATTTATACTGCCTAATCAGTTGGTCCCAATCAAAGAAATGTTCTTATATACGGTGGAAGGAGCCTGGAATCAAATCGTCGTAATAGAAATTATTTGTTTATTTAAGATGAGCTGTCTAATGCATTAATTTATTATATAGCTCTGTCCGATTACTGTTACACTTTGGATCTTGACTCTTTTCAATGGACTCCCCAAACAATTCCAGCAGCAGCCGGTGAGGTTCTGACTAGAAGCCGGCATTCAGGTATAAATCACAGATTATATAAAGACAAAGGGCAAAGAGAATATTACTTTCGTTAAACAATTATCTATATAGCTGTCACTATAACTAATGATATGTTATTTATATTGTTTGGTTTTGAAAACGAGACTAAATTGGCCGAGAAGTTATTCATACTAAATGTTACAAACCCTTCCAGTATCACTTTAATGAACAAATTTGTTCAACCGTCAAGACTGCCTACTATTGATCATTTTGTCATTGGTGTCAGCGTTTCGGCTGCAGTAAGTATCACATCCATGTATTTAATGTTTGTGTTAACACGTTTCATTGTTCGTTTGTTCTAGGGATTGATGGTATTGGCTGTTATAGTCTTCTGTATAAGCAAAAAAAGAAAGAATAAGAAAAAGATGATAAAGGAGCCTCCCGTGGAGGTCGATTGGGATAAAATTCAGGAAACATACGCAGAAGACCCTAATATACACCTTCCCGAAGGTAATTTTAATTATATTCCCCAGGTGCCAGATATTATTTCTACCACAGGAACCACAATCGTGCCAAATTGTTCAAGCCCACTGTTGCCCAAAACGAATTTAAAAATACCCGATGCTATTGATTGCAATAGAGTGAATTCTGTTGAAAGGGATCCGGTACAGAATTTTAAGATAGGCATTACTAATAGAGATCAAGTGCATAAGCCTGATATTAGTTTTGTGAACAAAAATCAGGAACCTAATCCTGGTTTCAAATTTGCAGAAAGAGAACAAATTCAGAAGCCTGACATCGAATAAAATTTCGGTAAGGATTTATAAAAATTACTATTTCAATAAAATTTAGTTCTGATTTGTGTCAAGGCATACACTTAAGAGAATCTCTTGTGTAAATCAAAGTGTTCCACCCCCACATGTTTTTTGCAACGTTCAATATTTATCTAATAAATAAAGAAATATTCCTTTCAATAATTTGAGTACCGGGTAAAAATTATATGAGCCAAAGTCTCTGAGAGACAAAATATGATTTAGCAGTTCTAACTTACAAATACAAGGTAGGTAAGGTAGGGAAAAGATCACAATTTTTCCTTACGTAATAAGCGAAACTTCTTTATCTCGTTGCTTTTTGTCCACTTTCTCCTGAAAAAACATGGAAAACTCCATTTAGTATAGTGCGGCCATTGTACAACTCATGTTCCGCAGCTGTGTCACTACTTTGGTCTGCTAAATCTTGTGATGCCAGCATCATTTTTGTTTTGTCGGGTTTATAGTTAGTCTTTATAGCTATCGGATCTATTTCTTGAATAAATTTGATTTTTCAAGTTTTTGTGTCAACGAATACACCTAAAAATAGGTTAAAAAACTTTAAGCCATCGATTGTAATTTGAGTTTTCTTAGTTTATGTACACTTCCCACCGCCTACATTTCATGTGACACCTTGTTTTATGGTTTTACTATAAATACTAAAAGGAAAACACTGTTAAAAGTTATGAAAGGTTATTTTTAATGAAACAACTTAAAATAAATTATTGGCTTTTGCTTTTTATAAGTACCAGCTTTGTGGTGGCGCAAGACGCTTCTGATACTCCTAGATTCGGTGCATGTAAGCTACAACCTAGCATATAAAAATTCTATAACACTCATTTGATATTTAGCATGTGGTTACTTGGTCAATAAAATATTTTGTTTTGGGGGTGCTGAAGACATTTCGACAAGTATCCCTTCAAATACAATGTTTATGCTTGATCTTACAACATTTATTGCAGAACAACCAGAAGGGTTATCAAATAAATGGGTAAAGCTCAACACGGACACAAAAACACAAAACATACAACCAAGATACAATCCACAATCAGCGGGGCTCTCTGATGGAAAAACACTATTAATAGTTGGTGGCGATATTTATGGAAATTCATCAGGCGTTCCTCAAGCTCTATCTTTTAACTGCGAAACTATGACTTGGAGCACATACCAAAATTATGAAGATCCTCCTTTTGGATATAGACAAATGTGAGTTATAATTACATCACAAAAGATTTTAAAACTGAAGCATAATATTCAGTTCGGATGCAGCTTCAGTATATGTCCCTAAATACGGGCTTATGGTTCACGGGGGCATAGAAACGTAGGTTTGTTAAGTGAATGTTGGGATGATTTGCACTAAAATAATCATATTAGGGAATACAATAATAGTTATACATGGTTAGGCAAAGACATACCAAAATATATAGACGACAGACTGGAAGCACGGCTTATCGGTTATACAGATCTAGAAGTTGTAGACATTAGAAACACAAGCAATGTATGATATTTTATTGAGATGACCAGGTTTAACTATTTATCAATTAACGTACTGTTATAATAGCCTTGGCTACCTTACGAACTAGAAAGCGGCAGACCAAGCACTTTTCCTTACCGCCAAGCAGCAATTTTTGACGATAGATTTAACAATATTTATTTTTTTGGCGGCTCATACTACGATCCTGGATACAGTCGTAAAACAGCATTTACGTTTGACAGGGTTAACATGTTTAACTTTACAACAAATAATTGGGCGGAAAAACGTTTAAATGGACAGCCACCATCTCAACGATTTGGGCATACAGCTACAGTGGGTGAGAATAACTAAAATACAAAGTCACTGATAGTAATAGAATTAAAGTTTTTCGACATCTAATCCCAAATTAGTGGGACCAAATCAAAGACATGTTCTCATATATGGCGGACAAAATGACGACTCAGATAGGCGTAATGAAGATACATCCTTCACTTGTAATTATTTAACTAATGTATATAGATTAAAAATAGCTCTACTAGATTATTGCTATATTTTGGATCTTGACACTTATAAATGGACTCAGCAATCGATTCCGGTAACAAAAGGTGTAATTTTGGCCAGAAGCAGACACTCAGGTTCAACAAACAAGTGATATACATATAGAAAGTATATGACTTACGCTCTTTATATACATTTCTTGTTTAGCTGTCACCATAACCAACAGCACATTATTTATAGTATTTGGCATAGAAACCGAATTTAAATTAGCTGAAAATATACTCATACTTAATGTGACAAACCCTTTAAATATCACTTTAATCAATAAGCTAAATGATCCTTCTAATATCTTGCCAACAGATACAGCAACAGAAACTAGCACAAATACTAACACTGGTGATACAGGAAGAGGTTTGACTACTAGCGCTATTATAGGCATTGCTGTTGGAGTTTCAGTTGCGGTATATATTACATATTCCGGATTTTTATTAAATGTTTATCGTGTTAATTTTTTTTTTTTTTTTTTGCTTTCATCTTAGGGTATATCACTCATTGCCTTTATAATTCTCTACATAATCAAAAAGAAAAAAAACAAGACAACAGAAAAAGAGGAGTCTTTAATGGAGGTTGATTGGGAAAAAATCGAAAATGAATATGCAAATCCTCCTACAAAATATCCCGAAGGGCATTTTAAATACTTATCTCAAGTACCAGATGATATATCTTCAAATGAAATTACACAAGTATCTTCTTCGGGGCCAATTTTATCACAAGATAAGCCGACAATACAAAATCCTGATGCTATTGACCACGATAAAGTCAATGAAGTGGACATAGATCAATTGCAAAAGCCAAATAAATTATGAGTTTAAATTTCAAGAAAGTCACAGATCAAAAACGTTTACATTGTATAAAGCCTGTTGTTAATGGGAATTGCATGATAACATGTTCACATTAATACTTATTTGCAACCGAATAAAATGCGCTATGTTACAAACATTGGGTTAAATAGTATTAATAAAGCGCTATTAACTAAGTACATGGACGATTTCTTGTATACAATAAAGGTGGGCTGAGTTATTTAAGTCTTGTACCCTCCGAAAATGATTTTTTGTCGACTAACTATGTTTTGGCCATTCGAGTATCATCTTTTTAGCTTTTTAATAATCAGAACATTTTCTGTGTTCATGTCCCACGTGAATAATTGCTAGTTTTGTACTTAAGGAAAAATAACTTTTATATTTAACATGTTCTTTTTATCCGAATTTGGATGTACATTGTTCCCTATCCCGAATGTCGGTATCTTACTATTTCAGTTTGAATTTATCCAGGGGAAACGAAGGCATTTTTTGAAAAATGAACTCTTGTTATTCCTGATAATTCTTCGGGGCTTCTTTGTTTTGTTTTTTTACAATTTCAAAGGATTTTTTAACCTGGTTTTTGAGTAATGTTCTTAATAAAAATAATTAACTATTTAACATCAAAACTCTATCTAAGAAACTGGTTGATTAACTAAGTGATGGAAAAGAAAGGTCGATAAATCAAATCCTTTTGTACTCGCCAGCTCAAGGTCCTAGTTTAAGCCCAATTGAAAATTCTTTGTATTTTTTTTGAGAAAGTAAATAGGTAGGCAAAGACCTCTATGTTCTAACCCTAAATGACTACAGGTTTTAAATCATCAAGGATGTTTGAAAAATAGTTTTGATGTTTTTTTAAAGACAGGTCTGATCAGCGTTTGCTCGCAAAAACTGCTCGCAACGAGCCAAAGTATTAAATCACCACACCGATACAAAATTAATCATACTCTGCTCTAAGTTGTAACAACTATGTAAAATGTCTAGTGGTTAGTTTTATATTTTATTATGGAACCTTTGTGTGTAATAAAAGTGCTTTATCTACTAATATCTCGATCAGAAAACGTGAAAGAAAATTGTACAAGACTACATGCAAAACGTCTCTTTCTTTTTCCTTGATGTTGTCAAAAAAAAAAAAAAAAAAAAAAAAATGCGTCCTTCTATATCATCCTTTGGCAATATAACTGATTCTTGACAAATGAAAATTAAAACTTGCAGAAGTGGAGCAAGGAAATACGTGTCTTTCCCGGCAACGAGGAGTTACATAGTTTTTATATGGGTTATTTTTCAAGTATAAAAGGAAAATATGCTGTAGAGGAGAAACGGGTAAAAGCTGTAAGAAGAAAAGAAAGCGACAAAACGCTTATTCATCTTTACTAACATTTTCTCCAGCCTGCACATCTTGCGGGAAGCTTGGTCACTTGGAAAATGTGGAATATGTCACTAACCGTATTTTTAATTGTCTCTTTTGGTACAGAATATGCAGATTTTTATACGCCAACATTAATATCCACCAGATACAAAACTCCTATCTATCACTTCCTAACCTCGAAACAGTTTTTAACCGTTCACAAAGTTTACAAAATGCCAATACTCTTGGTAAAAACTCTATAAATCATAGATACAGGAAGTTTTTAAGTAAAGTTGAAGGTTAAATATCTTGTAAGTTATCAATAAAGATACAAAAGTTTATCATATGAGTTAAACTTTAGAGCAATTTTATTAGAATATAAAGATGACAGCTATAAAGAAGATTGTTTCGGTTACATCTTAGACGAGGTACTAAAGAAAGACACCAGGCCTACACCAGTTATTCAACAACGAGATTTAGTACATTAAGAATATAATGCCAAATTTACCATATTAAGAGAGGTGGCGAGTAGTGGTCCATTATCTGTTCTAAGTATTGTTCTAGCCAATAATATTACGTCTGATTGTTACACCTGACAGAACCATTCCCCCCTATTTTTCAATGATAAATGTTCTTTGGTTTTGTCTTCACCTAATTTTGGAATTTATCTTGTGATTGATATTAAATTGTATTCCGTCTTCTTTATATTGCTATGTTTTATAATTTGTATTTTTACGATCATAACATCTTCTTGCAGACACCCGCTGAGGAACTATTTACATTTACATCTAAGAAGTAACTATATACTATTTGCTTGTCCTTCAATGTATAGTACACAATTTGAATTTAATTGACTCATCCTGTATCGTAATACAATGCCACTCTTAAATACTAATTTAATACATAATAACCCAAGTTGACTATTTAAAGTCTGGTGCTCACTATCAGAATTAGTTAAACATAACCAATATTATCCCTTTTATTTATCTAAATCCATACTAGCGCTATATCATTACAGATACGGGAAAATCTATTTAGATTATTGAAATGAGTTCTTAAGTTTATTACATAATACACTGACAGCAGAAGCAATAGGAAAGATATAGAATAAACACTAGCGCAAATTGATACCCTCATTGACGCAATTACGAATTAACATATGCCAGTATCTGTATTCTAAAGGCTTAAAATATAGGAAAATTACAATGATAATTTGCAGACACACCCCATAATTATAAATTAGCAATGGCTGATATTTTGTTTCCGCCAATTTTTTTATTTATTTTTTGAGCCTAATTTTTTTTTTTTTTTTTTGTTCGCCAATAATTTCGGGAAATAGTATATATGTATTAAAAAAACAAAAAAGAGCATAAGGGAAAGCAAAAAAATATACATCTTATAAAGTATGTGTGTGTTTTGTATGTGAGAGGGGGAGAGAGGGAGGGGGCATATGTAAGGGTTAAAGTTTGTTGAGTTTGTGCGAGTGCGTGTATATATGTGTATGTGAGTGCGTGTTGTAATTTCCTTTTAATTAAATTCGGAGGGAAATTATAATAATAATAAAAACAAACACAAAAGGAATTTTTCGGCAGACTAGATATCGGCTCCATATGCATTCTCCGGCATAGATGAATAATTAGACACATAAGGTGCACTGTATTGTTCTTGTGTATGAGATAGCAAGTCGGTATTAGGAGATCGCATTAATGCCACTGCGGCTGCTGCTGCTGCTGCGGCAGCGGCAGAAGATGCTGTACTGGTGGCTGCACTTGTGGGTGATGTCGTATTATTTGTTTCTCCACATGGTGTGATTCCTAGTGCATTAGGGTAATATCCTGTACTGTAAAATGGATATCCAGAATAATTTTGACTATAGAATAACGGTGATTGTGGTTGTGGATGTTGCTGTTGTTGATGTTGTTGCTGTTGTTGATGTGATTGTTGTTGTTGTTGTTGTTGCTGTTGTTGTTGTGAATGATTTAATGGATGCATATTTCGTTGTTCATTGTTACTTCGGAAAGTTGAATTGATATTGAAAGAAGGTTCATAATGGCATTCCAAAAAATCATTGTCGTCTCGATCATACATGGAACTAAAATACGGCCTTCTGGGTGAAGGGCTAGAAGACATGGTCACATAGTTTGGCGTTGCTTCATAACCACTGTCAGATGAAGGAGGACCTGAGGACAGGTCAGACTCTTCTTTTAATGAGGAAGGTGTGCAGATGGTAGGTGCACCGGTAGAGTCAAATGAGCAGCCGTGTCTAGAATATCTAGAACGTGGACTAGAGTTCTTTAATAACAATGTGCTGGGGCTATGGCCGCTATTTCGACGAGTGATACAGAATGGACAATGACGTACGAATCTGGCTACCAATTCTTTAGGAATCCAAGAGAATCTTCTTCGTACCTGAAATTAATAATAATAGGAGAGATTAGTAAAAAAAAAAAAAAAAAAAAAAAAATAGTATGTATACACAAATGTATTTATATTTACCAAGGCTGAAGTCTTATCTCTGCCTCCATGATGAGCTTCTCTGTGTGCTTTTACAAGAATGTCGTAAATTTGTTCCTTCATAGCAACGGGTTTATTGTCATGACAGACCAAGTCTGTTGTTCCAGGTTGAAGTTGAAACATTTTCTTTACCCAGAAACGAAATTGAGCGGTTGATATTGCGGTATTTCTTGGATCTCGTAAGACTTGTTGGATAAGAACATAGCGAGTTTGATCTACAAGGGCTTTATCTCTCTTTTTGGGACTGAGGTTATTGAGATAATCATCAATGATGGCACGAAATTCATCGACAGAAGGAATTTGGTCCTCGTCATCAAATGTTTCATCGGGTGGACTATTTTGCTGTTGTTGTTGTTGTTGCTGTTGGTGATGATGATGAGAATAGAATCGGGTATTGTTACTTTCAAAACGATATCCTGCGTAAGGATGATGAGGGTATAATGCAACGGTAGAATTCATTTTTATTATAGTTTGGTAAAATGAAAAGAAGGTATTTATCTCTCTTTTTATCCTTTTTTTCAAGAAAAAAAAAAGGGGTCCAAGTTGAGAAATGCAGTATCAACTGTTCAAGCGGTGAATATGGAGGAATGGATTGATTGATCGGAACTCTTTTTTTTTTTTTCTTTTTTTTTTTTTTTGTTATTATTATTATAATTCATGCAGCCGCACGGGCCAAGCATAATACAAGAAAATATAAGGGGATTACCACTTTGTAAAAGAGGAGTAAGTATATGACAAGTAGTGTATAGCACAAGGTTATACTTTATATGTTTAAAAACGGGATGAGTAATTATATTTACAGCCAACTTATTTAAAAGAATACTTGATTTTTTTTTTTTTTTTTTTTTTTTTTTTTTGATATATCTGTATGGTGGGTTTTTTTTTCTTCTAAAAAAGAGAGAGAAAGAAAAAGATGTTCTCCTTCAAATGTTCTTTTTCCTACTACACTATATCCGGGTATCTGGGTGATTAACAAGCACAAGATAATAATAAAAAAGTGTTATAAAAAGAATGGGGTTTTTTTAATTAAACCTATTAAGGGATTTCGATGCATGGTAGATGTTAAGTGTTTTTTTTTACGACTTGTACATAATTATTATTTTATTTATACAAAAAGATATAGTTGGACTTTTTCATGATTACAAAATAATAATAGGATGCAGTGCACGGAAGTGAGTTGCAATAATATTTACCATTCCCTAAATTGTAAGAATGCCCTTCTTTAAATAAACAAACAAGAGTGGCGTTCCCTTAATTTTCGAATCGAGCACAATAAGTTTTTAGACAACAAAACCGAAAAAAACGTGTTTTTATGCCCTTTTGTTATCGGCTTTTTTTGGAATTGCATGACAGATCTACCCAAATAATGCTGTCATTTTAATCAAAGCGAAATACATGTATGTATATATACTTTATTTTAATCAAGTTGCATCTTTAAATGAATGTGCCTCTAATTCTACGCCAAACGTTGCTCCATCTTTCTCTTCCGTGCTAGGGAAATCCTGCCAATACGACGTCACAGAAAGTACCTTGTCCACTGCACGTAAATACTTGATGTACATTTTATAGTATTTCTTGGGCTGGATGATTAGTTCACATAGACGTTGGATCGTGAAAGGGCAACTTTTCTAATCTTTTAGTCGTGCTTTTTTTTTTTTTTTTTTTGTCTTCTAATCATTCCCAACTCACTTTGCATGTTCATGAACATGATGTGTAATCTTGCTGCATAAGCCCTCAATCACCTTTTGCGTCTCTTCGTCTTGCACTTTATCCTTCATGGCTGTAAATTGCTGTACGATAATTAACTCATCTCCTTTTCTCCTCCTTATTCTCTTTCTCTATTACCTCATCCAGTAAACTCTCCAACAATCTAGCTAACTCTTCCCAAGGCTGACTTATTTGGTTGGTTTCCGCAATATGGGTTAACGAATCAGGAATCGCTATCGAATCAAAGAAAGTCCCAATCTCTACTAAATCTGGTCTATCGGGTTGTTGCTGTTCTTCGCTCACAGCTATTTCCGTTTCTTCAAACGCATCCTTTTCCAATACAATGTCCTTTAATTCGCTTGACATTGTGCTTTACAAAAAAAAAGAGTCGAAAAAATATATAGTTCGATTTTATAAGCTCAAACACACGCGTGCCGCACGCGCTCGATAGATTTTCAGTGCGATTTTAAAATCATTTAATCTCAGACATTAACCAGTCCAATGCAGTTTCCGACCTTTTTTGAGCTTAAAATTTGGATAGACATTTACTCTAGCTACCTGGAGTCTCTAATATTAGCTTATCAAGGAAACTGAATTCCAATTACAAAGCATAAAAGTGTCTGTAGACACAAATTCTTTGCAAATGAGAACAATCTGGCCATAGAATTAACGTGTACGGATATAGAGCATTGAATTAGCCAAACAAATGATGAAGACTAGATTGTTTTAACAACGCTAGTAATCTCCTAAGAATCTGGGTAGCATCAGAGATAAAAAAATCGTGTAATATATATATCACATCGAGAATTAAATTAATCAGCAAATACTGAAGAAATCTACTGATTGAATAGTCTGTCAATAAGAATTACAATACTTGAACTAGGGATCTCCGGTATCCATGTTTATTAACCTGTGTATATCATCAAGAATTATCTGTGCGACTAATTGCTATGCATACTTTTATAATGGATATGCAGACCCTTCATTCCGGTAGTAAGTTCGCTTAAATAAAAGCAACTTACAACGATGATTTATAGAACTTCTGGGATTATTATATATGCTTTACAAACATACGAACAAGACATCCGCATCCCGAATATTGCGCTAAGATTCTTTTACCCCGAGAAAAACTTGACCGATGTAATACTACTCGTCAGAGTAGTATGTTCTTTGTGGTTATTGGAGTTATCAATCATGCGAAAGCTCTTTACTTAGTGTGACCGTTCCTGGCCTCACCATTATTTTTTGGATTTGTGTCGCAGTTTTTTTTTTCTCTTCTTTTTCTTCATACAAAGAAAAATGGAAACAACAAGTCGTGTTGTAGAAGCACTTGATACTTTATATGCATCTACCGACAATAAATTAAAGCGGGATGCTGACCGTTGGTTAGGCAGTTTTCAAAAAACCGTAAGAAAACCCGACTTCATTGTAATTACCTCTCTAACTAACATGAACCTACTAGCCTGAAGCTTGGACCGTCGCCGACTATCTTTTAAAGCAAAAAGACGCACTTGTTCCAACTCGACTTTTTGCAGCCCAAACTTTCAAACAAAAGGTATACATGACACCATCTTTATTGTCCAACCTCCCCCTTTTTTTCACTTTGCTAAAAGACACACACACTAGATTACTTACGACTTGGGTGATTTAGACGCTCAAGCTCGTGCTCAATTGCGTGACTCATTGGTCGAATTATTATGGCAATCCGTTACAGGCCCCAAAGCCATCATGGTTCAGTTATGTTTGGCCTTGGCTGATCTAGCCATTCAAATGCTCGAGTGGAAAACTGTGATTCCTGACCTTGTTGAAAAGTTCAAGGAGACACCCGTGTGTTTACTTCAATTACTCAGTGTGCTTCCCGAGGAAATGAACAACAATACGAAATTACCTTTAACCGTAAGTTGACATGAGCCGGCAGGAAAAAAGGGAACAAGTGTTAACATTATAAAAAAAAAACAAAGGATGCCGAGTATAAACAAAGAGGTGCTGAACTTATTGACAGCAACGCCGAACGAGTATTACAATTATTGACCATGTATATGCAATCCAGTGGAACAGATCTCGCGTTACAAGAGCTCATTTTTACGTGTTTCTCCAGTTGGATTCGATCGGGAGAATTGGATATTCAGACACTAAGCCAAAGCCCACTTTTAGAATTCGCCTTCAAAAGTTTAGCTTCGGAAGCCTTGTTTGACGTGGCTGTGGATGTAGTTTGTGAAATCATTTACGAGACACGCGATGTGAATGAATGTCAAGCCATCATTCAGCAGATTTATCCACTTTTTACACCCATGGTAGAGAAATTAGCCGTAGCTATTGAAGAAGAGGACGATGATACCGTCCGAGGTTATTGTCGTGTCTTTGTGTCGGCTGGTGAAGCCTATATCAATTTGATTGGATCTCACCCAGAAGCTTTTTCGACATTGATGGACGGTATTTTGAAATGTACAGCTTACAAGGAATTGGATATTGTGCCTTTGACCTTTAAATTCTGGTATGAATTATCCAACTTGTTACAGACAAGTACCTATGCTGGTGCCATTCCTCAATTTTTGGGTTATTACGATGCCTTGGTGGATATTATGATTGTTCACTTGCACTATCCCGACGATTTGGAATCGATGACAGCGGCAGACCGTGATGATTTTAGAGATTTCCGACATCAGATGGGAGACACCTTAAAGGACTGTTGTCGTATCTTGACCCCTCAACGTTGTTTAGTGAAGCCAATGAATTTATTAACTGCTTTGCTGAATACCCCAGATGCGACATGGCAGCAGATTGAAGCACCTATTTTTTCACTCCGAGTCATGGGTTCTGAGGTCCCAGCCGAAGAAGATCAGGTCATGCCTCATATCATGGAATTTTTGTCAAAGTTACCAGATCACCCTAAAATTCGATACGCCGCTACCTTGGTGATCTCACGTTATTCTTTCTGGACAAAGTGTCATCCTCAATTTATCACCTATCAATTGAATTTTATCTCTTCCGGGTTCCAGAATAGTGAAGTGGCAGCTGCTAGTGCGCTTGCCCTCAAGAATCTTTGTAAAGATTGCAGCGAGGTACATTGTTTGTATGGTTATAAAAGGTAGAAAGAAACTGACAACATTTTTTTTGATCTATTTATAGCTCTTGGTGGATTATATCTCACAACTTCACTTGTTTTATTTAAATGTGGTTAAGACACTTCCGTTCCGAGATGTGTTGGAGGTGACACAAGCTGTTTCGTATGTCATGACAGTCATCCCGGTCAGTGAAATTGAAAAGGCTTTGCAGTTATTTTGTTTACCCATCGCACAAGATTTGCACGCCATTGTATCTAAAGGAAAAGACGCCCTTTCACAGGATGACTGTGTCAAGATTGGAGGTAAATTTATTTATATGTGCATGTGTGTCAGGAAACTCATCAATATGTGTGTGTGGTTTATAGATATTTTGGAGCAGATTAGTGTGTTTTTCGATGTGATTCAACCCAAGGTAGAATTAGGACAAGCACATCCCTGCGTGACATTTATCAGCGAATTATGGCCTGTGTTAGATATTACATTAAGCCAATTTGGTGATGTGAACACTGTGACCGAACCACTGTGTAAATGTTTCAATAGTTTTATGCGTAGTTATGGACCTCACTTCATTCCATTATTACCTCAATTAATGGACCGACTTGTCAATGCATTTGAAGCGACAGGACAAAGCTGTTATTTATGGGTGTCGTTTAAATTAGTGCGAGAATATGCAGTGGATGCGGGAGATGCTGCTTTACCTTGTTTCCAATTAGTACAACGACTTTCGGTGAGCATGTTTAGTAAATTGCAGCAAGTGGATGAGATGCCAGATGTGATTGAAGAATATTTTCGAATGATGGCGGCGTACTTGGATAAAGCCGCTGTATTGTTGGTCAATGATGAGTTGGTCAAGACGGTGTTTCAAGCGGGACTAGTGAGTTTGACGATCCATGAGGCGCATGCGTTGGGAGCTGTTTTGGTATTCTTCACAAGACTGTTGGAACAAGGGCAGGTGCTGGGATTGTATAGAGAGTACGGAAATCAGCTGGTGGCTGTGCTTTTCAATGGCTTAATGAATAACTATCATCATGATTCGATTCCGGATGTTGCGGCATTATTGAAATCTTTGGCCGAACGTTTACCTCAAGAATCTAGTCAGTGGATGATTCAGGTGGTCAATAATGTGCCTCAGGACTACATGTCGAATCAACATAAGAATGACTTTATTGCAAACTGGACAGGGTAAAAGTTGTTGAAGGAGGGTTGAAGGTTAGGGTTATACTCATATTTTTTTTTTTTATTTCTAGGGCTATTCAAGATGGTCAATGGGCCAAGGTGAGAAGAGTTTTATCGGACTTTGTTACTGCTTATCGCCGAAGAAACACTAATAAGGATCGACGTTGATAAAAAAAAAAAGTTGTAAAAATAGCAATTTAAACTCACCTTCCCCTTTTTAAAAAAATAAATAAATAAACCCTAAAGTGGTTTTCTTTTTTTTTTCTTCTTTTTTTTTTATATTTCTCTTTCATATATTCATTAACAACTTTATAATGTCATCATCCATAGCGATGTTTGTGATTGTAATGGTGTTACTATGTACAGGTACATATGTGCAATACACTACGACTGTTACATCAACGACATATGTGGTACCCAAGATGGTTCATTTACCACCTGTACTTCCTACCGTGATACCCGCTGCTTGTAAAAACGTTGATTTTCGATGGCTGTAAGAAATAGAATATATTGATGAAGATATAGCAGTAAAATAACTTTTATATATATATATATATATATATATTATGTAGTGGATCGGATCGTCGTTTCTGGGATGGATGGGTATCTAAAGCCATGTTTATGAAACGTAACGGACAGTTCACACGAAAGAATGTTCGTATTCAAGCGGGAGAAACCATTTGTATAGCTGTCTTGGTAAGAGAAGAAGCAAGGAAAAAAAAAAGTTTGTTGTATTAATATACACACTTTATTTTTAGCTTGGACCTATCCCAGCAGTTGCATCTAATGGGTTACACTATGCATCTTCTGACTCAATTGTAATGACAGCAAGAGGAGAGAAAACACAGATTCCGATCACACTCGATCAACATCCTACACAGACAAACGCTTATTTCGCTGCAGTCACATTTCATCTGCAAGATATTTATACGCTCCAAACAAGTGTGGAATATCGATCCTATTTTTGGGAACAGCCACATTTTCATCAATATTTACCAAACAGATTTTCCTCGCGTAACAGTTTGACCGTCACACAAGCCGCGGCGGAAGAGGAGCAGGCGGAGGCGAATGCGAGTGCGAGTGCGAATGGGCAAAAATGTGATTTACTCCATCATCCTTTTCAATGGAAACATGTCGCTGCTTGGGTTGGTGATGAGCAGTTTGTTCCTCCTTGCTATTTGGATGATACGACTGATGTATTAAGACAAAAAGTGATTCATGTATGGGGTCACGAACACATTAGAAGGTAGATATATATATACATATAAAAGTAAAACGATGTAACATATCATTAAAATATATCTCATTAGAAATCTACAGTTCTTGGATGGCGACAGTACGTGTAACGATGAAGATCTTGGCTTACCAACCACTTTACTCGGCGGTGACACGGCTATTTATTTTGGAGAAGAGAATAGTGGCCAAGGAGTCGCAGACATTGTGTTACTAGGCACAGGGAATGAGGGTTGGAGACAGACACCTAATGAATTTGCAGCCGCTTTTACAGCCAGCTTGAACAAGTTATTGAATGTTTACACGGGACAAGAATTAATTGTGGTCAAGACAAACCGTTACGTGGACTCCTTTCATGCTGGTGTGACGGCAGGAAAAAGTCTGGCATTTGCAAATATCATTCGATCAACACTATTAGAGTTCAATCAAACTCGTGTCGTCTTATGGGACACACATCAAATTGGAGTCGATCAACCTTGTTTAGTCACGCCAGTAGAAAATGCCATGCTTCTAAATATCATTCAACATTACTATCGTGATAATATGCACAAGGAAATTAAGTCACGTGGCTTCATGTAATTTCTCTTACCACTCTGTGGGCGGTGCGTGTGTTTTAAACCTCTTTGTACATTACTCTTTTTTTTTCGTTTATAAAAAATAAAAATGATTCAGTTTTTTCTCATTGTAAATAGAACAGGGCAAACAAGGTTTGCTAGGTATTATCAAAACGACCCTGAGAACCCTACTTTTGAATTGCAAGTTGCAAGGGGTTGCATTACGCGAAAACCAAGTCAGGTAAAGAAAATAAATATTATTTGTCAGTGCGCGTGCGTATGAGTAACAAACTAGAAAGACCTTGTTTTTTTCTTTAAAAGAACACAAGATAGGTAAAAAAAAAAAAAAAAAATTGAAAATACATTTAGACTCAGCCAGACATACTTAGTATATCGTGTCTATGCATCCTTATACTTTATTATTGGTTGCGAACCTCAAGACGTAAAGCCCAAAAAGAACAGGTTTCCGATTCTGGTCATTCCGTTTTAATCTTTTTTCTTTTCTTTTTTTAGAATGAGTTTTCTCTGTTGGAATTGATTCAATTCAGCGTTGGTAAGGGATTGAATGATGAATAAGTGTTTATTCATAATACTAATGAGATTGAAAAGAGTGTATGGACAGTTACTTTGAAAAAGTGGTAAGATAAATTGAACTCACAAGTGGAATTTCAAATAAACAATAATGGAATAGACGGAACTTGATCTTGTGTACAATCTCGAAAAAGTTCACATGATCATGGATGAAATTATCGTTAAAGGTTTAATTTTGGAGACCAATCACGATCGTGTCTTGGCTTTGATAAATGGTCTTGCTCAAAAGAAGAAAACAGTGGTGTAACATTCTTTTTGTCTTACCCCGTTTTTATTTTATTTAATTTTTTTTTTTATATAAAAGCACAGAAGGAAAGGATCAGAACTCTTATTTCCAAACTTTTTCTTTCCTTTTTCCACACTAAAAAAATAAATAAAAAAATATAATTTTCTAGTTACATGTCTGAAAAACATCAACTGGAAATGGAAGGTGCATCCGCCGTGGATCACCGTTACGAATCCCAAAAATTAGAAGAGTATGAAAAGAGCGCCGACGCTCCTTCTTACATCTCAAACGCCAATCAAAACACAGACGATGTCGAGGCTTTACAACATGGAACAAAGCGTGGTTTGGACGCTAGACACATTCAAATGATTTCTTTAGGTGGTGCCATTGGGTAATAATCTCTCTATCTCTTTTTTTTTCCTCTTTATCTTTCTTATTCACATCATCTATCTATTTCTACCAGTACCGGTCTTTTCTTGAATTCAGGCAGTAATATTGCAGAGGTAGGCCACATACAATGCTAGTTTTATTCAAATATCTGATTTTCTAACACAAAATACATAGGCTGGCCCTGCTGGTGCACTAATTGCTTACTGTGTTGGTAAGACAACCATAATAAACCTGACATTGAAAATTTCAGAACCTAATCTAATATTCTCTTGTTATCTACAGTCGGTTTCATGGTAGGGTTACACCACAAACCAAATCAAGAAGCAAAAATATATGTATTTATTTTTTTTAAAATAGGTTTACTGTATCATGACATGTCTTGGTGAAATGGCTACCTTTATGCCTGGTAATAAGAAATGTCATGCTTTCTATCAAAAAGTAAATATACTAATTTTTTTTTTATTTGAAATTCAGTCTCTGGTTCTTTTAACCATTATGCTACTCGGTTTGTCGAACCTTCTCTCGGTTTTGCCCTGGGTTGGAATTATTGGTAAAAAAAAAAAAAAGATCTTAACCATCTATCATTATTACTAAATATATCTTTTAGGTTTTCTGTAAGTTTTTTTTTTTTTTTTGTAGCATGACATTGTTGACTAATTATCAAATTTAAACTTTTTAATTTTTTGTGTGTATAGTGGGTAAGTCTATTTTAAAAGAGAAAAAAAAAAAACGTCAGATTTGGTCACTAATCATTTATATTTTATATAGGCTGTTACAATTGCAACTGGTAACAAAATAGATAAATGAACCTTGTCAAACCTCAGAGATTAACAATTGTTTATAAATTCGATAGAACTTGCTGCTGCTGCCACAATCATTAAATACTGGAAAGAGGTATTACCTGATGCCGCTTGGTCCACCATTTTCTTGGTCATCATTGTCGGTGTCAATTTCTTGGGTGTCCGTATCTATGGTGAACTTGAATATTGGTTTGCTTTAATCAAGATCGTTATCGTTATTGTATTCATCATTATTGGTACAGATCATATTCATATTATTATTTTTCATCCCGTGTGATTGGTACTAAACTCCCTTTTACATATAGCTATTCTCACTACTGCTGGTGCTGTTGGTGGAAAGACCATTGGCTTTGAGTAAGAGACACAATTTTAATTTAAAAAAAGAGAGAAACTGACTTTGTTTTCGAATAAATTAGATACTGGAACACTCCTGGTGCTTTCAACAATGGTGCTGTTGGCACAGTTAGTGTGCTTTTGTCAGCTGGTTTCTCTTTCCAGGGTACCGAAGTTGGTAAGTTAAAGTAGTAGTGTGACATTTCATCCCCTTATAGACTTACACACAAACTCCTTCTTTTAAATAGTTGGTATCACCGCTGGTGAAGCAAAGAATCCCACAAAGACTGTTCCTCGCGCTATTCGTAACACCTTTTGGCGTATCATTATTTTCTATATTTGCACCATCTTGTTATTAAGAATGTGTATTCCTTTCGATGACAATGATTTACAAACCGCCGATGGTGGACCTGGTACTGCTTCATTCACTTTGGTTTTCAAGTTGGCTGGTATTGCTGCTGGTGCCGATGTGATTAATGCCATTGTCCTTACCAGTGTCTTATCTGCTGCTAATTCATCTTTGTACACTACCTCTCGTACCCTTTTGGGTCTTGCTCGTGATGGTAACGCACCTGCTTTTCTTGGCCGTGTTAATCGACATGGTGCACCCTACATGTAAGTGTACACCTCTAAACCTTTCCCACGCAATTATTCACACGAAAATTTAAACTTTTATTATTATTATAATTACGATTTTAGGGCTGTCCTCTTTTCTTCAGTCGTTGGTTTTGCTTGTGTCTTTGTCTCGATTTATAGTGCCGAGGTTGCTTTTGTTTGGTTCTTGAGTATTACAGCCGTCAGTGGATTTATCAGTTGGGCTGGTATCTCTGGTGTTCATATTCGATTCCGTCGTGCTTATGTCCGACAAGGTAGAAGTGTAGCTGAACTCCCATATAAAGCCTTTGGATACCCCTTCAGTGGTATCTTTGCTACTGTGCTCTGTATCTTGATTATTCTTGGTCAAGGTTATACTGCTTTTACGCCTCAATTTGATGGTCTGACTTTTGTTATGAACTATATTGGTATTCTTCCTTTCTTGGTTTGTTATATTGGTCACAAGTTGGTTACCCGAAAGAAGGTGATTCCTTTGGAAGAAGTTGGTAATGTGTTTAAAAATCTAATGCCTATGAGAGTGTTTTTATGCATTTATTAACCATTGTATCCATGTAGATTTCGAAAGTGGTCGTGTCACTCGATTTGATATCGAAAAAGATAACGAAGAAGTTGATGAAGCAATTGCCAAATTACCTAAATGGCAACGTTACATGAAGAAGACCCTCAATGTCATTTCTTAAATTTTTTTTTATTATTCTAAACTCCACACTATATGTAATTCTATAAACCCCTAATAATAATCTTTTTTTTTTTCTTATCTATTTTTTTATTATCTTTTTAATGTACCGCCAAAAATAAAAAGTAGCACATGACTCATGTATCCTATTTGCCTTTTACAGAAACATCGTGTCTTTTTTGGCCTGACACCCGATTACTTACGAAAAAAAAAGTGCTGTGAAACCATCAAGTGCCCCTCTATATTACTTTCTTTTGACAGTGCTTACATTGTTGTACTCTCTTATTATGCATTCGGATCTGTTACAAAATAAATTAAAAAAATCTTTTGTGTCCTTAGAATGCATACGTAAGCACGGTAAACCCATTTAGTAAAGACATCATGTTCATTACCAGTGCATAACTGCGCTATTTTTCTTTCGTACAACATACTCCGCTCTTACTTCTTCTCTTTGTATGTGTCCCATGCTGACTTAGGTCCAGATTTTCGGGCTCATTTGTTTATGAAGGTAAGCGACAATAAATGATTATGCATGAACTTATTAACCATTCGCTTTAGATTATCTCCCATATTGATATCTTGGCATTTCTAAATTTTGTTAAAGATACTCTTTCAAAAAAAGAGCAGGGGATGTCATCCACCACATAAAAAAAAATAAACCAAGGAGTTTTTATAAAATTAACGCTTTTCTTAGGGACAGCCAGAGTGCACGTAGTCGCAACGAAAGATCTGTGATTTGGATGTTCTTTAGACCTGGGAACAAGGATATACAATAAAACAATGTAACATTTATGAATAAATGTATATTAAACGATTTATACTTATTTTAAAAATTCTATCATCATTCTTTCGCCTTTGAGCTCGTTTGATCTCAATCTTACGCAAAAATATTAAGGTAAAGTCCAAACGAGAAGCTGAAAGTAAGCTGTAAAACTCATCTACTGGTTTGAACTGTGTTGGTTGTGATAAATGTGTAATATTTCAAGTTGTTAAGTTACATTGACCTCCTGATGTCTATTAAAGTATCACAATCCTAACATTACGACTACGCGCACCCTGGCTGTCCCTAAGAGACCCGTAAAATTAATAAAGATCCTTTATTCGTTTCTCATCGACTTTATACGACTTTATTTGAAATAAATAAATAAATACCGCATTTTACCACATGATGGCCCACACATAAGTCTAGGAGAAAATTTTAAGTCGATTGCCATACCATATCATTTTATCTTCATAGGATGATCGATTTTTAGTTTTTTTAAAATATGCTTCACTAAATCAGTCCATGCTACTACTGATACGCTATTACACAACTACCAAGTTTTGACTTGCTTGGGGTTATTTTGCAGACGTTCTTATTTTCAATCAAGGTCCAAACACTATCTGGCTGGGCAAATAAGCAATTAAATTATCCTGACATAAAGTAATTATCTATTAAACAGAATGAGACCGATTCCCTGATTACCACAATTTTGATTTAACAAGTAGAAACAGTGTGTTAGTTGACAAGAGAAAGTACACAATGTATCTAATACTTGCCATCTACCAGCTACATAATCTTGACTTTGATTGACTCCGTATCAATATGAATGTTGAATACCAGTAAATGTGTGCTCTCTATACATCATTTCATCCTTTTCTGTGGGTTAATGTAATGGTGATAAGGAATTAAGGAAAATTCGGCCATAAAGAAAATTACGGCTGCCTTCTTGACGTGATAGTCTTCTTTGGATAAGAAGGTGGATCCATGACCGCTGACGGTAGTAGATGAAGAAGGATGAAAGACGTCCTCGGTGTCTACAACGCGACCATGCAATAAAGCATAATGTAAGGCATAACAAACGATATAATTCTTTTCCTCTGACACTTATAATTTTTCCCGATGATTTTTATGATCATTGAAATCCACGAGAAATGGCATAAATATCTGAATCGGGTCAGACTCCTGATGTGACATTAAGAGGGAAATACGCGATGAGGTGTTAAAATCTGGCCTGGAAAAATGTACATTGGCTCCTGAGGCAAGAACATACAGGGCCTTATGTATATCGTCTAAATCAATGGACTCTAATAAATTTCGGCTCATGTCTGCTGTCTTTTCACAAAGGCTCGACTGACATATTTGGCTTGAATATAGACTAATTTGGTCACGCGGGGATCTGTAGGGTTGGGTCGGCCAATGCTAGGGAAATCCATCATGTTGGCTCCAGGTTCAAAACAACAATCCCAATCTTTTTCTAGCCGCCGGTATAATAGAGATAATCATGGCACTTCAAGGTGGCTGATGTAACCTTTGCATGTTATCATATTAATGTTATTATTTAAATGTATGTCTTAAACTTGTATGGAGGATGATATGAGATCAAACCTGTCCATAAAATAAATGATATTAAGTAATTATACGAATTATATTTAGGATTATCAAATGGAATATTTAAGAAATGTAGATAGAATAAGATACGTATATATAGCCTCGATCACAACAAAAACTATTATGTGTTATAAACTTAAAGGAAGAATTAACATTTAATATCGTGTGACATTTAGCCTTTTTCTGCTTTCGATGCCCAGCTTCTATATCGCATTCTTATATAAAGTTTTTGAATAAATTTGAACTTATACCTACACTTCAAGAATCAATTTGCACTATCTAAGTCCTCAATATTTTGGAAGGGCTTTACCCTGTAGTACAGGCCATCCCAAGACGTCAAATTTTATATATTCAATGATCACGTAATGCGGTGACGGCCATCAACCATAGAATTTACCAAAAGACCAACGTGATTTAATCAAAACAAAAGACGCTTGTTATTTTATTATTAAAAACATGATTACTTTGATCAACATTTCAAACTATTTTTGTATAAAAAATGGGCTATTTATTTTCGGTTTCCGATCTTGAGAGCACCTACTTTCTTTTTCCTTTTTGTTGTTCAGAGACAAGCTATGACCACAATAACGATCCACGAATTACTACAGTCTACAAAAAGTTGTAGCTCTATCACCACAGAAGCAACTCTGACGGGAGAATTGTCTCTTACAACAGAATTCGGGGAAGATACCAAGCAAGGCACCATTCGTCTCATTGACAGAAATACCAGAGAATCAATTGCATGTCTCATGGATCGCTTCTCTCCTGACTTCCATGCAAGTTTAGTATCGATCGAGCAATGGAATTTCATTCAAGACGGCTGCTTATTTCTCGAGTTTAGAGCCGACGACACTTACCGAGACGGATCCGATCTTTCCATTATTCGCGAACACATTGTTAGAGAGAGTGAACTGTTCCGTACGACTTTCAAGGCAAAAGTGTACCACACGCCTCATGAACAGCTTCCTCCCAATGCCACTAATCTTGTTGGGAAAGTAAAGGCCATTACAGGTCTTCGTATTCGTCGATATACACCTGCCACTTTCCTTGTGGAGCTGATTGACAAAGAAGATAATGAATCCATTTTTATCAGTTTTTCTGGGGAGGAATTCATTGCTTACCGCTCCCACTTTCAGATTAACAGCACTTACGCGTTTCAAGGACTAGAGAGGGCAAACAATCAACAGTATCAGTATTCATTTACCTCTGCGACAAAATGCTGTGTAATTACATCTTCACAGTACCTGAATGAAATCACAAAAGTGCCACATGTATATCAGCCCAATGTGAATGTATCGCAATCAGTAACATATGGAGGCCAGGTCACTCGAGTGATCGACTCTTTATTCGGAATATATGAAATAGATAACCTATTTATCCTCAGTCTTTTTAATTGTCCAAGCTATGAGCTAAATATGCCTTACCGAGTAAACACCAGAATAGTTGTCCACAATATTCACGGAGCATGGATTCATTCCGGTAAAGAGAATAGCAATTTGTTGAAAGCCTGGAACAAGGCCAGTCCTTGCGCTGTAATGGGATCGTGCAGCAAAACACATGTTGATATCATTGAATTCTCCAATGATTTAAATGTGACATGTGAAAACATGGAAGTTATGACAAACCATGTTGAATTATACATTGAATGCGTTATGAATTTCGCATCATTCGCGGAACATATTCGACAATTGGAACTATACGAAAGTTTGAACAATCGATTTAATGTAGACTGGACCCCAAAGGATTTTATGGCAATGTTTAAAGCCATCATGAAATATGTTCTTGATGATACAAAACGTGAATCTGAACGTTGTGTTGATGACTTTACTGATTTTACCACTCATCAAGTCGATTGTTCTAAGACGAAATCGGATCAGTCAGAAAATATTTACTTAGATAGCTACTTGACGCTTGCAAGTTTAAAGGCGAATTTGATTGCACAGCTTCAACCTTATGAATCCAATATTTATGGTGGCAGCAATATCCGTGTACCTGATGACGTTTCTATTCAGTCGTCACTTTACAAACAAGACAAGTCATATGTCGTGGGTCTTGTAGCGATGAAAAACGATGGTAGGGTGATGCTAAGCGAGCAAGACACAGAGATCGAACTGATGACCTCAGCACAGCTCGTATTTGGTGGTGTTTATATTATAAAAGAAGCAAGGATGTTTGAAGAAGATCTTTCTTACAATCATGCCTATGAAAGCGAAAGAGAAGTTATCAAGCACACGTATATCACATGCGATGCGCGAAACATGTACCTGGTACGACGACCGTTGACACCCAAGTTTCATATGGAAGGACAATTTGACCCATATAAAACTGCCGGATTTACCTGCACGAATCAAGACGTTCAAAATTATTCTGTGATACGTATTTTGGAAAAGTATCCGATTCAAACCACTTTTTATAGCACTCTGGACAATCCAACCCCAATTGTATGCATGGAATCGCGTATATTTGTAGAGATTTATCCGATTGGTGCACAATCCGATTTGAGAAAAGCAATTCTGGTAACCAGCAGCCGTACCAACACTTTAGACTATAACAAAATCTGCCAACCGGACGATTGGTGTATTATTTCAGGCATGTACGAAGGACAAAGCCATACCATATATTTGAACAAGGAAACGAATCATATGTTTCAAATTAACTTGCAGCCTACTACAACACAATCCTCAACACCTATTACACCTGTCATAGTCTCGAATAGCAGACCCAATGATACGACACGACAAATTCTCAGTGTCTCCCAATTGACCAGAGAAGCTTTAGCACTAGACGAAACCTACTTGAATCGATCATACCTTTTTTACGATCGGCCTGTTCATGTACGTGGTGTGGTGATTAGTAAAAAAATCATGAGTGGATGGGGAAAAACAGGTCCTTTAGAAGAACAAGCAAGAGATCTGTATGACCAGCTCGGTGTTGGTACTGGTACATTTGATCGAATAATACAAGTACAGTTAAGACAAGAGGATACACCAGAATTTATTACGATTTATATACCTTCTACGAAAATCCACTATCCCGTTGGTCTTGTACCTGGAGCCGTAGTCACCTTTAGAAATTTGTTAAGAAGATCCAATAAGAATGATAGCGGTGTTATCTGTACCACGTCGGAAACCTCATTGATCCAAGTCAACGCTACATTACATGAAGAACCTGAAATGGCTAAGGATGGAATCATCGATGGCATTGCCCAGAAATATGTCCGCAATTTGATAGCGATTGATGAGGCTAATGACAACGGCGAAGTATTCAGGATTTACTGTAGTGTCCACTCAATTTTAAACGTGGAATTGAAGTGGACATGTAAGCAGTGTGCCACTGACTTATTAAATGGACTTTGTTATCGTATGTGCACCGGTGCGTCCCGTTGCTTTGTTGTGTCAGCATTTGTGGAAGTCAGTGACGGATATGATGTTATTCTGGCAACGGCGGATGGTAAACATCTTATGTCGAATTTAATGCAGTTAAACGAGAAACAACAGAGTGGACTCGAACAACTTGCTTTGGAATATGGTGCCATTAAATACAATCAGTTCAAGGGATGTCGTGTTCATTCTAAAGAGGCTTCAGGACCAGCAGGGGCAGCTGCATTTCAAGAAAAGCAAAGGACCTTATTAAACTGTACCTTAGATACAATGTTTGAAAAGGCTAAAACCATAGGGAATAAATGGATATATGGCACGCTGATGAAGAGTAAGCGGGATAGGCCATCCGACCCAATGCTGGAAAATCTCCAAGTTGCTGAGGTTCAAGAACATAAATTCTATGAACATAACAAGAAAAAAATCAAGGTTCTCGATATTAGAAACGCAGATAGTGTGGCCAATGCTTACAATGAATTGCTAAAAGCTTAAAAATAAAAAATAAAAAAGTCCTTTTTTTTTCAAATAAAACAAAAATGAATCCTCCTGAACATCCGGGCAATCCTAAATGGCAAGTTTTTAACGATTGGGTAAAAATAAAGCCATCTCAGTCGATCGATTACAAGAAGAATCAGGAAGAGACGATTGAGGAAAGTTTCGAACGTTTTGGTTTAGAACAAGAAGATGGCGATTGGGGTGATGCATCTGAAGCCCAAGATGCCGGTTGGGGCACCTCCACTGGTAGTGGCTGGTAGACAAGAGCTAAAAAGAGGCCAGACATATATCCCGAAATGCTAATAAAATTCGCTCACTAATATCTATTGGATCATGGAATACTGACTTGATCATTAAGTATTGAAACGATCGTGGACAAACTACTTTTATCTAAAATATCGGCCATTTCTTGCTTAAACAATTACCAATAATGAAAATCGTTGTATTGTAATAATATAAGACAAAAAAAAAGAAGAGGGATTGGGAAATTAAGCGTTGATTTTATTATAAATTACTATTATTTTACATGCGTTGTTATTATTTTTCTGGCGGTGTTGTTGTTGATCTGCCTTGTTCCGAATTCCAAGAGTTGGCCTCGAGCTCATTGAGTTGGTAATGGACGGCAGAGTCACGAAGATTACTTGGGAACATGGGACTTCTTGGTGTAGACTGAGTACTATCACTATAATACGAGCTTGCGCGTTGAGCATTTGTTACAGCCAGATGCATGGACGAGGTAGAGCTGTCACGCCAATTGTTTCCTTTATAGTCCATGTTATCATTGAACCCAACCCACTGAACAGAAGACACCGATTTTGCCCCCAGTGAAACTCGTGATTGCAACGCACTTGTTTTAGGTGAGTGAGGGTATTTGCCATCTGGGGTGGATGGTGTTGTTGGTTGCAATAATTTGGATGCACGAAGCTGAAATAAACTTGAGCTTCTGTCCTTTTTTCTGATGATTTCATCCTGTTGTGACCCTGAGAATAGGTTTAGGGTGAGTCTTTTGAAACCTATGCTTTCTCGTTTTTTAAAGTCGTTGCTTTCTTCAGAAAGAATGCTCAATGGTTGATTTCTTGTTTCCTTGTTAGATGCAAGCTCTATTTTGGGTATAGTTCCGCCTAGATTAGTTGACCCCGCTGATTGGTGAGAATGATGGTATTCGTCTGCAGAGAAACGAAATTCTGCGCCCAACGAAATTGCGCTTATACGGCTATTACTGCTTTCACGAGAAAGGGCCAATTCAGGGAGACTCAAGAAATTTCTGTCGGCTAGTAAGCCTGTTCCAGCGATTCTGTTTTCTCCTTGAAATAAAACACTAGCCTTCTGTTTTTCCTCTTGCTGCTGCATGCTGTACATAGGTGTTGGTGACTGACTGAATCTGGCGGCTCTTGACTTTTGATGGATGCTTTGTTGTCTATGGTGTCGTTTTCTCCAGATGAACAGACCGATACATATTGCTACGATACCAACAACACTAATGATAATCCCCACAATAGCACCACCGCCCAATTTGTGCTTTTCCTGTGCTGTGTCTTGCTCGACACTGTTTTTGTGGATGATGATTCTATCGCCGTTCGTATTACTAGTGCGAATCCACTCCATTTTGGAGACATCAAGGAAGATTGGATCGGTTGCTAAAGAAAGAGGGCCATTTTGTCCTCCGTAATACAATATCACATTTTCGTCGCCCAACAATGTGCTTGCATGACCTGATCTCTTATAATAATCAGTGTCTGGCTGATTTGTATTGTACTGCACTCTTTGCCAAGTCATTTTAAATGCAGACTCTACATTCAGCTTCCAAAGGTCATCCAGAATATTACCCCGGGATTGTTCACCACCAAATAGTACATGCTTATTGTTTTCAAGTGAAATCATACTCGCATGAATACGTGCAGTCGGCCATTCTGCAATCGAACTACTGGTAGGTGTTATTGTGGTTGAATTAAATGTAATAGTGTCAAACCATGTGCAGCTATCTGATAACCCTCCTTCTAAATGTCGCCCAAAGCATGAAATCAACCACTGTTTATATACAATTGATGTGTGGCCAGCCATACTCGGTGTTACTGTGGTACCAATTTTTTTCCAGGATTTGGTGATAAATGAGTAGCTCCAAATGCTATCTTGTGATTCAATAAATTTCGGTTGCTCCTTGTTCTCGGTTTTTGTTGGCACATGCTCACCACCGATAATATACAATTCTGTGTTCATCAATACTGAAGTATGTTTGTATCTGCCAGTTGGTGTATTCGTTTTCTGCTTGGCAACAGATGGGGTAGAGGGTATAAGAGGGGGTGCTTCCTTATTTTGTTGCTGCATTCCAAAAACGGAGATAATTGAGTTTGAGGGAACGTGTAAATGAGATGTATGGCCAATCGTTGGAGGTATTGTCACTGGTGGTAATATTTTTTTTACATCAGGACTAGAAGATAGAGAAAAATCTTTTTTGTCCAAGTGCAGGGTGAATATGGATGATGATGATGAGGCAAATTGAGTTTCAGTGGCGTTTGAACTAAGTATATCCATGCCGCCAAGAACATAGATCGTACCATTTGGAAAATAATGTACAGTTGAGTGCTTCCTGCCTTCAATTGATGCATGCACTGTGGATTGCAGCAGTATAGATGAAATGAATGTTATATGAATCGTTATTGCTTTCCAGTATTTCATTTTGGCTTGCTATCTATCTATATATAAAAAAAAATAATGAAAATGAATGAAAAAATATGGAAAATATAAAAATCGAGAAGAATGAAAAAAAAGAATGGGAGAAAAAAAAAGGTTTCCCACTCAATAAAAAAGGTATGCAAGGTATAATTTGTGTCTGGATTTGGAAAGAAAGAAAAAACAAAAATAGCAAGATATCTTGATAACTTTCTGGTTAACAAAAAAAAAGACGATCTTTATTTAAACTTTCTATTAGGCTAATCAACATGTGTATAATTCGCTTAAATGAATATTATTTAGCCTCGGTTCAGACAGCGCTGAGCCAAAAAAAAAAAAAAATCGCCTTTTCCGTTTAGTCCAAAATCGACCTTTATTTCTTGCTCAAGTGTCTTTACACGAAACAAATTGATTAAGTGGGAGGCGTGATACATTAAATCTATATGCTATCACGATACACAAATATCTGTACCGACAATTTTTATTTATCGCCTCTTTCATACGTTTTTGATAATTTGGTTACACTCTCTGCTAATAGGGTCCCAACGAATTAATAAATATTCCCCGGATGAGAAGATCTACAAGACTGCTATATCCTCAACGTAGTACAGTTCGTCTTTGTTTTCTTTTCAGTGCAACATAGTCCACAAGGATTATGGGTGACAAGACCAATCCAGTTACATTATGCTTTGTACACTATTTTATAATAAATTAAAAGTTTCTCGGGAGCCTTGTCATGTTTTTCATTGTTTTTACATGAGGATCCTTAGAGGTTTACTTTTTTTTTTTACATGTCATTGCGAACATTCATGGTATTGTTGAGTTTTAAGTTTAAGATAAAGCTTACACAGTGTTGCGGGTGCTATTATTATCCTGTCAGAAGCGTGGCAATATTCTACTACGATGCGCTGAAATGTATATTTGCGAATTATGAAACATAAAGACTCCATCATTGCATATTATGTAATGTTTTCTTCAATCAATATATCCGTTGTCTCGAAAGACGCATTCGACTTGACAAGGGTTGATTGGGTTTCATAAAAGTGGCATATGAAGATGGAACGAATAGAACCTTTTATGGCATGTTGCAGTCAATAGACGAAATCTCAACAAAATAACAACAACCTTATCCCGGAAGTAGTATGACGAACAGTCCCCAGTTCCAGACTCTCTTCATATCTTGCAGAATCATTGCCATGGAGACAGGAGGCAAAAGTCAAAGGCAAGAATATTACCAAACTTGCTTGTGATTCCTCAGTCAGAAAGTTTTGGGGTTTTCCTCTTCCTCCGAATATCTAATGGCTGGACGCGTCCTTGAGCAAACAATTATAATATGTATCATCGCTTTTGACGATAATAATGAAATCAGAAGCCAGACGAGATGTTAATGTTACAGGAGGGAAACCAAATTGAATAAATCATATTGCTATTGATTATTCTTCCGTGTCAAAAAGAATAAACAAAACATCATAATTGGAAATCGTAATACCGTCATTATTTCTTTATATAGAATAATATTTATTTACAATTTCTAACATACGGACATCAGGAAAACAAGGAAAAAAAAGCACAAAAGAGGAGTGGGGGGGATTATGCAAAGAATTGCTTTGTTGAATGATATGCTACTTTTTTTATGCCCCTGCATACAGATTTTCTTGAAAAGAATTTTGTTAAATTACATGTATAGCTAGGTAATATTTCTAGTGGCAAAACCAAAGAGGGACATGCGCACATATATCTAAGTATAGAGTTGAAGAGATAATAATGTACATACAGTATTAACTGCAGTACATCAAATTACAATAAATAGAGACTTAATTTTTTTTTTACCCTTCTTTTTAGTTTGTATATTCTTCTCATTTTCCGTACCTTTTTTTTTTTTAACAAAAAAATATTTTATTATGGCTGGTAGTCATTTGCAATATCAAACAATTGATGTGGACGTTGTGTCGCCTGTTCCAGAGCCGGACGAATTATCTTGTCTGTTGACCAATACAACTCCGAAAGGTAACAGAAAGAATTCAACCCATCAAAAAAAACCTCTCTTTAATATTGAGATTTTGTTCTAGATTCCAAATGGACAAGATTAACCAAAAGTCGGGCTTTTAGTTTACTGCCTTCTTTTTTACTTGGTACAACAATCTGGTTTGGCGTTACACCTACTGAAGAGCTAACGGTGACAGCCATTCATTTATTAGCCGTATTTTCGAGGTTTGTCACAAAATGCCCGTTTCTTGGTTTTTTTTTATTATTATTATTATTTGTTTATTTAATGTTTAATCCCACAGTTGCATATTTGCGCTGATTACAACATCTGTCGATATATCGATGCTTGTCCTCACTGGTCTTACACTACTGGCAGTAACGCATTCATTTGAATGTGTGGATCATGCCACAGGATTGATGACCGAATGTAGATTATGTGGTGAAACCGATCCTTTATCGGGAGAAATTTTTGATTGTAAGCCTGGAAAGGAATCTTTCAAGCAATCTCTTGAAGGTTTTTCGAGCTCAGTTGTATGGCTTATTTTTGCCGCTTTTCATCTTGGTAAGGCTGTAGAGATCACAAAATTGGGTCGCAGGTTGTCCTTGATGATGATCAAGGCGTTTGGTAAACATACACTAGGTCTTGCTTATGCTATTGTATTTTCTGGTATGTAACTACTAGTATTGTAAAATGTCTCACGCAAGGGAAATAACTTTACTTAAATTCTCTCTCCAGAATTAATATTGGCTCCTTTCGTGCCAAGCAATACTGCCCGTGGTGGTGGAATTGTACTGCCCGTTGTGCATTCAATCGCAACAACATTAGGTTCTACGCCCAACGTTAATCCTGAAATTGGTAGCTTCCTTATTCTTGTTGGCAGCCATGCTAACCTTTTATCGGCTTCCATGTATCTCACAGGTAAATATTTTTTGCACATAAATTTCCTTTTTTTTTTTTCACTGGTTTTCGTCAATGATAAAACCTTCTTTTGGCGCCCCCCTTTTTTTTCGCGGTGAATTAAATATATTTATTAGGAATGGCTGCAAACCCTATTGTTGTAGCTAAGGCCAATCAATTGTTCCCTGATATCAATTTTGGGTTCATGACCTGGCTTCAGGGAAGCATTGTGCCCGCATTAGTTTGCGCCATTTTTATCCCATTGATCATCCGTAGAAGTTTGGGCTTAAATACTGGTAGACCCGAAAGAGGAAAGCATGCAAGAGAGGGTGACAATGTTATACAACATGCTCAGATGGAACTGAATAAAATGGGTCCTGTCTCACTGAAGGAATGGGTAAAGTGAAATGAAATTATTCTGTGCTGATATGTAAATTGTTACTAACGTGTAGATGGTAGCAACTTTGTTTTGTTCTTTTGTCTTGTTTAGGTATGTGGGTCACATCCAACATGACACAACTTGATTCCACACTGGTTGCATTGATTGGTATTGTGGCTCTTTTACATATGGGAACTATTACATGGAAAGATGTTTCAAGCAACACAAATGCAGTAAGTCGTCATGAAATGAATGATTGATCAGTCTTCTAACTTAATTATATAAAAAAAGTGGGATACTCTATTTTGGTTAGGAGGTTTTGTTACTATTGCTCATCAATTATCTCAAGCCGGAGCTTCTTCTTACCTTGGACATAAGATTTCCTTTGCAATCCAACATTTTAACTTACCCCCTGTCCCTGCTCTTGCAGTCTCCTACTTTTTGACCACGTTTATGTTTTCTTCTTTGAGTGCTCACACTGTAGCATTTGTCGGTACCTTTTTGGATGCGGGTCATGCATTAGGTGCGCATCCAATGATGTTGACCGCATTCATTTCATACTTTGGTGCTCTTGGTGGTTGTATGACCAACTTCTCTACAGGTAAATAGAAAAAGAGAGAGACGGATATATAAATGGAAACATGAAAAATAACAAAACAAAAAATCTTATTTACAGGTAGCGCAGCCATGTACTATGCGCCTGGTTATGTTGCCCGCACAAAATGGTTTATTGTTGGTGCCCAATTAGCAGTATTTTACTTGGTAGTTTACTTTACTGTTGGTGTTACATGGTGGGGTTTCTTGGGTTGGTTATAGACAAGTTTATCAGTGAACGTTAGAATAAAATTTCGATCAGCGACGAAATAAAAATCAAATAATTCACTCATGCATTTAGATAGAAATGAACAAAAGAAAAATACATTTGTTATTATTAAATACATACACTGCTAAAGCAAGTGTAAAACCTATTATTAGAATATCCGAATTCATATTTAATGACACAGATAACTGCCTTATTGCATGCGTATGTAACTCTCATTTTTAAGTCTCTTCATCCACACGAGTTACCTAACTGAGATTGATCTTAAAAATTTGAACAAAACATTCTTTTTTTGCCTCGTTTGGCACACTCAAGCAAGTAGTATTTACATTATAGATATGTTGCTAGATGTATATAAATCACATAAAAAAATCACAAAATTTGTGTATTGAACAGTTATATGTGCTGCATTTCGCGTCATGTAAACAAAGATGCGAATATTTTATAAAGTTGTGATAGTTTAAAAACAGATTTTTCTGTACAGGTTGTTTATTGTAAATTAATTATTAGTAATACGTTATAAATAGCTGTGTTTCTATATTGGTTATACAATCCAGTCCTTAGTGGCCGCCTTGAATACATGCTGACCCATTAATTTAGCCACTAAAGCACCCATTGCCTCTTGCTCCACGATCACTTCAACAGAACCTGCTGCGTAAGTTTGCCAATAGATTTGATTCTCTGCACTACGCTCTTCTTTTCTTTTATCCGATTCCTCTTCTAAATTAAAGGAATCTCTTGATGAGCCTTGTCCACCAGGGGGTAAAATGCAAAGTTCATCATAATGTTTGTGCCAAAGGATAGCTTGACGTTGTTGTAAGAGTTTTCTTGCGATTTCAGCCGATGGAAGAGATGCGGGTAAAGCTGATTTTGTACGAAGAGAGCAAGCCAAAGTAAAGAGGTAAACGTGAACGGACGCTGCCAATTCTTTTCGGTAAGCGTTCATTGGGTTCATAATCTGTCTACGAACATCCTTTGAGATAAAACCCTGTGTCACTAATAAATGTTCGATCCAGTACAACATTTGCTGCTCATGTTGCAATATTCCACGATAAGTCTCAATAGGAAAAGCCCCTTTTGTGATACGAGGCTCCATTTCTGCTAGAGCCAACATTTGACATGCCAACTCGTGCTGTCTTTTCAAAAGCGCCGTGTTACTTTGCGCCTCCTTCAATACAGAATTGTAGTGGTGCGACAGCGTGTTTTCTTGACAGACAAGAGAAGCGACCCTAGAAAATTGAATACCAGTATTAATGAGCAGGTCGGACAAATGAATTCGAACATCATTTCGAGCCCAAACGGGCCACGCGAGTTGATCCACAATGAGAACTACCAAAATGGCAAGTAATGCGGTAAGAGCTCTCTTCCAGACAGGTGCAAACAATGATTCGGCATACACATTATCACTGTAGTTGGTAGAGTTGATGACGGCCAAAGTCAAAAGAGAAATAAAGCCGATTCGAGGATATTTTGATCCAAGTAGGCCGTACCACATGGGAACTTGAAACAATATGGTCATTAGAGCCAAAGCATAGGGACGTTCATTTCGGTTCGAAACCAATATACAAATATAGCCTGCAACGGCACCAATCACTGTAGCAAAGACACGGAAAAAGCATTGCAAAGCTGTTGATCCGACTGTAAAGTTAAAAACAACCATGGCAGATAGTAGAGCCCATTGGCCGTGATTTTCCTAAACAAATAATAAATGAGTCCTATGACTCCCCAAACGTAAAAAAGAAAAAGAAAAACTTACATTGTACAACTGATTAACACCGGGTATAGGAAGCCATGCCATCAGGGCTATGATTGTCATGGTAATTGTGAATTTCATGGCATAGCGTACAGGGTCTGTTTGCAACCATTCATGAAAGTAATATAGCCATTTGTTCCATGCATGCGATCCGGGAGCGTTCTGCAAAGGTGTTGTCTCCTGATCTCCGTCCTCTGTCCAATCACTTTCGACGGATGCTCTCTTTTGGATAGAACCGCTTCCTCTCTCTTCGTCATTGATTACCCGAGAAAAGGTACTGACTGAATCCTGCCTTTGTAACAAATGATGTTGGTCGAAAATGACTTGTTCGGCGGGATTTCTTTCACCCTTTGCATTTTCACCAGCTTCACCAAGCCATTTTAAAATATTGACGCGAGGAAAGAAGACACGAGGGAATTTGCCGAAATACTGTTTTCTCTTGATGAGTTTATCAGCCTCATCTTCAAGCAGTAAGAGTTTATCACCGAATTGAGTCAAGGAAAATAGGATGGTGTAAATTAAAAAATGATCTTCTTGAGGCTCTGCTCTACGCTGTTCGTATTCTTTTTGCAGAATGATTTTTGCTTGTTTTAAACTCTCTAATCCAACGGTTAAATCATGTTGGTGGGTATGGTGTGAGCAAACATGGGTATAATTTTTTTCCTTGGTTATGGCACTGTTATCTTGCAGACGATGGCGAATACAGCGAATGACGGAAATACAAATTTGGATGAATACTTTAATCTCGGGTTGTACGGATGATTGAAGTCTAGATATTAATTTGTATTCAATTCTTGAGACTGTACCATCCACCTTGACCGCTTTAGCTAAAGCAACCATGTCGACTTCCCCTTCGATAACAGTTAAATCTTGTTTTTCTAAATCTTGTGAAGATGGGGTCTGTGGTTCGGAGGCTTGACGGGAAACAATGTGACCTTCACGTTCGACGGCAAGAGAGAATCCATAGAGATTTTTCGATAATCCTTCCATAATTCGAGCTAAAGATTTGTACCAGGTTGGACAATAGTGAGAAATTACGATTTCGTATTTTGCTTCTCGTCGTGAAGTTTGCATTTTGGATATATCGCCATCCAAAGTTTTGATGATCTGACGTAATTTTTGAGATACCGAGAGATCGCTAAATGATATTTCGCATTCTTTCAAGACATCAGTTTTAATAAACTCTAATACGTTTTCAATGGATGATATAGCGCTACCCAAGGCATTTCTACATTGATGTATTAGATCACAATGATACAATAATTAGATAAATAAAAACTTACTCCGATCGTTTAGCGGCAGTTTCTGGCCAGAGCACTAAATTGACAGCCAGAGCGATTGATCCACCAATGATTACAGGATAGAAGATTCCAAGAATACTCATGATGTTGAATTTAGTGTTATAGATTCCTTTTGTTAGACCAAAGAACGGGATGATGAAAGCTTGCAATGACGGCACAAATAAACGTGGGTATTTCAATCGAAGATATGCTGTGATGAAGACTGAGATGAAAAAAGCGATTGCGGCAATGATACCCGCCCCATTACTGTAAAGTGAGGCTGAATCAATATGACTGTTATACACGGTACATGTGTAACTGATAATACCAGTCCAGAGACAAGAAGGAACAAGACACATAATGTTTAAGGCCATTTCACTGATTTGATTTCCTGCAGTAGAGCTAGGATTGAAGAACAAGGTTCCCAATGTCACCAAGTAAGGAACGGCACCAATATCCTGACTTACTTTTGGAACGAGAATAATAACAGTAGCAATTTCATACGCAATGGTACATTTGATAATTTTTTTCCATAAGTTAGTGTCTAGATTCACCAAGTCTTTTATGGATTTCATTTTTGACAGCAGAAAGAGAAAAAAAAGCAAGCGATAAAGAAAATGATTTTTTTTAAAAAAAAAAAAATTAAAGTATTTATATATATATGAAATTGATCAGGTAAGCATTTGTAAGGCGGATTAAAAAAAAAAAAAGGGGTAACTAAATAAGAATTTTATGATTCTTCCGACGGATGTTCACTGCTTTTACGTTTCTTTGAATGGACACTGCTCATTTCATCAACATTATCCAATTCTCTCTTTAAGTATCTGTTTTCCAATTTGACTCTTTCCAACTCTGCCTTAAAAACTTCGACCTGTCTGTTCAGTTCACTGATAGCTTGATCTGTTAATAACTTTTCAAGTGTCCATTTTTCTAATGTAGCAGCTTCGGTATCTTTTAATTGTCGTATGTAGACAGCCGCACGATTTAAGATGGATCCTTTATTTTTTTCACAGCCAGGCACTATCCGGGCAATCTCATTGATTCCTTCGTTAATATTTTCACGACGTCTTCTCTCAACTTGCTTGTGATTCTCACGGCGTTGTTTGTGCCATTCGTCAGATCCCACAGGAGGCTTTTCTTCCTCGACTGCTTGTTGTTGAGTCTGTTGCTGCTGTGGTTGTTGTTGTTGTTGTTGCTGTTGCTGCTGCTGTTGTTGTTGTTGGATCTGCTGCTGTTGTTGTGGTTGTTGTTGTTGTTGTTGTTGCTGCTGCTGCTGCTGCTGCTGTTGTTGTTGTTGTTGTTGTTGTGATGCTTGTGGTTGTGGTTGAATAGCTTGATTTTCCATGTCGTGAAAACCTTCACCATTACTGCTATGACCCATTCTCATTGATTGGTGCAGTGCTTCCAGAGAGGCATTTTGTTGTGGTGTGATGGTTGCCCTATCCCAAAAGGTGTAAGCAACAAATAGAAGCCGCCCGATAAAGACACAAAAAAAAACACTTACCATATTTCATTATCGACGGAGCCGTAAGTAGTAGAACTAGGTACGGGAGTACTTGTGTTTTCAGCTTGCTTTGCACAAGAGATTTCAGTGTTCTTCACTTGTTGCTCGTTTTCTTCAAGTTTGGTCATGACCTATTAATACCTGTAAGATGAAGAGGTCCTCCTTTCTCACGGGCAAAAATAACGTACCTGAGGTGTTCGTGAAGGTGTAGCTGTTGCGTGATGTTCTTCCGACATTAATAAACTCTTTTTCTTATTTTTTGCAGATGATGCTTCTCACACCTATTACAATCATGTTAGAGTACTGCATTGACAACAGCGAGAAAATTTAGGAGCTAATGATAAAAGCCAGCTTTTATTGTAGTGGGTCCTTTTGCCGTTTCGTTTTTTATTTTATTTTTTGTGCTGTGCTTTTAGCTGGGCTTATTTTTCAGCATCCTAACTTCTCGTGACTTTGTGACGTTTTAGCGTATAAACTCACCTGACTTAGGCTTAAAGGTAAAAGGGGAGGGTGAAAAATATAAAATATAAAAACGAAAAAAATAGTAGAAAGCATATTGTCCAACGCGTTAAGATTGGTTGGACGGCCCAGCTGCAAATTTAACAAGTCACGTGATGATGTCATATGCTATGGTTTTTTAAGGTTTTTTGGCCGTGTGATAAATCATCAGATGAAAAACAAATGCAACAAATGCAGTATAAAGTATACCATGAGCCATCACTCAACCGAGTGAACATGTCAGTGTCACAACATACGCTATTTATAGCATACATGGTTTAGAATGGTTCTTTCGTCTAGTTGTTCCTATTGTTTAAAAGAAACGAGCTGAGTCCCGGCTCAATGTATGAAATGGCGTCAGTGGTAGATTGTGTTCAGGTAGTTTTCAGTCTTGTATTACCATCATATTTTAGTCTGATATGAATTCATTGAGTATATAGACATAGACATAGTGACAGTTAGTCATTTATCAAGATGCACGTATTACTTTTATCTTGGAGGTCATTCGAATGTCTTGTATGCTCTATAGAGATAGACTGTTACCAAGAATGAAATGTACTACGCTTTTCTTGACCTGCCATCATCTTGATGGGTAAATTCATGTTCCGAACGATGCATTTTCTAGCGACTTTGTGTTACTTTTTAAACAACCGGCAACGGCTTTATAAACTATTTTTTTTTCTTACATCATTCTACTCTTTTTTCCTCTTGTTCTTTTATCCATTTTTGTTTTATATCAACTAAAAAAAATGGGTGTCTTTGACGAAGTAAAATCTAGAAATTTCTCTCTCTACGCACAATGGTATAAATAAATCTGGAACTTAACAGCTTGACACATGCTAATCATAATACTGCTTTATTTTTTTTTTAAGGCTTGGTATCATTTCTATTATCCGTAAGTTCTCGGGTGAATAATAATTCAATCATTTAATCTTACGAAACATTTTGTTATATTAGTATTGATTGCTTTAGGTATTGTTGGATTTCTTCAACATTGGATCTTTAGTGTGGTGGGATGGTAAAGTTGGATGTATCAGAAAAAAGAGAATTGTGTGGTGAAACTAAAGTTTTGATTTTTTTTTGTTTCGGTTGACAGGATTATTGCATTTATTCTTGTTCTTGTAGAAATTCCGTTATGTTTAAAGGTAAAAAAAAAAAAAAAAAAAAAAAAAAGGTTAATAGGATAAGCATACAAGTTCTCAAACATTTCTATAGTTCTGCCCTACCAGCCCCAAATTGTAAGCTTACACAAGCTTTCTTCTTTTCTTTTCTGACACGATTATTTTTATCCTAGTGATGGCTTCATTGCGTATTTCGAAAACTGTTATTTCCGTGCCATTTTATATTTGGTGTAAGTAAACAAAACAAACAATAAGAATCTTGGCATTGATTTTTTTCTTTTATATATATTTTTTTGTATGGTAGATTTGCCGTGGTAATGTTCCTCTCGAATTTGGTCAATGTCGGACCTCTTATTGCTTGTGGTGTTTCACTCCTGCTTGCTTCAATCTGTTACGGTAAAATATAGTTAAGACGGATTGTTACACAGACGTACTGATCCAGCTTTCAAAATAGGTATTGCTGCTTTCACAGGTCAAGCATTTGCCAGTTCAAAGTAAGTTGAGAATAAAGGAGAGAAAGAGAGAAAAGAAGGAGAGATTCCCTGCGTAGAAACAAAGGAATGAAATATTGATAATAAAATTAATAGAATACTTGGTGGAACTGGTGTCGATAATGTTGTATAAAGTGGAATAGTAATAATAATAACCAAATAATCTTTCTGTGTATTCATAAAAAAAATAAAATAGTCTTACAATCAAGGGGGTGTTTTTCTTTTGTTTGTATTTAAAAACCACTGAAACCCAACCTTTTCTTTTCTTCTTCTTTCTTGTTTTCTTTCTTATTTGGTTGCCAAGAAAGGAGAATGGAGAAATTTAAAGAGGTAAGTCATTGGATTCTTTATTATAAAGGATAGCTTGGGTAATCCGTAAGTTATAGAAATTAGCACTTCTTCGTGCCGAAATCGATGGTGCTAATACGCGCGCAGATGAATATACTGCCACTGTGAAACAACTAGAAGGTGAACACATTCAAAAGGATCATGAACTTCACTCTTTACAATCAAAGGTTAAATTGTTGGAAAAGCAGCTGGATAAGACTGAAGCTCAAATTCAGACAGCTTCGACAAAGTACGTCGCTACATAAATAAAATCATATTGAAATAATCACACTGTTTCTTGTTAGTTTTCAGGAAGCTGATCTTAGAGTTGAGCAATTGGAAAAGAAGACAACTCAACTAGAACAAGACTTGGAGGCTGCCGAAAAGAGAAACGAAGAATTGAAGGACCTTTATAAGGCCGCCAAAGAAGAAATGGAGGAGTTGGAGCGTCAACTGGAAGGCGTTTAAATAATCTTTAATAAACAACACATTTTTGTTCCTAAATACTAAGGTCATCGTCTTTCGACTGTACCTTCGTAAACTAATAGTATGAAAAATCAAGTTTTACTACTCCTTTGGACTCTGTCTTTTTTTTTTTTTTTTTTTTTTTTTCACAATCATACGTAAACATGGCTCGGCCATTACTGACCGTGACGTCAGTATTCGTACCCACATTTGAGCTTTTTTTTCAACCAATGGCCGATATTTCGGCAGCTATGTAAAGAATTTATTTTAATTTTTTTTTTTCTTTTTTCTTTTCTTCTTTTCTAAACAACTTCAAGAAATGAATAACAACACAATTGAATCAGAAACACTAGCAAATCGCTCAACAGATTCTCTTTCAACTCAGGATGGAGATCAAATTTTAGATTTGGTACCACCTTTCCTTGTAAAAACAAAGACTCGAGAAGAGAAAGATTTAATGAGGCAACAATTCAAAAAACAAGAGTTAACAAGCAAAGATAGAAAAACATATAGCTGGCTTCAAAAATTTTATGCAAGATTTTCTACCTCATTCATGTTGGAAAATAAAGCTGCAACTGCCAGAGATCATTTAGGTAACAACTTGATTATTTCTTACATGCCACCTAGCAACCTCCTTATTTATTGATTTGTTTTTCATGTATTAATCCCTTACAGCCAACGAACGTACATTTCTAGCCTGGTTAAGAACGTCATTATCTTTAATTACTGTAGGCGTTGGTAAGTGAAAATCGAAAATTGACGTATAACAATCATCTAAATATTTGTGCTGGTAGCCATTACACAACTTTATCATTTAACTCCTCCCGGCGAATCAAATCAAGTTACACATGCTAAGGCAGGCAAATCTTTAGGTGCTGCATTTGTTGTCTTTAGTATCGTATTCCTTTATTTTGCAAATGCTCGTTATTTTCATACGCAAATAGCAATGACAAAAGGCCAATTTCCTGCCAGTAGAGGCGCTGTCATATTTGGCTCAACTTGCATACTAGCTGTCCTTATTGCCATGTTTGTTGTCATCTTATTGGATTTAAGGTAGTGCCTGTTTCTTCTAATCATATACCTTGTATCCTTCTATCCCTTACTAGATACACATTACATAACCTTTATAATTTGGCATTAATTTATTGTATACAACACTGTATTATTAAAAAAAAAAGTTTCGATTTTCCCCAAATATTTGTGATGTACGACTTTTTTTTGCATCGTGAGAATTTTCCAAACATCTTTTTATATCAAAAACGTTCTCGGCCTATCTTATTTTATGTCACACCAGTAATGTTTATAGCATTTTGAGCATCTCTCCAAACGTTGCATCAACCCACTTTTCTATTCTGTATGACGGTAAATTGGAGGCATATTTTTTTTCATGCGGACAACGACATCTTTTGTAATTGAAACTCAGAGAGACATTCAAAAATGCCTCGCAATAGCTATCAAAGTGTTCAAAAACTGAACACTACATGTTTTAGTCTCAGAGCTGTAAGCCTAAGAGTATTGCTACCACAGACGCTATATTGAAATGTGGTACTACTTTTTTTAAAGAAGGCAACATGATTCAATCCATTTACTGGCTTCTTTTTATCAGCATTAAAATAGCTCGTGGTACTTTCAAGTAGATGAAGCAGTTTTATCGCCCCAAAAGTGTAATACTTTTTTGTCGATGCTACTGATGTACTCTATAAATCATTTTATCATACCTATTTGAGGAATGAGCTCATGCCCACAAGAAAACTGAATGTTACTACAAAAATCTTGAATAGTAATACTCCGATTATATGGTGAAAATGTCTTACAATAAGACTACTGCAATCGATACATAGGCTCAAGCCAAGTAAAAGTTTGGCAGAGACTCGTAGTAAATTATTATTGCGTCCTGCCATCAAACTAAACTGTTTTCTTAATCTCACTTATCTATTCAGTTGGAATTTCTACGTTACGGTTTTTGTAAGAATATGTAGCTTTCAATTGCAATGTTCAAGCTCTTATAAATGAGCACAGTAGTATGAGCCATGAGTTTTTGGAGAAAATAGTTACCCATTATATGTATATCTAGATAATTCACGTATACAATCAACATAACCCTAGTAGGCAAAAAGAAACCGCAGTTTGAACATGCTGATCTGGTCTTGTTGTATATTTTAGCGATTTATGATAGCCAAAGCTTTATATTGGAATCCCAGGAATTATGTTTTACTTGTATGAGACATATTAAATTCTCCTGATAGTTTATACTATATATTAGACTTTTTCTGAAAATGAACAATCGGAAGAACCCGATGTTCATAGTTCTATAAAATTCAGCATTTACTGTAAATACACAAAGGACAAAACTAGATGTTCTAATTTTGCTGTGCTATGCACAAAGTTACAAGTTAAACCCATTTTTTTGACGTAAGCCATTGAAATTACTTGAACGAAAGTCAAGACGTTTTTTAAGACGTTCATAATAGAAATAATACTACATCGGCAATGAGTAAGAATCTTGTAATTGGGCTAAGATATAAGCGCTATTTACATTATAACAAGGATTGTTTATATGAAACCATATACAAAGCAAAGAAACCCCTTTGTTGCCTATTTAGGTCTCAACCGAACTAGCCTCACTTGTTATGCAGATAATTTACTTCTTGTAGTCCTGATATGAAGGTGCTCGCTGTTCTCATTATAAAACCGGATGTCAATGATCGCACCTTTGGGGAAAGGGAGTCGCTACTTTTCACCCCTCGCTTTCAATTAGTTTCTATAACAACATCAAACCAAGCTCTGCTAAATATATAGAAATAATCCAATAAACTGCGTTAAGCATGTATGCCATGACCTATTATGGTTAATCCTTGAAACTTCAACAAAAACCACATGGGATCTCTTTATATGAAAAATATGATAAAATGCATAAAGTCTAAATAAAATGTTTGTATGATGTTGAAAAGCGTAATGTAGACTGTAAAAATCATTCATGACAGCAAAGGATATAGATCGTGTGATGAAATATTAGACAGTTACTAACATGGTTCAAGCTAGATCAAGTTTATTATGAACAAGAATTTAACTAACAGATTTAATTTTAATCTTGAGATTTTTTTTCTTTCTTTCTACTAAATTATGATTTACGCCGGACGCTTTTAAGAAAGAGGTCTTTGCTTTTTCTTTTAGAAGTATTGTACACAAGTGTCACTTATCTGATCCGAGAATAGTAGAACGACTTCCAAACTACGACACAATTTGGCCTTGCCGGATCTGGAAATAAAAGGACAAAATAATTCTTTCGTAATAGCTCAAATACGAAACAATTTTTTATTGTTTGTTGCAAAACATTATGTGGAAATATAGAGTTATGCTTTCTGTAGCCTAATTTATGTTTTAGGAAAGCGCCTGGAACCTGCGCTTTGATGTTTCTGTTAAGAGATTAGCTTAATATTTTAAAGAATTTTTTGGTCAGTAAAAGTTAAAGCATACAGATCTCTAGTATGTTTGAGTAAGGCTAAAAAAACAGGACTCATGTATAAACTACTTTGACACCAGCCTCTGAAACTTACCAGGATCTAAATTACCAACTTTTAGTAAAAAAGTAAAGAAGTTTCTTTAGAAAGGTTCAATGATATTCTCGTCTTATCTTGTTACTATCATAATAGCGTTTGTAACACCAATACTCATTCAAATAAATGTAGGACCATTCTCTTTCTTCGCCTCTCTAGTCTTTTCTGAAATTTTTTTTGTTTGTTTGTGTATAAAAACTTAAAAACAGTGCACACATCAAGGTGTACAAATCTATTTTCAGTAAGTTTACGCCTAGGCCTCTTCTTTTATTTTTTTAAAGTTTTGTACTATGGTCAACAGCGGTAGAAGAATGATAGCTCCCAACTTTTTACTGGGAGTTAAGAATCAGATCAGAAAATCGGACTTGAAAATGCCGCATTCAGAAAATCCTGGGAAAACAGGATTTTTTATTAGAACGCTGAAAATCAGCTTTATACATTTGAAGTTTTATTGACAAGCATGCCGATATACATGTGGCGTATTCCATATGGGTTATATTGGGTAAAGCGCTTTATGTCATGCGAGTATAGAGCAACTAGGATAGTACTAGTTTTCGGCGTTGAAGTGAATGAGATGTACGACAATCAAAAAAAAAAAAAAAAAAAAAAAAAAAAAAAAAATATGAGACGGTCAAGGATCATTGTTGCGCAAACTCATTTTAAGAACAGCTCCGAAACGTAAACATAAGAATTAGCATTCACGCCTGTCAATAAAAAGTACTATACTGAAGACACGAATAATAAAAGCCTGAATAGAAACATTTGGTAAGGCTTTCTCCTCATATGACGAGTATCGTTCAACGCCTTTTTTTATCAAAAAACTTTTTAATTTTCTACATGTTTGTTTACACTGCTAAGAAACATCATCTGCTTCTAAATCAAAAAAAAAAAAAAAAAAAATGTGTACAACTCTTAATAGGCTTTCCCCTAACGAAACAAATATCACTAAGTGTCAAAATAAAAAACAAAGCTTGTTCAATCGTATATAAAGTCTCACTTTTTTTCTTCTGCTTCTCTTTTCGTATTTTCTATATTCTTTTCCCCTCTATCTTTCTTATCCTATAATACAATTATGGTTTCATTAAAAACTTACTATTGACATGCAATGCAGTCTCAATTAACGAAAAGCCACATGTGGTGCAGATAAAGGACATTAATACATCTGGTGGGCAATGGTAAGCAAACGTCTACTTCAAGATATACACAGATCATTCATGCCATATTATTTTATCTTAGTTCTTGGTGCGGTCGCTATGGTCACAACAGAGGCTTTTGTCCTTTGCTAAAATAACTTTGTGTTGTCAAGTTTATCTCACCACTCCCTCCTTCAAAATTATCTTGTATATAACATATCTTTAAGCATCCCAATTCACCTTACAAAAGCAACAGCATTCATTTAAAAATAAAACTTCAAAATTTTTCTCGTAACTTGTTTTTTTTGGAATTAAAGTTCGTGTATTATTATACACACAAGAAATACCCACATCCATACTTCCATTTTTATAATTTTTCAAAGTTCTCATTATCTTAATTCATATACAATACACAGACGAATAAAAGTAGAATAAAATAAACAGATTGGCGTAAAAAAAAAAAAAAAAAAAAAAAAAAGAAAAAAAAAAAGAAACACAATAACAGATAAAGTGTCTCACAACATCCCGGGTAGCTGATATTAAAAGATTTCGAAAATCGATTTTAATTTTCTTTTATGAAAACAAGCTTTGTATGTGCGTCTTACGAAAATTTAGCAAAAAATAACTGGGGTGGGAGCTATTGATTGTATCAAGGTTTTGTAAACATAAACAAGCAAGGATGACACAAAAAAGCTTATTTATCAAGATTTTTATTTTGCCCATCCGAGAGCATTTCAAAATTTTAAAGGAACATAAAACCCAATATTTTTTAGCAAATCCTCTTGGAGCAAAAAATAATAGACGACGCTTATTTGACTGATAGATCAAGACGAAAAATTTATTTTTGTGAGAATAAAGCAGCTTAATACTACAAGTACTTTGCCCTTTCAGTATAACACGATATATTTGTTCGGGAACGGAATAGATTTGTTTGTGATTATAACAGCCGGCACCATATAATACAAATCCGTGGTTATGGTACTTGTGTAGAGCACGCTTCTTATAAGGGATGCTCAAAATAGTCAATCCATACACACCTGTTCCTTTTTTTAGTGATTTTCCCTTGATCCCGAGTGGAACCATTTGTACAGCCTACGCTGGAGAATCTAGTCTTTTTTCAACTTGGATCCCATAATTAAAGTTTTACACAAGGCTTTTCAATTTATATAATTAGTTTGACATTAATCTCTAAACAAAAAAGGAGTAACATTGCGGCCCAAGAGCGTTTTCTTTGTTTTGTTGTTGTTGTTGTTGTCCTCCCTCAAATATTTACGTTGCAAGGAGCTATTTGTTTCTTCACTTTATTATCAGCAAAACATTTGTTTCAGAAATTGGAATCATAAGCAACGCGGCGTTATTTATTTTTTATCTTTTCAATACAAATACAACAAAAGAAGAGAAGTAATATGATGCTTGCTGGCGATCTATATTGGATGATATTTCCTTCTGATTGCTCTTCTCCCCCGAAGGAGTGCGCTTTTTCAATTGATTGGGTAAGAGCGTTTTTATATTTTCTAACCAAATTAGTAAATAAAAGACATTTTCTGTCTGTGAAACCTTTATTTTTTGTCTTAAACCGCGGCGATCACTTTCGTCATGGACATGACGTATTGAACAATTTATTTATTTAGCATCAAATTTAATTACATTATCCTTTTTTGTTTTCTCTTCAGTAAACAAATAATGAATTCTCAACAACCATCTTCCGGCGATTTGAGAGATATTCAACGCCAGCGTCAACAAGAGATCGATAGCAAGAGTGACAATGGAACCCCCACCTTATTAGAAAGACGTCGCTCAAAACAATCCAAAGAGTCAGAAGAAATCGTCTCTCCTATGCCAACTGGGGCCGAAAGAATGGCTGCTTTAAGGGACTTGGGTGCTACATTTGAAGAAGGCCAAAAAACCATTGCCAAAGTGGCAACTCCCACTGAAACTATTGTGCCAAGTTTTGTAGATTCTGAACATTTGGAGGTAAGATGATAAGATTGTTGTCAGATAAACTACACATACTTAATCATCTTTGTTTTAGAAAATACTTCATCAAAAGAAGCCTACAAATCTTAAAGACACATGCGAGAGATCTGTATCTCACTAATTGATATCCAATACCGACAGCTGTATTATAACATTACATAAATATCCCTTCAAAATAAAACAACGTTTAATCATGCTTTTGCCAATTAAAAAGCTTTTGAAGAAAGTTGGGAGGAGGCCAAACTAATCTCAACATTAGACATCGACGATCTCCATTCGCGATTCTTTACAACCATAAGCGGTGGGCATAATCTCAATTAAGCTTGGGTGTGGCATAGGAATAGTTGGAATTTCCTGTTAAAAGCTATTTTAGTACAGGGTTTCGCAAGTTCACGCTAGTAAAATTCCACTTACGCTATCTGGTCTATCGAATAAATACGCATACAAGCAACGTAAGATGGAGTCATGAGCAATGATTAGTACGTCATTTTTTTCCCTTTCCAATTCCATGATGACGGCTTCTAAACGAACAGCCAAATCGTGATAAGACTACATGAAATATTAGGATGATAATGAGACAGATTTACTATTTTAACTATTAATTACCTCAGCTCTAGGATAACGGTGTCTATAAGGGTCTTCTTTAGCCCTTTCGATTTCATCTGGAAATTTTGCCTTGATCTCTGCTAAAGTTAACCCATCGATTTCACCAGGATTCAACTGGTTTAAAACGGAGTGTTGCCGAACTAGATATCCTGCCTCAACAAACGGATGACCAGTCTGTCTGACTTTCTTTTGGGTCGACGTCCAGATTGTTAAGGGCCGCTCTTTTTCGTCGGAATTCGTTGCTGTAGGCTTTCTCTTTTGACGGTAGGCTAAAACAAATTTTTTTAATTTTTGGGCATACAGTTTGCCTTCATCTGAAAGGTCTGCATCTTCTTTAAATGAAAGAGGGTTTGTGGATTCACCAGCCTAATAATTTGGTGATGGTGAATAAGAACTATACAGACAAATTTTCACGTTTTACTTACTCTGGCAAAGTAAATGGTTCTCGGATGATTATGCAGATTCATCAAATAATATACTATGCGAGACTTCGAGAGGAAAATTTAGAACAAGTTAGATTATCTTGACGTGTAGCATGTACCTGTAAATAACCTCGAACATTATTCACGATCAATTGCTCCCCCACATTCATCAACTTAACAAACGGGAATGATAGCTCTGTTATAGTCTTATAATGAACCTCACATTGTTCAATACGATGCTGTATTAAGTAGATATTTAATTCAGGTTATACAGTTACATAAAATTAATTCTTACAGTGTAATCCTTGACGGCCTCTTCGGGATCCCAGCCTACATACTAAATATGGAGCATTAGGTAAAAAGACAGAATTGATTAAAATACTTTACATCAGGTGAAGAAATTTTGACACTTCTAATATTTGACAAAACTATAGATGGTCTATCACAAATGGATTCAATGAAGAGGACCTACAAAAAAAAAAATCAATAAGCAACATTTATGTGTAACCTAATTCGGTCGTTACATGTATATCATTGGACACTAATTTGTCATGAATTTCCTTTCTTCTATCATCCGTAATATTGTTGCCGTCATAAATACCGACCTGACCACCACCGTGTTGGAGCCACTCAATCATATCATTTAAACAGTCATCAGCAATTTTCAATCTTTTCTCGTAAGCATCATCATTATCTTTGAATTTCGTTTCTGTTTAGTTAAATGTTCTAATAAAACATGATGATATTATTACTACTTACTTGGATCGAACATTTCATTTGGAATTTGGCCCATAAGTTTTCTTCGGTAGTTTCCAACACTAAATACTTTTGTCGATACACCCAACCATCTCATATATCTACATAACGATCTTGAAACGTGCGTTTTTCCTCTGGCTGGCAGTCTTTATATTTCGCCATTAGCTTCATGACCAAATTAAAATCAGTGAAATGCTTACCCGACTGTAATAATAGCTACGGCTCCGGCATGAAACAACCGTCCACTTGCTGTTTTATAAAGTTGGGCACCCATAATTAAGTATGCGTAAACAAACAAAAATTAAAAGGGAAAAAGAAAAAGTCCAAATTTAATGAGGAGATGCTTTGCCAAGTATCCGGATTTTCCCGGTGTAACGTGAAAGATTTGACGCACTGGCATATTATATCATAGTGCATATTTTTGGGTTGAATCGAAAGTATCTTTAAGCGTATCTCTATGTCAGGTAATTGCTAAAAAAACATTTAGAAAAGAGTGAAAATATTGAGAAAAATCGAAAAAGTATTCACACTTCAAAGATGCTCAGTTTTTAAAAAAGCTTATTCGACACGATCGTCCGTGGTGGTAACATTAAAGCCTTAGACATTGGTAGTTAAACAATATAAAAAAAAATAACGAGGGGTTTCGATGCCGGTCAGTTGGTTTTTTATCTCCTAAAAGGTAAAAAAAAATGTGCTGATTATAACAATCTTACTACAAGAGGCATAAAAATACTAATTACCAAGAGCTTCTTTTCTTTGCTATACTTACTGGGTTTGGAATAGATTCCATAACTATGTCGAGAAAATGAGAGTATAGTTGCATAAACAAATGTCTTAACCCACGACATTTAATTCCTGTAACGACATACTGCAAATGATAAATGTGCAATTATCCATGTTGGTTATGCCAACTCAACACCTTTTTAGTCATATATACAACATGTTACGTCATTTAGCCCTTTCTTTCTTTTGTCAACTTATTGAATAGAGGATGGTCCTTTATGGCACAATATTACTTTATTATTGAAAAAATTAGCTATCACCTTTTCCCCTCTGTTGAGTAACTTCTTTTCTCTTACAAAATTAATCCGTTTAAAAGCGGACGACGGCCAGTACGCCGTATTTTGAATTCAGTACAAAGACTTCAAATTTTTGTTCGCACTTTTACATTAATGAAGCTCACTTTTATTAGTAAACTGCAGAACGGGATCTTTTGACCTTTAAGATGCTCCGAAAGATATTTATATGCAAGCTTTTGCAGTACTTGGACAAAGATAACCGCTTCTTCAAAGAAAAATCCTACTGTTGTGCAGGTTAGAAAGAAGTTTAGCATGCTGACAAGCAAAAAAAAAAAAAGAGGATGACTCAAAAGTAAGGATCGTTTAAGGAACGACAGACCAAAGAAAAGGAAACCAGACAAATTGAATGATAAAATCACGAAGCCTTGTAAATTGTTAAAACTTCTACTTTCATCTGGCAATTTAATAAACAGCTTGAACGATGAGAGCCCCTCTCTATCAACAGTTTTTAAGGCTTACGACATCAAGTAAAACATACCTATCAAAATTGAAAGGCAAACCCTCTAAACCATAAGTATGTCACAAGATGAGAAGATTATGCAATTAGTCTGAGTAAAAGTTGTTCAAGTAATTTTTTCCAAGAAAAGATTACACATTTTGTTGGATGACTTCATTGATACCGTACTCCCGAAAAACCTTGTTGTATCCATCAATTACCAATTGAAACCAACAATTTTTTCACCCAGGCCAAGGTAACACATGTACATATCGCTCTATACAACATGCCAAATAAGTATAAATCAAGGAAGAATGTAATGTGCAAATATAGGAAGAAAAAAAAATTGACAGGAAAAAAAATGTGTAGCTACCTCACAGCTATTAGTGCTTTTTGTCTTTAAAAATTGTATTCTCAGGGCCAATGCATGATTTGCAAAATCACACTGTGGAACCTTCTAGATAAAAGATCGCGATAAAGTATATAACAATAAGCACTTATGAATTTGTATTTATTTATTGATGTAGATTACTAAGACCAGCGTAGTAATCAAATTACTATCGTTATTGGTATTTTCTTCCATGGACAACATTAATATTGGCTTCATATTTGTGATATCGGGCATCCGAAATAGCAATGTTTCCAATTTCAGCATCCGCCTTCAAATCCACAACCTGAAAAATGGATCCTTCGTGTGCCTTCACTAGTTGACCACCTGAGAGATATCCAAGACGGTCCTTTGTAAAGTATTGACTAAGCAGCCACTCAACTGAAATTACCCTGCTCTCGGGGGTGATTCGCATGGCGACCATGCTCGCTAACCATAAGATAAAAATACAGCCAGCAAGTACCCAGAATGGCCATTTCCATAAAACATGGTATACATAACAATTGTGCAGTATACGAGACTGAAATGTCGTGTAACTAATATCGTGGTTTTCTGTCATATCCTCATTATTATAATCGCACAAGACCCGAGCAGCAACTGTCGCCATACTTTCGAGTCGACTTGTAATTGTTTCTAGACTTTCTCCATCAATAAATCGATCGCCTCTATATACATCATTAATACCTCCACCAGATATCCAAGTCATTAACACATTTCGATACATGCTTCCATTTCGTTGTACTGCTTCAAACATATATTTAAATAACATTGGTAAGCCGCCGTTATAAGCATCGTCTTCATAGCGAATTATATTTGTTATCTTTTTTGTGTCGCAGTACGTGTTATTACACGATGTTAGTGCTGTAGCATATCCTATATATATTGAGCAGTTGACGGAATTAGTGGGAACACCAGCCATACCATAATCATCATGATAAGGTATAGACACAGTTCCAGCCCATGGGGAGGGATACTTCTTATTTATAGATGACGGGATCGTACCCAACTCCGGATTAAAGCGGCTAAAGCCTTCTTGATACTTTACGAGTTTGCATGAAACATTTGCGTAAGGCAAAACACGTTCAAAGATAGACTGTCCAAGCAAAGTGTCTGGAATACTGCGGTCATAGATTTCATTTGTGAATGTAGTATTTGGATTTCTTAAGCTGTTGAAAGCATCTAACGCCAAGACCGGAAATATTCCGCCTATAGCATCTACTGCATTTGTTGCTGCACACGTGGAATAGTTTCGTATAGCATAGTTGGATGAGCCAATGTCTAAAGAAATACGATCTACACCCATGGATACAACAGCTAGCTGCTTGGTCACCGCACTAATAATTAAAATCAGGATAATTAAAATGATGCTAAACCACCTTTTTCCTGCAACGAGCATTGGTATTTGTCCAGGAGTGTGCCCACCGATAATTGCAACTAGATGAGAGAAGTTTGCCCCTTGGTATCTGATCATAGTGTAAGAAACACTCGCAATAGCTTTCATAAGAGTCGCTACAACACAGCCACCGATAACAGTAGATATCACAGAAACAACCACTTTTGACTGCAGAGATTGTGCATCGCTAATTGTCTCGCCTGTCCATTTCCAAAAATGCTCTTGTTCGGTGTGGATAAAACAAAACAAAATCCCAATAGCTGGTATTACTGTCCAGATATAAAAATCGAATACCCCGATCGATCCAGCTTCTTCTTTTGATGCAGAAGATGATTCAGTCGACACTTCATCTACTTCTTTGTCATAGTCATATTTCTTCTCGGCGATAGATGCCATTTTATTATAAATTGCTTACAAAGAACAAAGGGTGTACGAATTCATATTCCACATAATTGAATTATATAACTGAATTATAGGATGGTCGCACATAAAGTACTTTATTGTGTTCACGTAATCATTAGTCATCATTTAAAACACGAACACAACTCCATATTTAGGCAATATTCTTTTTTCAGACCAATATCGTTACACATGTTGCTGATCTTGTGTACCGCCACTGATTTTTTGAGGCGTTTTCGATCGTTACATAAGGAAAAAATAGAACGATGGTGTTACTTCCTATTGTTCAAGTAATCAGGCGCTGACATGTTATCCCATAGCTTCGGGAATATTACAACTCTCCCTTCATTATGACTGGATGGGATACTACACTATTTTAAAAAAAGAAAAACACACCCGCTCGTTCCTGTTGTGAGAATAAATTCTTATCAATAAATCCCATTTTAAGTTCCTTCATTCGCCAAATTCTTTTGATCAAAGTTTTGTGTAAATGACTTTTATAAAAAAAAATATATTATATCAAAGATTATGAATAAAACTGTATTACTCAGCACCAAAAAATTTTCCAATAAGCTTCAAATATGGCCCCTGAGAAGATTTAAAGGCTCAAAAACTAAAATTATAGTCACTGACAAATGAAATATCATGTTTCAATTGTTTCGAACATTATTTTATGTTCATTGCATTCAATAAAATTTTTATCCATTTGAAGACATGCTGTTAGACCTAATTTTGCAATAAGTTTTTTTTTCTCGTATCACCCAGCGTTCCCACTATACATTTTATCAAGGTATGACAAACAGACATGAATTACTCGTACCACAGGCTTGGTTATGCATGTACTCAAATGTAAGTTATTGGTTGGGCGATGATATTACATCTTTCGCTTCAGTTAAAAGCTTTGTTTCAAATGAACAGTTTTCTCAGATCCAGTTGTTCTAAATATATTATGGCGTGTCTTTTAGTTTATGAAAGCTTAACTTTATTATTTCCGACCCAACACACTCGTATAAACTGCCTTACACTTTGAAACCGTGCTGGTTCGCAATATATTTCGCCGAAGAAAAAAAGTTCTTGGGAACTGCAGAAGGTCCCTTTTTAAACCAATTAGTCATTGTTTGCCGAAATTGATTATTGTATATCATTACAAATGATGACATAAACTTGTTTTTGTTATCGTGATAAATGTGAGAAATTATCATACACATTTTAAAATCTTCTTTTCTCTCTTAACATTTTATTAAGATTTTTAGAGAAAATTATAATTACTTCAAAAAACAGAAAAAAAAAATAGTCTCAACCCTATCCCAAGTACATGTCGCGGTTGGTTTAAGTGGTAATTAAGATGTACAGTTATATGATCATTATGTATAAAAATTGGTATCATGGCAAGAATTTCACATTTTATACTAAAATTAGTGTGGGCGTAGACGGATCCACAACTGGGACAGGACCTATAACATTATAAAATGCAAATAGAAAATTCCTAAGAAAACCACCAGTCGCCCACAAGAAGCCTCATTGAAGGCTACTCGCTATTAAGAACCATTGCTGTTTTAGGAGAAAACATAAGGTTTCGGATAGCATCAGTCATTGTCGGAACTTCAAATGCAACGTTGTTGTTTCATTCACGGTTGTTCGCGATTCAGGGCCATCGTTTCCAAAGTAGAAACAGAGGATATCAATCAAGCAGTGCTTTGCTGATAGTCGGATTACATATGGCTTCTGGGAATGAACAACATAGGAGGAACTTTCACGTTCAAAAATGAAATAAACGAAGTTCCGCTATCAACAGGTGGCGGCTGTTGCAGAAATAACTTGATATTAAAGCCAGGGATAAGGCTTTAAAAGTCTCGTTTTTTTTTATAAATAAATAGAATAACGATATATTTCTGATTAATAAATTTTTAGTACTATTTAGATGCAAAACCAAGATAAACTGTTAACAGAAAATTTATTATTACAACCTTCAACAATAGGAGAGTGTCAAATGTTGCTCTAAAATTGTATCGGGGGCGGTCTCTTTTTCTTCGTCATGCTCACCGGTAAATCGCAATGTAAATTGAAGTGATGTACTGTGATTAATTGGCTTAATTTCTAAACGAAGAGGCGCGTCATAATTTCGGTCGTAGCCAAATTCGAAGGTTGACAGCATATCATATGAAAAGTCATTCGAGGATATAATTCCTTCCAATTTTGTAGTAACCGAATGTGTTAGTCTCACTAATTCTGTAAGTTTTAAATGAAGATATTAATAACGCTATCTGGTTATACCAGGGTCATATCATGGGCACTTACGTAAGTCTATACAATCCTCCATTGTTATCAACCCTTCCATAGTTTTTATTCGGTGCCCGATGTCAAACTTTGTTATAAGTCCTGTATCGGGTATGAATTGTCCCTTCTTAAGTACCACTATTGCGGAGCCGACATCGCTTATTTTGATTGTCTCCTTATCATTCTGGGTTTTGCACGACAGAAAAAACTTGGACATTCTTTCCCCTATGACCAAAGCATATGTTTCACTTGACACCTGTTGCAGGTTACCTGTTATAAAGCTGTCATACATGTAAGGTTGCTGATCTATAGCAGGCTGCATAAGCTGGCATAGCGATTCTTCTAGAACATACGCCGGTGTATCTTTTTCTTTTGATTGAATACTAGAATCCATAGCTTCTTTCAAAATCCTTGTGAAAGCCGTATAATTTGGACAATCGTACACAAAAGGAAAGAGTTCGGTTAAAATAAACAGATAATCTACTACGTAATTTCCAAATAAGTCGTCATTTGTCAAGGAGGCTGCAATTGTATCTGTAATACCCTCTACGACAGGTTTTAAACCTACTTCAATAGTGGTTCGTAGAGATAAATCGAAAGTGCAATCACAAGTACGGCTTAATTTGATTTGTTGTATCTTATCCATATTTAAACTAGCTTGGCGTGGCTCAAACTATGTAGAACAAACGTTACACTTGACATTGTATGTTAAGTTTCCTTTTGTATACTTACGCATTCTGATACATATAACTTCAAGCTTTTCAAAACATCATTATATGTTTGCAGTGAATTTAAATCGGAAGACAGGCACATTTTATCCGTATCAGAATTACTGTGCTCAATTTTTCCACATGCTCTCATATGCTTCCAGATATTTATAGATATTAAGTCGATTATATTTCTCATTTCGAACTTTTTGTCTTTGATAATAATTGTAGATTCATTCCCTTTTGAAGAGCTAATCTTGACAACTTGATGTAAAGTGACCTGCAGGTGTGTTGGATGTATTTGGGCCACAACAAAGTAAGACTGCAGACACAATTCCAAGCACAGTTTCTGTTGAATAGCGGGCAAAATTCCTTCTCCACGAACAACGAATCTTGCCATTTTGTTATCACCAAACTCGGGTAAAATACCGCTCTCTATGAGAAGTTCTTTGGGGTTATTGTTCAATATAAGGTCACTATCCATCCATGCTTTATCCAGCGTTGCAATATACGCTGTATTTTTACTGTTACAATCATTTCGAAAAATTGTGTTTAATTTAAGATTGACCAATTTTTTAACGTAGCCGACGTACATCATGAGAAAGAGTCGGATGTATTTTGCTTGGCAAGTGAATATATGTGTTTTATCAGCCACGGAGAGCTTACTTTCTTTGCTTGGCTTTGCAAAATGACGATTCAGCTTTGAACGGACCAAATACCCGTTGACCTTCAATCCAGCACTTCGTACGGCAGACAAGTACTTTTCTTTGATTCGTCGATTTCGGGGGTCCCAAAATACACTCGCGATGACTGAAAATTTATTTTTCATGTAGACGTATGGTTTTATCCTATAAAAAATGGCCGTGTCAATAATTTGAAGTTCGAAGTTTTATACTTTTATACCTCTTTTTGAATTGATCTACGTCTTGTGCTTTTTTCATGGCATAAACATTACACTTATTTTTAATGGGCTTTTCATTATGTCCCAATGCTATGTTTAAAATATCTTCAAAATTTTCTTCCATGAAAATTTTTAAACTAGTTAAAAGTATGTATACATACGGATTAGAAATCCAAACAAAAAAGACTTATGACCAGCATACGTTACCTCATAGTTAATTTGAGCACAGGCCTTTGATATGTATACGTTTGGATGAAAAAATTACTTAAAGGCTGTATGTTACTATTTAGTGCACAAGAATCAAAAAATTACTTCAAATGGTTTATTGGGATATACTTGTATCTCAATTAAGAGCCACTTACCATTCTTTAAATTCGGTGAAATTTTGAACAGAGTTGTTATCTTCTACTAGTGCCCATGCTAACTTAACAGCTGTTGAAGATATGTCTGTAGAAGTGTACCAAGTAGAATTAATATACAACACATGTATTTCATCCATAATTTAATTAATTGGGTATGTTCATCTGGTACGGGACGCTGATTATGGCTTACCTATATAAATTATGTATTTCGGCTTTGAGACTTTGAGAGAAAATACGGCGGATGCTCCACAGCAACCAACTTTGGCATCTTTTAAAATAATAGATGGTGGTCTACGCGTATTTGAGATCTGAACTTTTTGTCTAATTTGAGCCTTCGTTCCTTCCATAGTATCTTGTCTAGTGATAAGAATACTTGAGGCTGAACATTTTCCAAACGTCATCAACGTATTCTTTAGTTTTTTTGTGTCGAAGACTTGAATCCATTCAATTAAATTTACTACAAGATTATAATAGAAGTCTTCGTAATAGCTAACATCTAATCCAGTTGTTATTAAAAATGTCGTACAGCTTTTCCCTGCACTACACTCTGACAAACTGCGTAGTTCGATTTCAAAACGCCTCTTGATTAAAATAAGTTCCTCCTTTGTAATGGGTTCAGTATAGCAATTTGTGGCATCATCAATCCTATTGCATGATTTATGGACTAAAATGTATTGCTTAAAAGACGATAACTTGCATTGACTATTGTATGCTTACTAAAACTTCTTTTGGGATATACAGGAATAGTAAAGTAAATTGATTTGATTGATTTAGCGAGGTAATAATCGTCAAATGCTGGGACTGAAGGATATTGGGCTGAAAACAAATCAAGTGCGACAATAATTTTGCTGTCGATAACTTTTATGGCATACATCGTATATAGTCTCCCGTATCTAATTTTGGAACTCATTTGACTGCTTTCGTGTTTAAGGGACTGAAGATAGCGGAATCTCGATTCTAGTCGCGTAAATATTAATAATCTATCAGAATGATCTTCTTTACTGACTAGACCAGCTTTGATAAACAGCTCACGTAAATGCACTTCTCGAATGGTCTCATTCCAATGTGTCGGGATAGTGATTGCGAAGTGATAATCTAAATCGGTAATATGGGTTGTAAGCCTTCCAAGCGAAAAACCTTCGTGTAGTTGTTTCAGAAACAGAACGACACCTTCTTGTATCATTAGGTCATGTATATCATTTTTGTATTTCTTTTGTTTTGATCTTGAGTAGACACTGTCCAAATGCATAAAAACATTATCTACATAAAAAATGTTTTTATTGTCTTGGGATCGATGTCTCTCCTTATCTGCCTCGACTCCAAATTTAAGAATAAGCCTGGAATCTGCATCGTAGAGTATGGAAGACCTCATCTTTCTATGATTAGGTCTTTTATAAAAGGGAGAAATATTGTGTCAACTGAATTTTAATCAACAAAGATACCATTTGATGATATATAACTTACTCGTAACTGGACCGGTTATTACATTTTCTAGTGTTGGTGAAAGAATATGTCACGAAAGTTTCGACTTCATCCAAATCTATTTTATGTCAAAACCCTCTATTCAGTCAATTACATTGTGTTATTACTCACATAAATCAATGCAGTAAGGGTGTTTAGAAAAATTACAAATTTTCTTCATGCTATAGTTTCAATGTTTAAGATAAAAAAAGAAGAGGATACAGAAATGTAAAACGAAGATTTTTAATATGGTTGAAAAAGGCAAAGCCAAGTGTAACAAACAAATGTTTTCTTACATGTTTGATGCTTTTCTGCGTTTTTGTTCCTTGGGAGATGCAAAATAGCCACAAGGATTTTAGCTGTCGCAGAATGTAGGATGCTTGACCATGACACTATTTATGGAAACGGACCAAATAATTGTACGTTAGAAACACAGAATTCCATATTTGAGTGTTGATCCTGCGCTGAACAACCAATTAATCCATGACGTTGAATGGCTCAACAAAGCGAGGTCAAAGGGAGGCGACACTTTTATCGGAACGAAACTCTTATTTCTCCTGCGTGTATGCTACGAAAAAAATGTATCAATTAAACTCAGGAACCTTATTTTTGTACGTAGATCTTCTTTTCAGCAGCCGAAACTAGCCTACGCAATTCTAGACTATCCACTGAGCATGTCTATTTTGGACAATGAGGTCGAAATTAAGGAGTTCATTGTTTGTTTGGGCCATGTCGTTTTTCTCCTGACAGATTATATATATATACCAAGTGCATAACTACGACAAAGAGAAGCTTTTAGAAAATATAAAAGGGAGGATTGCAGACTTAGAATTTTTACTTGTTACATTATTTAATCAGATAAATAAAGTGTTGAAGACAGACTACTGTAGAAGTGGTTTTTTATGCCACTGAGATGTATAAGGGGATGTGTAGCCTTGGGAATTTATAAATAGCTTTACATTTATCTAAGCCGAACATAAAATAAAATTGGGGAAATAGGCAAATCTGGGAAATTAAAAGCTGTCCCTACCGAATGGTAGAATCAAATCAAATACATTGAGATATTATACATTACTCATTATATCAGCCATTCCCATATATAAAAGGTATAAAAAACAAAAGAAGAGAATGATTTATAAAGTGTGCATTATTGACAAAATACAAACACACGTGTTGACATCTTTTGCTATGTATAGAAATGAGGACTGTACCTGATTTTAATTTCATGCAGTCACACACTATTGCTGATACAGGTCGTTCTTTGCGGGGGGAATAAATACTTTGCTTACCCCTTGACACAAAAAATGGCTTGTAAAACCTATTCTTCAATTTTCAAGGCCTTATTTACACAGCATCGATCGTTTTCTGCGACAAAGACTCCAGCAAAAGTTTGGACCTCAGAAGAATCCAGAAAATTACTAGATCTTGTAGAGATCCATGGCACTAATTGGGTGACGATCCAGCAACATTTCCTCGATCGTAATCGTAAATCGTTGGGAGGTCGATACCGATCTTTAATGAGCAGTAATTTGATTTATGGAGCTTTTTGACTCATTCAGCTTTTACTAACCTTATCGATAGAAAGTGCTGACGAACTTAAAAGCATGGTCGATACTGGACCACAATCTCGAGTTTATGAAAGTTGGACAAAAGGAGAAGACGCAAAGTTGTTGGCACTAGTGGAAGAACACGGGATGCAATGGACCAAAATCAGCCAACATTTTGAGAATCGCACGGTGTCTACAGTATCCCAACGATACAACCGACTTACAGGTAAAATTACTGGACGGAAATAGAATATCATTGTTTGTTAAAGAAAAAAAAAAACCTTCTAAAAAGTGGGATCAAAGATTAAACGTGGGACTTGGACGCCTGACGAGAACACACAGCTTCAATCACTTCGTCAACTTTATGGGGAAGACTATAAACATATTGCGAGTGTTATGCAATCACGTACTGCAGATCAGTGTCGGGTCAGAGTAAAATACTTGTTGACCTCTCCCGTGTCTGTCGGGAGCCTTAAGAAAAACCAACTAGAAAATTTAAGAGAAGCGGTCAAAACATACGGGACGGAAGATTTCCGGTTGTTAATTAAGAAAGCCAATTTACCTTCCACCTTGAATCACGAGGAACTGCGTAGATATTACTGGAGAGAATTAGACCCTGCAATCGATACTAGCGAATGGACAAAAGAACAGGTGGTTTCGATGGTAAATATATATAATGAGCTGGATGGTTGTATGGAACTTGTTCAGATGAGAATACCTGTGAAAAGAAGTTTAAAAGATATGTGGACTCACTATCATGCCCACGTCCTCAATAATGACTGACACACGATTTTTTGTTTATTAATTATGATTAAAAATGTCAGAATATATATAAGACCGTTTTTTATAGGGGGTTATAAATATAAGGAGCCTTTTTTTTTTTCCAGGATAATGAATGAAGGGGGTTTCAACTTGAATTTTATTATTAATGCTTACTGTCAATGGGTGTGGAATTACCATAATCGCCATAGGGTGGTGGTGATCTTTTTTCTTGCATTGGTAAAAATGAAGGAGGTCGGGTTGCACTAGGGCGTACGGGCAAAAAAGGTGGCGGTGAGTTATTACGAAATCCGTAAACCTTTTCTAATATGGAATCACGCTTTGACTTTTTCTGAGGTGTCATCATGACAATAGGCGATGGTATAGACGAATGATTTTGTTTGACCATGGCAGGTTGATAGGAAACGGTAATTGGTTGCTTGGTTGCTAGGTATTCAATATGCATCTGTTCTTGTAATTGAAGCCTTTGTTCCAGATCGAATAGCTCTCTTCTTCGGCTATTCGCTTTGTTCATCATGTAAAATATGCCTATAAGCGACAGAGAGAATATAATAACAATGATAACTATGAATAACACTTGGTTTGTATTCGGCATGGTATATATGTGTATTAGAAATGAGAAAGAAGAAGAAAAAAGTGAGTGAGGTACAAGGCTTATTTATACCAGTAATTTTTAAGGCTCCTTTTTTTTATTGTTCAAGACCATTCTTTTGTTTGAAAAATGAGGGAGAGGTACGGGTAGGGGATGGATTCGTATGAGAAATTTTATAGTTCATTGTGAGGTAAGGGATCCAATTCTAAATACTCTGCAGCAAAGGTACGAAAAATAACCGCCAAATTTTCAACCACAGCTTGATCTATACAGTCTGCATTATCCTACATGCACACATGTTAAAAATTATTTAATAGATTTCATGTTAATATCAGCAACTTACGCCTCGGTTGTGCCAGACACTTGGAAAGGGATGTGGAATCATGTGCAAAATATTCACACCACGCGTTAAAAACGGTACATGATCATCACCAATGGCCTCTCCCATAAATGTCAGGAATGAATTTGGATTAAACATTGAAATTAAACGCTCACCCGTTTTTGAAGAGACAGTCTTCAATATGGATTGATTATTTAATCTATTCTCTATCCCAATCAATTTGTAAAATAACCAGCTGGTGGATCTATAAAAGTTTGGGAATTGGGCATTGGGAGTACCTAGCAAATCCAGCAAGACGAGCACTTCCATTTGATCCAATCTATTCTTCATGACTTTTTTAGGGTGTGTAACTATGCTAGACTCCCATTTCTCTGCCAAATGTCGGGCTCCATAGATAGAGTCAGTAGGTCCCCATTGCTGAAATGCCTCTTCGCCGTCAAAGAAGATCATTTGGACCGTCTTGTCCTTTTGGCGATAATGAATTGATCCATCGCTTAATAAATCATCCAGCGTCTCGGCAATATTCATCAAGATACCACAGGGGATGGCACTATCAGTGGCACCAATAAATTCAAAGTCGGGTTGATACATGGAATCATAATGAGCTGCCAGCACTAGGCGTGATGGCTTGTCGGGGTTTTGCGTCACTATAATATTGGCAAACTGCTTTTCTCCAAACGGTGTAGCATCAGTAAACTCATCAAGTTCCACATGCCATCCTAAATCCTCAAAATGTTGTACAATGTATTCACGCACTCGGATATTAGCGGATGTGCCCGAGACTCGTTCGACTAGCAAAGGTTTCATTAAAGTGCCATTGACCGCGAGCCTTTCTGGCTCTGTGAACTTTGCTAAATGGCGTAAAGATTCGTTAGGCAACTCCTTGTAGCATTGCACAATGAGTGGTATACAGCAAAATAAGAGACGGTTCAGTAGCATCGACCACTTCATTTTGTTGAATAATGATGAGTAAAAAGAGCTAACGAGAAATTATACATAAAGAAAAACACAGTACGTTTAAACTCCGGACATGGACAACCAAAAAGTTTTAAGATACTTTATTATGTATGAATAAAAAAAAAAAAAAGAGAGAGAGAGAGAAAGCAGACTATAGGGAGGACGTGGGTGCAAAGAGAAGGAGGAGGAGGGGTATTTTTATTATATTAATGATATAATTGCTTGTGGTTGGATAAATTGCCTTGAGAATGAAAACGTCGCTGACATACTGAACATCTTAAAGAATTTGATAAGGATTGTCTGCGATTTTTATGTACGGCTCTCTCTGAAAAATATGAATCTTCTTCTTCAGAGTATATACTAGGTGATGATGTTTGTGATAATGCGTCCATGATTCTGCGTTCTTGATATTCCTGAAGAGGCCATTCTGTATGTTTGGACGTGAAGATGGTGGTAGGATACATTTAAAAAGAAAAATAGAAAAGAAAAAAGATAAAGAATGAAAGAAAAAAAAATAAGATGATACGAAATAACTCATTATAAATGTTCTTCCGGCATAAAGATTTTTTCCATAAATTGTTCATAACTCCTATAAAAAAAAAAAAGGTTGATATTCGACATTTTTGACGTCATCTGTATTGGAGCTTACCAATTTGCTACTTTATGTCTGTTGGTGATGGTGCGAACATCGTTTGATCTTTGTGCGTAGACGCATTTGTAGAAGGAATAGAGGTTTGTATGAACTGTGGCGCGGAATGCATTTATGGTAGTGGCTCGTACTAATGGACCTAGGGTCGCTTGCGATACAATCATTCGGTCAAAAAGTGGACCAAAATAAGGTATCTATTGGACAAGAGGGTTAACTTTGAAACCACCTTTCTTTCGTCTATCTGAAACAAAAAGAGACAACCCCCCTACTTACTTTGCTATCTCGATAGATTTGTACGCGATAAAGATGAGCTGGCAATGGCGTTACAATGATCTGTGCGTTGCCAAAATCACCACCAATCGTATCAGTCCTGTAGTCTCGGTCATGCTCATTCCATACAATATGAACATGGTCATTACCAATATGACGTTTCTTTACATTAATTTCGTTAGCAATAATTCCAAGTGTTATGTTTCTTATTAAGCTTACCTTCTTGAGCTGCTTAGGATCTGATGTGTCGGTAGGCATTTTAGTTACATCATGGAAAATCATTTCTACAGTGGAGGAACAGTAATAAGAAGCCTTGGTGCCATTTGTTAAATTTCTTTCTAGGCCACCAAGATATCCCGTGTGTGTGGCAATATCAATTTCCCAACCCAGACTATTTACAAATGCATTATATCTCTCAGATCCTCGATTGTTCTGCAGAATCGTCTGTTCGTCTTCTTGGCCGTGACCGACATAGATAAGCCCAATCTTCATGGTTTCTCGCCTATTATACGTCCGGATTTTAATATATATTTTTTAGTTGTTTCCTATCTGTCTTATACACTTACCCGTGTTTTCGATCAAGGCCTCTTAAATCTCGATATAAAGCTGGTGATTTATTCAACATTTTGAAGGACCCATCCTTGAGATGATGATAGTGTAGTAAACCCATATGACTCATCAAGAGACGGCTTTGTTGGAAAGGCACATGCGGCTGTTCGGCTTCTTGAGGGAAAGCAGGCAAGAAGTCCTTTTGGTGACTAAACTCTGCCATCAGCTGTAAATCTCCACGTTTCAAAACGCCATCTTCCTTTCTGCGGAGTGCGTTCATTTTTGAATACCAGAGTTTTCTTTTTTTTTTTTTTGTGGGGGGGGGGGTTTTTTTTTTTTGGTTTTTTTATTATTATTATGTAATATATCAAAGAGGGAAAAAATTAAAATTTTAAACTTACATGTCAGATTCTTGTTGTTGGTTATTTTGAGCTTCGTTTTGTAAATATTCATCCATGCGAGAACCGAGATCGCCGAGCATGTCCATCTGTAAATCAGAAGGTGCGGTAGCTACATGTAAAGGTAGACTTGGGTTTAACAAACAATCTGGGTGTAAATCGCCAATATGTTTCAATAAATTGGCCATTGGATCTTCCATTGGCTGCATGATATTCTTATCCTTTTCAGGTCTAAAAAAGGAGATGTAATGTGAATCATGATAGAATTCACCCATATGGAGAGACTTACATTTCATCTGCTGATTTAATACGCACGTCCTGCCTTAATACAAATCCTTTATCATCTGCCTTGCACTGGTTGGATGTTTCGGATTTACCCGACAGGTTTGGTTCCAAGTGCGTATCCCATACATATCGCCCAGTCAAATCTCGGATGATCATTCTAGCTTGTGCTCCTATACAGAAAAAAAAGTTAAAATTAATATTACTCCTCCCATCTCTTGGTTGGTACCTTTTAATTCTGTCTGAGGAATTTCCACAAATGCAATAATCGTGGTATCGTTAAAGGAGAAATATTGGTATTGATTATATCGCATATCATCTTGGGCGACACCGGGTCCAACAATTGTGCTATGAATGGTCGCGGGTCCATATGGCGGAGCAAAATTATTAAAATGATGCAGTAAATGAAGCAGGACCGCTTCTGCCGATTCCTATAAATAAAATTAATAAATAAGATAAGGGAGGAGGGGAGATGCGTACCTTGACATATCCTCCATCATTCTCAGGTACTTCTCCATGATGAATGAGGTCATACTGGATATGTGGTCTTTTCTCTGATAATAATTTAAATTTGAATGATACTTCCTTTTTTTTACTACCGTGATGTGTGGTCGTATGGCTGGGTCTAGGCGGGTGCGGTAATATTTTGTCGGCCCCCTCCTATTTTTCGCAAAAAAAACCATTAGTAATATGACTCCCCCCAAAACTAGCTTAATATATACTGTACCGAAGTGATATGAAGTGCTAGTTCAACCACATCAAACACGAGCTGACATAAATCCGTCTCTGTTAAAATCATGGGTTCAATCGCCATAATCCATTCCAACAAACAACTAAATAACTTGGAAATGATGAATCCTCTTCCACATTTCGTGTTTCGTTCATATTGTTTCAAATGAACATTGAGCGCATCAATAATCCTGGTTAAAATTTCCTGCACAATTATCTATCTCATATCTTGTTAATCTGTGCGTGTGAATGATTTAATTTTTAATTTTTACCCCTTCTGGATCCAATTCTTTGCTGTAAATTTGTGCAAATGTGATCAAACAATCTGAAACATTATTCACAATCGGAATATTACACCAATACAAATGGTTGACCAAGGAAAGAATGCATTCATGAATGATATCATATTGAGGACTTTTTGTGTGATAAACAAGGGTTAGATAAAAAAATAAGAAACTACGTATTACACGCAACACAGATGAACTATACCTTTCAGCAGACAACATTTCATCCAATACAAGTGTACATAATGCACCAAGTAACATGGAATGCGCATCTGTATCTTGTTCTTGTGGGATGGGGTGACCCGTATTTACCAAACGAATAAAGATATTCTTCAGCCATACCTTGACATCCGCAAACGAAAAAGATTTTTCTTGGAAACATTTGGCCCATGTCATATCCAATTGATCGGTTTGGATCGTGACGTTTTTTAAATGATTGGAAATCGAGACGAGCGATCCCAAGATCGTAATACAGCTTTTGCGAACATGCGGCGGTACCGCTGTATCATTAGTCAAGAGTTGTTTTTCAATGGCATCGATATAGGCCGGGATTAAAATATGCACACCAGGTATTGAAACACCAAAGAGTCGCTCCGAGTTTGATATAATTGCTTGGATTATCGCATTGTCATTAGATGCAAATCCCTAAGTAGAAAAGAAAAAATAGGCGTCATTTTTTATAATCAATAGACATCTCTTGTAATTTTTACCTTGAAAACAGATGTGAAAAAAGCCGCATAGTATCCTTCTGGCACCTTCTCTTCCGGTCTTTGGGACATGAGCCTACACAAACTACCATAAGCTGCTGCCTTTCCAACGTCGTACGCGCTTTAAGAAGAAAGGAGATTAGTATATCATTCTACCTTACAAATTATGAACACTCACGAAGGTAATTCAGTTGCTTGGAATAACCAAGGTGCTACTTCATACATGGCAGGAATTGGTATATCGCGATAAGGTTGTTGTGCTCTCACTTGTCTGAGCGTATCCCAAATCTCCACCACACATTGCATAGCAATAGCATGGTTTTGAGGACCCTCAATCTGATTGATATTACCGATAGTCAACAACATGTTCTTCCATAAGTTCAGCACTTGTAATCCATCATTGGGTAAATTACTAAGCACCAAGAAATCAGAGCTTTTGAATGTTCCTAAACCTGAAGGCAGTTTTTCTGTAATGGATGCAGGATTGGTCATCATCGAGATAGATTCACCACTTGCCCATACAGATGAGCTTGGTGTACGATTGGATTTATTGGAAGATTCATCCAACGAGCTTGAAGTACTTTTACGATCTGAATCCATTTTTTTATCTTCGTCGAGAGCTACTTTTGTAGCTTTAGATGCACCAGGTTGTTGTGTAGTGTCTCCATGATGCACAAAACTTAACAATTTAGAACCCGAGTCTTGCCACAAGGTATCCAATTGCTGGATACTGATTGTGCGACGACCTACGCTTTTCTCTCCAACACTACCTGATAAACTATTACCACTTGTATTGGTATTGCTTCGTTTACCGAGTGACGCATTCACAGGTGAGATATTGCTGGTGCTATGAATGCTACTAGCAGGTGTACTGGATTTAGGCTTGAACTTTACCTTGCTACTACTGTCCTCATCGTCTTCTGCATCTTCATCAGGAACCGAGGTTAGATTGGTGGATTTACGGTCTGTTTTAAAAGTATTCGCGAGTTCGGATAAGGACGCGCTACTGAGGTTACGCAAGATGGTTGAAACGCTACCTTCGGGTGTAGGTTCTACAGGTTCGGGTGGTGGATCAATGAGCTGGCCATCACTGGAAGATAAAGGACGACCGGTTGCAGTACCACGATTACCGGGGAGACGAATATTACCTTGCATACTGAGGTGTCGGGATCTTACTTTGCTTCGATTCGCTGTAGATCGTGCATTGTTGGCCGTGGTATTTGCATGATGTGAGGAAGGACGGTTGGTTGGAAGTTCCTCAATCAGTCTATACTTGCTATCTGAATAAAGCTCATAATCCACTTTGTAAAGTCGAGAAGATAATAAACGGGTTAATTTCTGCATGATCCTGACCCATTGATTTAATGCTTGAACCCAACGCATGGAACTGACTAAATGCACCTTTAAATTGGTCCATAAATCCACATGCAAGATACGAGCTCTGACAAAGGCATGAAGTAAAGTTTCCCAAATATAATCGGCTAATTCTTCCGCCAAAGCATGGACGGGTATACGGCTGTATTTTTCGGGTTGACTCATAAACCATTGTTGAATATCCAATAAACATTGCAGCATCAATTCCCAACTCTCCCATTCAATATCAATACCACCCTTTGATACAGCGATGGCGCGGTAAACATTGATGGCGTCCTTGTATAAGGCAACCAAACCTTCCCAATCTGTTACTTGTTGAACAGTAGCAGCTAAAAAGTCTCGTGTATTGTTGGGTTGTGGACGATGTTCTTCAAATACCAGCTTGATCATTAATAAATAGCGGCGTAAAAATACATTGGCATCCGAATATTCTTCTTTGGGTTTCATAGGATGATCATCTGCAACGGTGGTGGTGATGGTAGGTGGGGAAGACGAAAGGACGCGAGAGGAAGTGGAAGTGACGGAAGTTGAAACGGATGCTGTACTACTTGATCGGGTGACGATACTACCGGAGCGTCTTAAAAACGAGGGACGTTCATCTTCGCTGCCTAAAATCCAGACACCCAAGATATGAATGGCACCGCGTGTGATGTCCCTATATTGAGCATTGGTGCAAGGCAAGATGAGTGATTGACGTAAAATTTCGTGCAACATTTCTCGAGTCTCGTGGGATGAAAGAACAATGGATTTTAAAATAGGGGTTGCGGGGGAGGAGATTTGAAGATGTGGCCAATGCGTATTGACATTGTGATTATTGTCAAGACAGTAACCAATTAAAAACCTCAAAAGAGATCGTAAAATGCTGGGAGGACATGAAGGGAATCCACACACTACATATAGAGAATAAGTTAGAGGATGAACATGTTTAGATGTATATGAGAGTAAAATTACCTCCGTTTTTTAAAGAGCCTTCTACTTGTAAGGATTGAGATATTAATGGTACAAACTTTGTCATGTAATGAGTACGAAATATTTTAAACAAGAATTTAGCACTAGCGGTAGCAGCATCGATACCGACTCCAGTGGCAATGCCATCATCGGGTTCAAAATGATCTCCGGGAGGATACTCATATTCATCGGGAGGAGGTGGAGATCCAGCGGCAACGTAAGCCAATCTGACGAGATTAGAAATAAATATATGGATTAAAACAATGGAATCATTAAAGGTAGGTTGAGTTGGATTAGGATATAAAGGCTGAGAATCATCGCCGATAATAAAAGTTTGGTGGAGTCGAATCGGACTTGATCTGATCCTCTCGTCTCTTTGAAGGCCATGGTTGATTTGCTTATCGGCATGATTTTCTCGTAATTTTTTCACAAATTGAAGTGTATGTGATTTTGTGGTATGTTGTTGTTCTTCGGACAGTAGTTCGTTATTAGATGTTACATTATTTATATTAGTTGTATTAGTAAAATTAGTGGTGGTATTGGTAGTTGTGGTGTTGGTGGCGGTGGCGGTAGTTGTATTATTAGTATTGTTGCCTGAAAAGGTCTGAATATCATCCAATATAAACAAATCGAGTGAAATAGCATTGCAGAACAGATTCATACACTCAGGATATTCCACTACTTGGTCATTTAACCACAATAGGAGCAATTGAAATCCTAGCGCACGAAGTCGAGGGTGATTCCCATGGTCCAAAACATAAGATAAAATGGTGGCGATATTCTGTCGTTGCCAGCCATTACGCATGAGTTCGGGCACATACAGAAATATCTTTCGAAGCAATAATAAGGTCTTTTGGAGACTAACTAATTCCTTTGAATTCCAAGATTGAGGTCTTTCTGATTTGTCTAATGTTCAACATTAGTCTCCTCGCATTGCATATAAACAAAAAGAGCTTACGTTTTATCTTTTCAATTTGGTGCATGCAAGTTTCGAATACCACCTGAAATACTTGTTCTGCATGTTCTTGAAAGAATCGAGCTTGGTCAAATGTGTTCGTTGCATCTGTCAATGAATGTTAACGAGTGTGCTTTTATTGCGTTATTTTCTTATTTTTACCAATGAAGCTCCAAAGACTTTGGGCTCTTGACTTGGTCTTTTGCCTTTCGTCCAAAAAGTTCTTTGCCTTCTTTTTTAACTTTTCGGGTTTATCATCTTTACCAGCAAGAGTAAAAGTAGAGGTGGAAGGTAAAATGGGACCATCTAGACCATGGTCTTCGTTACTTGGCGTCTTTTCCGAATGACCTACAAGACCTTTAATAAGCGAAGACGTGGGTGCTGCCTTTCTCATATAGAATAGAGCGAGTAGAAAAGAAAAATAATGAACAAGAAAGAGAACCACACAAAAAAAAAGGTTTAGAATTTTTTAAAACTACACCCAAAAAAGGGGAAGGGGTTTTTATACAATGACGTCTGATTTTTTTTTTGATATTTTTCATACACAGAAATACCTTTCTTGCAAAAGAAACCTGGATCATATATCAATAACACTGACTGCAGTATTTGATTTCGATCTACAGGTAAATTACTGTCAATGTTTATTTACCTCCGAATTGCCACCCTTATAATAGATAATCATGGAATAAAAATAGTCAGGAGCTTCCATGGACTGGAATAATTAAAGAGTTGCATTTTTATAGACCTTGGATTGAAACTAGTGCTGCACAGATCAGTGATACAGGGGCGGAAGGCACTAAATCAGCTCCATTTTCCATCCGTTTGTATCGTTGATCGTGTTCATTCCCCCTGAACGCCCAAATAAGGTAGCTAAACTTGGTCCTTGAGCTTATATCTTTGTTCGTATAGGTGATTCAAGTCTCAACTTCCTTTATCTTTAAAAGAAAATCATGCTATTTGATATGAGACGTCCCTTCTCGCAATAAGCTCGCCTCTCTGGTTTTTTTTTCTCGGATTGAAAGGTTACTGCAAGATAATTGGCTGGTTGCATTTAAAAAAAACTGCAGGATTTTGAAAAAACCAAGTTTACCAAACTCCACTCTCCCTCACTGAGGACAGTGATGTACATTTATGGGGTTGGCTTAAAACAGGTTCATGCTCCTAGATTCTTACACATATTTTTGACGTGATTTATTATACTATACATGGTACATATAGAAAGAAAATAGCAAATTATACATATATGTATACTTATTACTCCACGGATAAGTGTGCAACTAAATATGTAGTTTCTTGATATAACACTCGCTTTCTGTTCCTTGTGTAAACATGCACCTTCCAAAAAAAAAAATAACGTTTGATCGATCTTTTTTTAACTAGTTCTAGATCATCTTATTGACATATTTGTCATCTAGTTTGCATGAATCTCTTTATTAGCTTTTTAAAAGTGGACAGAAAACTTTCACTCTCACTCTCTTTTGTTCATATGTGCAAGATGCTATTTGAACTTTTATATTCGTTCACATTGGCCTACGTAGAAAAGGTGTCATTTTTGCTTTTTAAACAGGAAGAGTAGCCTTGTCCGCAGCAAATGTTTATCATTGACATCATATTTATTCTTGATTTTCATCAGTTATTGCATCATGATGAAAAGTCACTTAATAGCATCTTCTGGAACTTTTTTTTTGTTTTGTTTATCAGTGTTGGCAATGGTATAAATAGACCCATTTTTTTGGCTAAAGAAATATTCTTTAGTCTTTTTCTTTATAAAATTCTAAACAAAATGGCAACTGGACAACGTCTCTTTACTGATGCATTCCGCGATATGCAGCGTGCTGTCGAAACCTTCCGTTCTGGCAGTTACCCTCCTTCAGATGTTATTGATCATGCTGAATACTTTACGTTGGAAGCTGAATTACCTGGTTATACTAAGAAGAATATCAAGTTTGAGGTAGTTGATACTCGTACTTTAATCTTGAGTGGCTCTCTTAATGATGATGAGTATGAAGCACATCATCAAAGCGATTCTTCTCGTACTGTCCACTGTGAAGCTCATGGTGAATCTGCTGGTCCCATTTGTAAGTCTTGTGAAGCAGGTCTTATTAAAGCAGAAGAAGCCCAAGAGAGATTAGCCAAGGATGCTCAAGCTGTCAAGGTAGAACAAGCTCAAGCTGCTCAAAAGGCTGCTCAAGTTGAAACTGCTCAAAGAAACAAGGAAGCTCAACAAGCTGGTATGGCTACTGCTGCTCAAGCTACTAAGGCTACTGATTCTCAAAAGTCAATGATGGAAAAGGCCAAGGATGTTGTTGGTACTCAAGCCAAGAAGCTCGAATCCAAGGTTAAGAAGTCTGAAGCTGAACAAGCCAAGAAGGTCGAAGAGGTTGAAGCCAAGAAGGTAGAGGAAACTCAAGCCAAGAAGGCCCAGGACACTCAAACTGAGGACGCTGAAAAGAAGAAGGCTCAAGAAGCTAAGGCTAAGCATGATGAGTACCAAAGAGAGCAAGCTCAAGCCCAAAAGGAACAGCAAGAGGTCGAAAAGAGTCGCCAACGTAAGGCTCAATATTTGATCAGAGAACGTAATCCTGCTGAATCTTTCTCAAGACAATACAACTTCCATACTCATATCAAGTCTGAAGGTATTAAGGCTCGCTTCCAAGATGGTATTCTTAAGGCTATTGTACCCAAGGTTAATATCGAAAAGCACCAACAAATCAATATTGATTAAGTGAATATTTTCCTTTTTTTCTCACACTATGACTTGCACATTAATCATTCTTTTAAAAAAAATCTTATGAAAAATCAATAAAAAAAAAATCTTCTATTTGCTCATTTAACTGTTGAGAGGCTGTCAAGATAATATTATACAGATTTGAAAGAACACATGCATAAAATACATTGTGTGACATTATTAATATAAATTTAGCAACGTGCACTTTTCATATGATAATTACAAAAATAGCCTCTTTACGTGTCAAAGCTTTTTGGGGTTATGATTGAGTTCCTTTGTCACGAAAATATCGCGTCAAATTGAGAATCATTTTGACCCCCCAAGATTTGGAAAATTCATGCCACTTTAATCACCGTACGGGGACGCACATGACCAGGGGCTAAAAAAAATAAATAAATACTACATCATCCACTTTGTGTTACCTTCTTTTTATAAAAACTCTAATTTTTTTCTCCTCTCTCTCTCTTCTTTTTTTCTTAACCTAAACAATTTTCTAAAAAATGCCCTCTGCTGTAAGTTATATATATTTGTAAGAAGATCCTTTATATTAATACCTTCTGTAGCAATTCAACACCGCTGCTGAAGAAGCCCAAAAGCTCACCACCAAGCCTACCAACGATCAACTCTTGGAATTATACGCCTTGTTCAAGCAAGCTACTGTTGGTGATAACGAAACCTGTAAGAAGAAAAGCGTGTGAATCAAATTGAGAAATTAGCCTAACTAACATTTTTGTTTATTGTCTCTAGCCAAGCCTACTTTTGATATCAAGGGTCGTTACAAGTGGGATGCTTGGACCAAGGTTAAAGGTAAGGATAGAGTGATATAAAGAGGAAAAAGCGTCGTGCTAAATCTATTGATTCTCTCTAGGTACCTCTCAAGAAGAAGCCGAGCAAAAGTACATTGCTCTCGTTGAGTCCCTCAAGGCCAGTCAATAAATTGACACTCGATTCCCTTTTTATTATTCCACAATAAAAATCACATGTCTTTTTTATATTTCTGATTCCAATGGTTTGTTGTATTTGAAATATATCGCTCTTTAAAACACGGAATAGGTAAGCTCCTCTTTTTGCAAGTGTTACTGCGATCTATGTGAAGATGGCTTCATTTATTCTTGCCTATTTTATAGTGCAAAAGGAGGGGGGAATCTTATTTTTGAGTCGTTTGCTTGAGTACAGTATGGCCCCAAAACGTTATTTATTCATGGGATCTCCCAATTACCTTTCTTTTAAAGAAAGAGTCTCTCCCTTACGTCATAGTTCACGATGTTGGGGCCGTATTGTTGGTTTTACAGCTAACACGAGATGCGCTACTAAAAAGTATTTGGGTAAAGACAATGCACACAATGGAATACAGGTTCGATATGCGGCTAAGCATGGTACTTGTATTTTTAGGAGACCATTGGCATCCGCCATGATTTTTGGTGTGTGGTGTTGTACAAGTGCCTATTAGGCCAGTAAAGATTTCAGATGAGCAATAATATGCAGTTATTAACAAGTTTTCAACGGGTTTATCCCCAATCTTTGATTTTCCCAAACTAAATTTATTAGGCTTTCCAAATACAATGTAGTGTTGCTATGGTACTACAAATGGCCTTCTTTTGCTCTATATTTATCGATATCAGCTAGGACATATTGACCCTGGATACCAGTCTTTCTGAAGTCGTAAACCTTTTTCCCCGCTGTATAACATACTTTGTCTTTTACATTTTATTCCAGCCAGCTTTTTACGATCGTTGTCATGCATTTTAACGTCCGATAGGTTTTTTATAAAAATCTGTCAGTTTGCTCAATAATCTCAAGTTTCCTAACTTTATTAGTTTTAATACCAGAACTTATTCGAGCTCAGAAAAACATGGCATGCTTATTATCAATTTTTAAAACTATAGAATGAAGAGTTACCAAGTAATATATCTTGATCCCAATGTTCTTCTCTTGCATATTTTTTTAAATAAAAAGGCAAGCAATTGTATTTTCATGCTTCCCCAAATTCTCATACCCTCAACTGTCACTATTAGTGTTAGTGGTTTTCTCTTTGATTCCATATCTTTTTTTTATCTGAAAACTGTTTCGGCTTCTTTAGTAGGGTTAAATAAATCTAAAACCATGTTTTGTTTGTGTTTTTAATTTTTGTGCATATCTCAAGTTGATCAAACCCTTTTGTCCTTGTTTCCCACGACCATAACAATGGTATTCTTTCCTTAGTTATTTATAAAAATCTATTGTAAATTGCAGCCATTGAAATATTTTTGAATAATAGTCTCTATAAAATATCTTTGTTAAATTAGAGTATCTGGCCGTTTACAAGGATTAATTCTATTGTTTTAAACTCTGAAGGCCTTACAAAATATTTAATTTACTGCGCTTGTCTCAGACTGCGCTTGTCACAGGACGGTATACTAGACCTAATTGAGTCTAAGGTCCCTTTTTATAACAATGTCGTCCAAATTTTTTAATACTTCCACCCATATTATCACAATAGAAGGAATTCTCTCTGCCTTTGGTTCTTCATTTGCTTATTCTAGAAACCAAACAATTCATTTTTAAACGGCAAAACCAGTTAGACAAAGCGAAGCTATCTAGGGCCAGTGTTCATACAAACAATAGCCTTGTGACGCCATGGTAGGTAACATCTCGAAGTTCGTATGATAATACCATTTAAGGCCATTTTTGCAAAAACAGATTAAGCATTGATTCTTTCTGATAAATATCGTACATTTACTCCATTATTACGTCTAGTATTTTACTCCAATCTGATCACGGTAGCCAAGTACAGTTATATCAGGAGTGCGCTGTAATGTTTTTTTTGTGCAAGCAGTTACATTTAATATATATAAAATGTATGCATTAAAACAATGATTTTTACTGGTGGGTAAACTGTAGTTCATGATTAACGGATTGATTGACTTTAAATAGTTTGTTGCATAAACTCCCGATTACCAAGTCGCTTAACCCTGAGCTCAAATCTTATCAGTAGAAAGCCCAAATGGGGAATTGATTCCTTATCAATACGAGCCTATTAACAAGGTCAAACAGCGTTTCAATTTACAGACGTCAAAGAAACTTGGCTGACATCACTGTATTTACTAGGCGAGACATGTAACTATTAATATAACTAACGGTTAATAAATGGTCCGCTTAAGCTCTTGGCGGATTGCTCTCCGGCGGATTTTCCGGGGGTGGAGGTATATATAACACAGAAGATTTCGGCATATCCGCTGGTTTTTACTTTATCGTCTCTTACATTTTTACCACAAAAAAAAAGTATGTCTCTCTTACAAAATTCATTCTTGGAAGTGCCTTTAAAAAATGCTTTGGCGTTATACAATAAAGAAGTCATACCACGATTAACGAAAAAGAATAAGATAATCTCTATCAGTGTCGCTGTTGCATTATCACTCATTTATCTGATCAGAGAGAAAGTATTAAAACCTCCAAAACATCTACGTCATATCCCTTATATTAGCTACTTGGATTCTGTAAAGGCTATATTGACAAGAGAATCTGCATGGGATCGCTCGTATAGAGTATTTCTTCCCGAAATCGATCAAAAAAACCATAGTATTTTTTTGGTACGTACAAATTGTAAACCATTGTTCATGTACTCTTTCTTATACTCTCGCTATAAATGCAGGAACAAGCAAGACTCGGATGGATAGTGCATGTGGCGAATCCAAAAGATGCCAGACGTGTATTTTTAAAAATCGGTAAGAGAACACTTTTTTTTATAAACTTTCGTCATGCAAATAAATATTCACCGAAAGTAAATATTACATACGCTTAGATCAATTCCCCAAACTCCAACCAAAAATTGAGCATAAAGACACCGTGAGCTCCAAGTTTCTTGGTGGTCCTAATATTCTTATGCTAAACGGCCCAGAATGGAAAAAACACAGAATGGTAGCCAATCCGGCCTTCCACCGTTCTTTACCTGTGAAAATGTTTGGTAAATTAACACAAGATATGATTAAAGTGATGGATAAAATGGAAGGAACTATCAATATATCAGATTTGTTACATCGCTGGACTTTAGAAGCTATCGGAAAAGCTGGATTTGGTAAGAAGGGGACCAGAAAAAAAGAGGGGGGGGGTAAAGGATATGATATTTACGAATTGTATTACAGATTTCGAATTTAATGCCATCAAAGATCGAGATAGTGAATGGATTATTAGATACAATAAAATCAATCAAGGTCTTCGTGATCCCAAATTCTTTTTCTTTCCGCTTCTTGACTCAAAATGGCGTTGGATGTTTCCCGGACGTAACAAAATTCACCAGGAATTGGACATTTTTTTAAAGATGCTCGATGATGTTATCGCTAAAAAGAAAGAAGCAATCAAGCATGGTTTACACAATAAGGTGTTGGATGATAATGAAAAGGATTTACTTACCCTGATGATTGAAAGCGAGGAATTAGGTGAAGGCGGATTGAATAACGAAGAGCTCAAAGTAATACGATAAAAGTCATAATAATATTATTTACTAACGTAAGGATTTGTTTTAAGAGTACATTGTGTATATTTTTTTTGGCTGGTAATTTTTTTTTTTTTGTTGGCATGCGAACAAAAGTATTTTTGGCTAACATTGTTTCTGAAATTTTCAGGTCATGATACTACAGCAGGTGCATTGTCATTTGCCGTTCATTATTTAGCTCAAAATCAGGTAAAGTTTAAACAAGTTGAAGATAGAACACAACAATGACTGATATACGTTTATATTAGGATATTCAACAAAAGGCAAGAGAAGAAGCCATTCGAATCTTAGGCGATGACAAGTGTGATGTTTTACCTACTGTTGAACAAACCAAGGAAATGACTTACATAAATCAGATTATTAAGGAAACACTTCGTATCAATGGACCCGCTACAAGAATCATCCCCCGTATTTCCACTGAAGATGCCGAATTTTCGGGCTTGTTTATCCCCAAAGGAACCCAAGTTACGGTCAATATATTCGCCATTCAACATTCGGAAAAGGTTTGGAAAGACGCTCATATCTTTAATCCTGACAGATTTGAAGATGGTGGGGAGGCATCTCAAGTAGAAAGTATGGCATGGACTCCTTTCGGAAATGGTGCAAGACAATGTATTGGCATGAATTTTAGTATGAGTGAACAGCGTGTTATGCTTGCTATGTTATGTAAGTAATATATGTAACTGTATCTTTAATTTTTTATAATGACTCGCTGACACTTATTTTAGTACGCAAATATACTTGGAAAACACCTGAAAACTCCATTCATAAAGATGGCCCAAAAGTATTCGGTCTGGGTATTCTCAGTCCTCATAATTTGGATATTGACTTTCAAAAGAGATATTAAAACCCTCGTGTCTAGTTATTAAGGACCCCACTGGTATTGATAGGGTTTATTAAATAAAACAACCAAAATCCTTTAAAAAACGTTGCAAGATTTCATTTATATTTGTTTGTACCTCGTATAAATTTTGCTGAGTCTTTAGTTCACCCATCATTTGTGACTTAAGCATTTAATATGATAAAGTTTAAGACTGTATTCTTCAATACCCTTTTCATTAAAAACCTTTTAATCCCTCCCACATCAGTATCCCTATCCACTTTTTATACCAGAGAGGCTTTTGCTCCATCTTTAGGTATATTTAAGTTTGACTATTTTTAATGATCATTGTCAAACCCCAAAAATAAATAAAGTAAGCTCAGTCCCACATACATAATTGTTTCGTGTCACCGTGATCAACCTGTCATTCGGCCTTTCGCAGTTTTACAAAAATATTCAATTGAGCTTCTAAAAAAGGTATTACATCATTCTCAGAGTTTCGCAGTTTATCCTTGAATAATGAAGACATGATATACGATCGTAAGTCTTGCTTTGTCATCCTTACTGTTTTACTTCCACTGCCATAACAACTAAATATATGAACCTTACAATAATTTTAAGAGTATATAGTAATGTTTTACCGCGGTTGTATCATGTACGTACATGAAAGCGTATATTAAAAATCGAGGATAAAGTTATTACTACAATCCGCTCGATTGCTACTGGTGGTTAAACTATAGCCCATAATTAGCCGAATAATGGGCGCTAAATAACATTCATTCGCATAAAATCCCATCGATCATCAATTCCTAAGCCATTCAATGGCGATTTTTTCTTAAAAACCTGATACTATTGTAATATGAGACTATGAATATGATTATATACTGCTTTAATTTATTAATAAAAAACTGAATACAAGACCAATACAAGTTGACTCCTTTAGACTCTTAATGTATGCTTTCCGGGGGATTTTCCGAAAAAAAAATCATGAGGAGGTTTCCGGGGGATTTTCCGATATGGAGGGTATAAATATGAAGCGTTTGTAGATCAGTTATTAGTACTCTATTATTTCTTACATTTAGTAAAATAAAATCATGTCTCTATTACAAAATTCATTCTTAGAAGTGCCTTTGAAAAACGCTTTGGTGTTATACAATAATGAAGTTGTGCCAAGATTAACAAAGAAGAATAAGATGATTTCTATCAGTGTCTCTGTTGCATTATCTCTCATTTATTTGATCAGCGAGAAAGTATTGAAGCCTCCAAAAAATCTTCGACATATCCCTTATATCAGTTACTTTGATTCTATAAAGTCCGTATTGAGAAAAGAATCTGCTTCTGATCGTTCTGACAGGGTGTTTCTTCCGGAAATTGATAAAAAAAACCATAGTATTTTTATGGTATGGACACAATGTATGATAATAAAATATGTACTATTTCTTATACTCTATCTTTAAATTTAGGAACAAGAAAGACTTGGGTGGATTGTGCATGTGTCAAATCCAAAAGATGCTAAACGTATATTTCTAAAAATCGGTAAGAGAGCACTCTTTTTTTAATAGTCCATTACCGCTAAAAATAACCATTACAAATACTTAGATAAATTCCCAAAGATCCAAACCAAAGACGAACACAAGGAAACTTTGAATGCCAAATTTACTGGAGGACCTAATATTGTGATGTTAAACGGTCCGGAATGGAAAAAACACAGAATGGTAGCCAATCCAGCCTTCCATCGTTCTATGCCTGTGAAAATGTTTGGTAAATTAACTCAAGATATGATCAACGTAATTGACAGTATGGGAGAAACTGTTGATATATCTAATTTATTACATCGATGGACCCTGGAAGCTATTGGAAAAGCCGGATTTGGTAAGAAGTATACCAACACAAAGACGTGGGTAGGGGTAATGAAAATGAAACCTAATAATTATTTAATTGTAGATTTCGAATTTAATGCTATTAAAGAACAAAATAATGAATGGATGATCAGATACACCAAAATTAATCAAGGCCTTCGTGATCCTAAGTTTATCTTCTTTCCACTTCTTGACACAACACTTCGTTGGCTGTTCCCTGAGCGTGTCAAAGTACACAATGAGATGGACATCTTCTTAGATATGCTTGATGATGTTATTTTAAAAAAGAAAGAAGCAATCAAGAATGGTCAACAAAACAAAGTTCTGGAAGAAAACGAAAAGGATTTACTCACCCTTATGATCGAAAGTGAGGAATCGGGATCTGGTTTAAGCAATGAAGAGCTCAAGGTAACATTATATCAACCACCCATAATATTATATGCTAATTAAATGCTTATTTATATAGAGTACTTTGTGTATATTTTTTTTGGCTGGTAAGATGATTTTCATTGACGTGTATAAGCTTTGTCTAACATGTTATTAAATAATTATTGTAGGTCATGATACCACAGCAGGTGCTTTGTCATTTGCAGTCCATTATTTAGCTCAAAATCAGGTAATAATTACACAAATATTGAAGGTAGAACACAATAGCTGATATAAATTCAAATTAGGACGTTCAACAAAAAGCAAGAGAAGAAGCCATTCGAATCTTAGGCGATGATAAGTGTGATATTTTACCTACTGTTGAGCAAACCAAGGAAATGATTTACATCAATCAGGTTATCAAAGAAACACTTCGTATGAGTGGACCCGCTACTCGTGTTCTTCCTCGTATTTCTGTTGAAGATACTGAGCTTTCAGGAGTATTTATTCCCAAGGGAACGCATTTAACAGTCAACATTTATGGCATCCAGCATTCGGAGAAGGTTTGGAAGGACGGCAGTAAATTTAATCCTGACAGATTTGCAGATGATGGCGAGGCATCTCAAGTAGAAAGTATGGCTTGGACTCCCTTTGGAAATGGAGCAAGACAATGCATTGGCATGAACTTCAGTCTTAGTGAGCAGCGCGTTATGCTTGCTATGTTGTGTAAGTTATTTGTAACTCATTTTTCTGAAGTGTGTATATTAACTCATTGCTTATTATTATCTTAGTGCGTAAATATACTTGGAAAACACCCGAGAATTCCATTCATAAAGACGGTCCAAAAACGTTTGGTCTTGGTATTCTTAGTCCTCACAAGTTGGATATTAACTTCCAAAAGAGATATTGAAGAGAAAGTACTCACTTATTAAGACTCTAGTTGTGATATTTTATATGTGACATTATTTATTTAACTTTTATCTGTAAAAATAACTTAACAAATAGAAGATCTTATAATATACTAAAATTGTAGTTTTAATTAAAGTACAGTGCATCTATTTTACAATGAACAATTTTCGTTAAAACGGACATTTTCAGAACTTAAAAGTCGGATTTTTAGACTGGTGATTTTCATATTTTTTGACAGAGAAATCTAATTTATCGCGGGAAAATGTTTAACCGGGATATATCCGTTGGATTTTTATGAATTTTTGCACTGTAAAACACCTCCCGGACATCTTTGGGTCTCCCCACTGTAAATGGCCAATTTTGTTTTGCCATCTGTAAAAAATTTTGTGTGAAAAAAAAAAAATTCCGGCTCTATTAGTTTGTGGAGAACTCTCTAATAAAGAATGTAATAGAGCCGGATTTTGGATACCTGTTGAATTCATCGAGGAGATAGAGTTTTTATTTTTTTTTGAAAAATCGGAGCCAAAAATTGTTCATTGTAAAATAGATGCACTGTAAAGATATATTTTAAAGAAAAAATAAATAAATAAAGAAATGATACTTTGACTACATAATTGACAAAGTGAATGGGGAGAGTGAAGATAAATCAAAAATATGCTTAGCACCGTAAAACTTAGTCGTGGTAAATTTACAATTTAGACCGGGACCGGAGGTTGCGGTCCAATTTTAGCTAATTACCTCTACCAGAGGTCCAAGTAACATTTAGACTTGGACCGCAAAATCAAAAAAACGCAAATGACATAAAAATTGTAAAAAATTGTTATATAAAGATAATATGTTATATCGGAAGTTGTGTTATGAAAAAAAAATGATAAATATGTTCCTTGGTGATGGCAAAGATGATGTTTGAAGAAAATACTGTTATTTTGTGTGACACAATGAAGCGATAATTTTTTTTTCGGATGTTGAAAAGCCTTTACTACATTCAAAAAAAAAAAAGAAAAAAAAAATAGCTCTTTACTCCAGAGTCCCAATCTTTCCGGCAGAACTTGACATGTCTTTCGCAAACGCATCACCAGTTTTGATGACATACTTGTATGCTGAATTGTCTGAGGAATTTAGCAATCCAACAGAAGATACAATATCCCTGGTGTCAAATACAACGAATTTTTGCTCGCTATCACCAAAGAGCTGAATCCGTGGGATAGACTTTGAGATAGGAGACACGCCATGTGTTTTTGCCAATTCACCATACACATAATGGGACCCTGGTTCATTGGCGGAGAATTGGAAACGGAAAAAGAACAGAATCTTACAAACGAACCAGTTTTTAACTGGCACGAATAGACTAAATTTGAAGAGTGTCAATAAATGCAATACGGCGATAGCAAAAACATATACTTAATTGTTCTTATGTATCGCTTCGAACATGACGAATTCACCACCACGAGAGCATGACCTATTCTTCTTCTTGTACAACTCCGAAATGTAGACTTGATTTTCATGGAATAACCTTGTCGAAATTCGAAGGTGTTGTTGTTGATGAAACGGCAATACAACTCGTTGCCTCATGCCAGTCAGCCTTGTCATACAACCCATCAACGCACGACACCAAGGGATTGTGCGATACAGACCACAAATGAGGACATCCGAAGAACCCTGCAAGAGCACACCAACCTTAGTAAAAGAATCATCAAAAGGGGACCAGAGTTGAGGATAGGTGGCATCTTGAGGATGCTGCTCGAAGTTCTTCTCGTTGCTGTCAGGGAATGCCGTTAACGCAGAGAAGTCAAAAATACCGGATGCATTGAAGAATTTAAATATTTCCTTGGTTTCCATAATGTTGCCAGCATTAATACCAGGATGAAGAGAAGACCGGATACGTTTTTTGTATGTACCAATCGACCGTTCAAGGGACTTAGCAGAATAACACCGCAATGGACTATAGAAGTTGGTTAGTATATGATCGAATAAGGATTAAGTAATTAGTAGCTTACCCCATTCTTCGGATCATGTAGGGTATGTGGTGAAGCTGATGGAGAGTTTCTCTGTGCCTG